ATTACACGATGTTATTCCTTCAACGTGGAAGTCAATCGTGAACATTTGTTGAGTACGTATTTCATTTTAAAAATTGGTACCCGCCTGCGGGATCCGAACACCGGTGCATCGCTTCAACACGAATGCACCGGACGTCTTATCTTTCAGGCCACGACGACTTCAAATTACTGACTGACGACTGAAAATTAAATTCAATCCAGCTAAGTAGGTACTCGATAAATGCAAACTGGCAGCCCTAAGTATAGTTCGCGTGTCACATCCGTTTAGTTCTAATGTTGTTTAATTGCAACTTACATGCTAACGTGTTGCCGACTTCATATAAACAAACGAATTAGGGCAGTAAACAATCAACAAACAATATTTATCATTTTAAAATAATTCCTAAACGCTCCACACCTGATAATTCTATTCATTTAACTTTGCAGCACCCGTAGGGTTGACGCAATCTTTATATATAAAAATGGATTACTGTTCGTTAGTCTCGCTAAAATTCTAGAACGGCTGAATCGATTTGGCAAATTTGGTCTTGAACTATTTGTAGAAGTCCAGAGAAGGTTTAAAAGGTAGATAAATATGAAAATGCTCGGACTTAAATAAAAATAACAATTTTGTTTTCCCTTTGATGTGTCCCCCGTCGGACGGATTCCTTTTGTTTGTTTTAAGTTTATTTTATACAAAAGTTTAGGTCTTTTATTTATCGATTGAGGCACTACGAAGTCTGCCGGGTCAGCTAGTGTCTAAATAAATTGATACTTCGTTTAATTTTAGCTACCACTTTACGACGTGCCGTGACAATGGCCATATGCCTGGCACATCAGAGCAGGAAGATAGACCCGTCTAGTGTTAAGTGGTTACCGAAACCCGTAGAGATTATCAACGTAAATGCTGCCCCCCATCTTGAACTATAATTTCTAAGCCTTAGTCTTATAGAACAACAGCTGTTCCAACCTTCAAACCAAAATTAATTACAGCTTTGTGGTACCTACCCTATGGAATTGGTACAGCACCCCTAGCGGCCAACGCAGTGGTGTTGTTTCAACTCCATACTTTGAGCTAATTTTTACGCGATCGAGAAGTTAACAAACTCGCATTAAGCACACAGGATACAATAGAGCAGCCTTTCCCAAAGCGGGCGATAACGCCCCCTTGTGGGCGCTGCAGCCTTAATGGGGGGCGGTAATAGACCCAGAAAAAAGGGGGCGTTGTGTAGAGGCTTGGGAGGCGATTTGTAATTTCATCTAGAAGGAGTCTTAGACACCGACTGAGCTCTCGCTATAGTGGCTTTTAATTTTTTTATTCTCAAAGTGGGTAGTAGACAAAATAAGTTTGGGAACCACTGCAATAGAGAAACATTGTCCTTATTTGTAAGAGTTTTAAAATAAAAATTTAAAACTTATCAAAAAATATCGTTCGACATTTCGCAACGAAGATAAAACTAGTCGAATATGAGTTATAGAATTTAAAAGGACACACACGGTCACACGAGTTCCGATCACCCCGGGCTACTGACGAAAGGTCAATTTTGTACCGACTCGATCTTCGAGTACAGGAAATTTAAAAGTAGCATTGAGAACATTCGAATTGAAGCATAAGGGGTTAGTTTTTATAATGGAAATATTAATTAAGCTTGCTAACATAACAGCTTAAATGCCTTCGCCCATCTTAAGACATGAAATAGAAGTTTTTGTAGTAACATAACGTACCTGCCGTTCGGACTAAAATATATTTTAGTTTCAGTGTATAAGTAAAAATAAATAAATAAATCACTTTTTATACGCTACAATGTTATTTATTTTACAATAATCCATTATCACACATTAAACATACACTAAAAGTCATATTGAATAATAAAAATAATAAGCCTTTTTATTTCTTGTTTTACAATCTTAGGTGGATATAAGACATTAAACAAGAAATTTTACTTTTATTAATAAGTTAGCTTCAATTAGGTTAGTTCGTGTATTAAAATAATTATAAATTAAAAAGAAATTCCGATTCGGGTAAAGATATCCTCCAAAGATGCCCATTTTTGTCTGTCTTGTGCTATGAAATCCTATTGAAATGTTTGAGAAAAACAATTGAGCGTAAACTATTTTTAACTTAAACAAGATTCTTAAAATTGTAATTAGGCACATAGCAATGTACAATACCAACAATTATTACTGTATCAATATGGAGCCAGGACGTGCCTAACCTAGTTTGTCATTTGTTTAAAAACATTCCTCGTCCTAAAGCTTTGGCTAAGCCGTCCGGGATTTTTTACGTATTTTCAAAGAAGACACATTTTTTTCTTCTGGATGCTCTGCGTTACTTTTTTTTGTGCTTCACGATCGCGGTGTTCATATGTGATAATACAGTGCGGTTACACTTGACCCACTTACGTTCTGCGCTGTACTTCTGAACCTGTACAAATCAATTAAAAAGGATTTTTTTTAATGAGAAAACGAACATTGTCAATTAATTAATACTAGAGGTCCCGCAGTAGTCGAAATTCGACTATAATTAATTGGAATTGTAAGTTTGTACACTATTATGGTTGTATTTTGTACTTCTGTAATCACAAATTTCGCCAAGACTACACTACACTATAAAAATATTAACAAAGACAAACAATATTTAATCTATTCTCAATTTGACAACAGACGTCAAGAAGAAAAGTTTGACAATAAATAGTATGCATGCGTGTGTGCATCAAATACTTATTATGTAGTGTGTGTAATGTTTTCTTTATTGATTTAATGTATCTTTTATGCATTACTTAAAAAAAATAATTAGCATTATGCACTTCTTCTCTATATTCTCTATAAGTGTGGAAAATTTCATACTCCTCCGTCCGCGCAATTTTCGTAAAAAGGGATACAAAGTTTTGCTTCACGTATTAATATATAGATATACATACATTCTATTGCGTCACATTGAGTTAATTTTCGGAGATTAATCCTATTTAAATGAATCGTCGAGGCAAAATATACGATTTGATTTTCCTTACGGGTTTCTATCACTGTCTTAAAGCTCGACGAGTAAATTAACCCATAGACACAGCCCACTGAGTTTCTCGCCGGATCTCCTTATTGGGTCGCGTTTCCGATCCGGTCCGATCCGATCCGCCGGGCTCGAAGAGGACGGTGACCGGTGCTTGAGGTACCTAAAAGCACCGTTAATGGATCGGGAGGATCCGTAATGACGTCGTTTAGGGCGACGTCGTCGTCCTCGTGTTAGGGTGAAGTCGCCGTGGCCTAAAGGATAAGCGTCCGGTCCATTCGTGTTGAACGATGCACCGGTGTTCGAATCTCGGGCGGGTACCAATTTTTCTAATCAAATGCGTACTCAACAAATGCTCACGATTGACTTCCACGGTGAAGGAATAGCATCGTGTCATAAAAATCAAACCCGCAAAATTATAATTTGCGTAATTACTGGTGGTAGGACCTCTTGTGAGTCCGCGCGTGTAGGTACCACCAGCCCGCCTATTTCTGCCGTGAAGCAATAATGCGTTTCGGTTTGAAGAGTGGGGCAGCCGTTGTAACTATACTGAGACCTTAGAACTTATATCTCAAGGTGGGTGACGCATTTACGTTTGTGGATGTCTATGAGCTCCAGTAACCACTTAACACCAGATGGGCTGCTCGTCCACCCATATAAGCAATAAAACAAAAACAGAAAAAGACGTCGACTGTTTACCATTGGGTCCACAGGATCGGGTGTGTAATTACCGGCGGCCACGACAAGGAGGTTTTCATATCGTGCCGCCTTCTCAAAATGGCGCAATGATGCCGACTGTAGATACTTACTGACTGAGTCAAGCTCCATGTCATCATGGAAATATTTTTTGTCTAATTTTTATCGACGGACATGGACATGTGTTAAGCAAGTTTCTTAGAACAATATAATTGCTATCGGCTTACAGGATTCGAACATAGCACTGTCGCATCGCTCAATACTAACACTGCGAAGTGCGGACGTCTTATCTTTTAGGCCACGGTAACTTGAAAATATAATTATTTGCATATATTTCACAAAATAAATAAGTATTTTCTCGCGAATTAACGTGAAGAATAAAACTTTCAATTGCATAAATATTATTACGACAAAGATTTGTTTAAATTTTTGCAAATTTCAAAAATTTAATCCTTAATAATGTCTAACTTAATTTTCGCATACATTATAATAATTGTGAAGTATTAAGAGCAGGTGTGCAATTACAATTACAACGTTTAGAGGTCAGAGTACATATGTGTCTATGCATGTGCATTTTAATACGTATATGCGGTTCACCTTTGTGAAATGTATTACCTTTTAAATGTTGAGGTAATCTCGTATAGACCGTATACAGGGTGTTCGCAAAAGCTCCGGAAACGGTAGTAATACTATTTTTATTCTGAATCAGGGAGCCCTGGTGGTAAGTAGAAGTATTTCTATTCAAATGCTACCACACATTCCAAAGTTGTATGTCTGTTTTTTTTTTATTCCTACCTCTCTAGCAAACAACAAAGCCAGAGATTCTTATTAACATTTTTTGTTTTAATTTTAATTATAGTTGTCACTACTGCCCATATGGGGCTTAAAAACTAGGTCACGCATTCATTATGAGCCTCTTTATCATACCAGTTCTCGCATTTATTCCTCTCGTGCTTTCATTCCTTCCATTCATACTTTGCATTCCTAGCTACGACTAATAAACGGAGGGGAGGGGGAGTAGGGCTATTGGGACTCTTTATTTCTATATTTTTTTACATTTCCTTATTCTACCTTAAAACTAGTACATGTAAACTTAGTCCTATTTACTTAAACTACGTTTTTAGAACAGTAATAATATGTTAAAATATTATATGTTATAAAAATTTCTTAGGTTATATTTCTTTTATTAACCTCCTTTATAATCTTCTTAGTAGACAAGCTAAAACGGAGTCACGATCCTCAGCAATGAGGGAGCGATGGAGAAGAAGATAATCTTCTTCTTCTTCTCAGTCGTGTCACTCTTGACAGAGTGGTCGTGATCGTCATGTAGTGTTGGAAGGGGTAGACTTGATGCGTCTCACGATGTCGCGCCATCTCTCCCTGCTCGAGGCCATTCTACTACACTCATTTAGGGGACCTCCCACTGCAGTTTTAATTTGGTCGGTCCACCGCATTGGTGGCCTCCCGCGCGGTCTTGTACCATCAACGCTTCCCTGTACCACGAGGCGTTCTATGGACCGGCCATCTCGTCGCGAAACGTGTCCGAAGAAATTCACCATTCGAGACTGTACTATACCACATAGACGCTGCTTGATGCCGAGTTCCTGAAGTATCGAGACATTTGTACGAAAGTCGGTCCACGAAACTCCAAGCATTCTTCTCCAGCACCACATTTCCAGAGCGTCTATTTTCTTCCTTTCCACGTCTCGCACGGTCCACGTCTCAGCAGCGTATAGAAATATAGAGAATATTAGTGTTCTAACGAGCCTGATCTTTGTNTTGTACGAAAGTCGGTCCACGAAACTCCAAGCATTCTTCTCCAGCACCACATTTCCAGAGCGTCTATTTTCTTCCTTTCCACGTCTCGCACGGTCCACGTCTCAGCAGCGTATAGAAATATAGAGAATATTAGTGTTCTAACGAGCCTGATCTTTGTGGTTTTGGTTATGTTTCTATTTCTCCATACTTTCCTCAGCCCGTCCATCGCCAACCTCGTGACAGCCATGCGCCTTCTGATTTCGTCCATATATCCACCATTATTTGAGATTAACGCTCCAAGGTATATGTAGGACTGGACCACGTCGCAACCCGCTATTTGAGTCACGTCCGGCGAGTTATTCATAGCGCGATCGACAATCATCACCTTGGTCTTACTGCGGTTAATCCTTAATCCAAACTCAAGGCTCACACGTTCCATCCTCGACAGTAACTCCCCGAAGCATTGCGCATCAGTTGCAAACAAAGTGGTATCATCCGCGTATCGCAAGTTTGCAATTCTATACCCCCCAATTGCTACACCATCTGGAGAACTTTATAATCTGTATATTAAAAAATATGGAAATATTCATACGCCTAAAGAAGGATGGTGCTGACGTTGTAAGGTTTTTATTGCATAAGATCTGTTAAGTGTAGCATACCTTAGCACAACCCAGGTCTATATAAGCTGGAATGTGCAGACTGGACTAAGAGACAACATGAGCAACATATTCAGACGATCGTCTATAACAGATCGCACGAGAACCTAAACCAGTACCTAAGATCTGTTAAGTGTGGCATACCTTAGCACAACCCGGGTCTATTTAAGCTGGACGTGCAGACTGGACTAAGAGACAACATGAGCAACATATTCAGACGATCGTCTTTAATAGATCGCATGAGAACCTAAACCAGGACCTAAGATCTGTTTATGTAAGCATACCTTAGCACAACCCAGGTCTATATAAGCTGGAATGTGCAAACTGGACTAAGAGACAACATGAGCAACATATTCAGACGATCGTCTATAACAGATCGCACGAGAACCTAAACCAGTACCTAAGATCTGTTAAGTGTAGCATACCTTAGCACAACCCAGGTCTATATAAGCTGGACTGTTTAGACTCGACCAGGACTAAGGGACAAGAGTTAAGAATCACGTTGCTGACGGTGCACAAGTCTACAGTTTGTTAACATGCTCCAGACAGTGCTGCCAAATGTGACATAATTTTTGACAAAATCTACAGTGCTGCCAACTGTTTCATAATTTTTAACACAATCTACATACCAACTAATAATAATTGTAAATAGACATGCTTTAACAAAAACCGACTTCAAATAGAAAAGTAAAGATATTCCAAAACAAATGAATATACACTAAAAGCATTAATCATCGAAATCGGTTGGCGTGATATTGAGTTATTGAGTTATTCATCTATTTGTCGCGCACGTACTTAATGCAAATTTAAGACTTATACGGTTTTCTCATGGATACCATTATCAGAACTGGACTAAATTGAAATGGGACAACACGGGAAGCGTTAGATTTCTAATAAAAAAAAGAATCATCAAAATCGATTCACCCAGTCAAAAGTTATGAGGTAACAAACATTTAAAAAAATACAGTCGAATTGAGAACCTCCTCCTTTTTTGAAGTCACTTAAAAACAAATTAATTCGAAGTACCATAAAATGGGGGGAATCGGGGCACTTTTTAAGTTCGACATTGATTTTTATCGTTTTTTTTTTTGTAGTTATAGTAATAAAACGGAGACCATAATGGTTCCGTTAGTTTACATTTTATATACGACTAGCTGTACTCGCCCGCTTCGCTGGGCATTTAAAATTAACATTATTATTAGGGAGTCCAACACTCAGATAAATATTAGCCTATGCATTAAGTACATGTATTTTCTACATGGATACCAAGCTTCAAGTCAATCGGATGCATGTTTCAGTAGTTATAACGGAACATCCGTAAAAATCACTGTACATTTAAAAATTAGTATATTATACATGGTTCATTACCAAATATACACAAAAACTGAAAAAACTAGCTTGACCCGATTCACCTTGGTTTTGGGGTGAATCGGGTTACGTATGGGGACAATAGAGTTTTTCGATAGGACTGGCACTATTTAGTTGTAAGGTAGGTACCTAACTATAGGTACAGTAGATTGGGGGGAATAAGGACTAGAGCGAGAAAAAAAAAAGTCACAAAACTTTAATGACTAAATTAAACTATTTAATATTCTTAAACACGAAATAAAAGTCATTTTCAGTTCAACAAAGCTAAATCTAACGACTCAACAAAAGTATTGTGACATCCTAGATTTGTCCCTATTCCAACTCTAGTCCCTATTTCCCCCAATCTACTGTATAGTACGCCAGGATATTGAGAAAATGAGAATTTTTACTGGTGGTAGGACCTCTTGTGAGTCCGCGCGGGTAGGTACCGCCGCCCTGCCTATTTCTGCCGTGAAGCAGTAATGCGTTTCGGTTTGAAGGGTGGGGCAGCCGTTGTAACTATACTGAGATCTTAGAACTTACATCTCAAGGTGGGTGGCGCATTTACGCTATAGATGTCCATGAGCTCCAGTAACCACTTAATACCAGGTGGGCTGTGAGCTCGCCCACCCATCTAAGCAATAAAAAAAAACCATCATTAATTTACATTTTTTACATTTTACATTAATATGATGGTTGACGTTAATCTAACACGTGGGATCTTTTTAGCGTCAAGATGAAAACCTAATTCAAACAAAACGTCAGCCCTCAAGACACTGTTACTTCTTTCTGTGCAAAATGATGCGTAAAATTTTAGATTAGTTTTTTTTTATATAAAAATATACAGTAATTAGCATAATATTCAAATATCGACGAAAAACACAATTAAGTAGTCGTCCATGACCACGAAAACTTTAAAGTATTCTAAAGTAAGTCGGAAATGACGTAATGATATTTAAGAGACGCGAAATTAAGCCGTAAAAGTAGTTAAATTATAGGTGATTACAGAAACACCAATTTTAATAAAATAAAATAAAATCTTATTTTCCAATATTTTTAACCAATTAAATTTATCCTCCCCCCCTCCGTTTGTCCCCAAATGACGAAATCATTGGTATGAAATCAAATAGATATATACCTTGGCTTAAATTTGTATATGTATACTCTGTGTACGTGTTAGTTTACAAAATCCCTTAAAAAAATGATATGATTTTATTGATAGCCTCAAAACACTACTTAAGTAGATATTCTAATTATTATTTCAATTAAAAAGCATGAAAGTAGCCATGAATTGAATATTTATAAGACTTATTTATGAATATAAGATGCGTCACAATCCGAACATGTTTTAACAGATATTGGTATACTTAGGTCGCAGAAAAAATTGAAATTATTTCAATTCAAATTAAGTGTATTATCTATAATTTCAAACGACCTATGAATTGATTATTTCTTACACAAACTGGTGACATTCATAAAAGGATGAATGGAGCACTTCACAGGATGAATGGAGTCACACCTTAATTATTTTTTGAGGCACGGTTCCACTTTGTTTATGCCACTGATGATGTCAGCGCCTCGAAAAACGTAACATTTTTCAATTAATCATTAATATAATTACAATGAATTAACAATATTATTTTATCGATTACATGGTTCCTTAAATTGGTCTTTAAGTTCAAAGTTAATTATAGATAAACACCTATTTTTTTTAATGCCTTTTTTTTGTATGACGCCACGATTTTCATCCGGATTATTACTTCAATTTCAAGATGAAAAGAATGGTTCGTGATGGTCAACAACCGGTGCGGTCGCGGTCAGCGTGCCCATTTTGCAGGGAACTTTCACTTTTCTATCTAACATTGAAGACATATCGCGCAAATCCTTACAACGCCATCTTTTGATGAGAAGATAAATTTAACATAACGCCATCTATTAAGCAGTAGTTGCAATTTACATTTAAGAAAAACAAAACTATTAAATCTAGTAGAATTTCTTCTGAACACGATTTATTCGAGTTGTAATCTTGGTAAAAACTAATAATAAGTATAAAATTAATATTTAAAAATAGACTTTCATTGAACAATTAATAAATTAAATACAACATTACGTTCAGATTTGTAGTCAAAACGTAATATGGAATGCATAATTTTACATCGTCTTGTGGGTGTCATCTTGGTTGGTCTTAGACAATACGATGTTGGCATCGAACAACAGTCTCGCGATATCATTGATATGCGTGTTCGGGCATATACAGTCGTAACGCGGTGCTGGCCAATTCTTCGTAAGTTTGGGAAGTAAGCAAGAAGGCACCTTTTATGTAATTTTTTTGTTGAAAAAAAAAAACTTTATTTACTACATTTACAGTCGTGGCCAACTAATTAGGGACAATCTCTAGTTAAGCCAAATTGTGAATTTTATTTTTATTTTCCAACGAGTCTTAGCAATATTCCATATCTTTTACATGTAAGTGTAATTAGTCATTTATGTGCGCGATTATACAAACAATAACAACTTCTTAAACATTAAACCTCTTTACAGTATAGCTGATACAATATCATAGTGCTATTGGTTCAAAGAATGCTGGCTGGCCATTTAATTAGGGACACTGAGGTATTGCGTTCTAATTTCAAAATTGGAATTTTAATACTTTTTTGTTTCTTTTCTTATTGTTTAGTGGTCGTTTTGGCGGCAATCCAGATTTTTTATTTTAAGTTTTGAGAATTATTTTGAAGAAAAATGGGCAAAAATAAAAGTTGCGATCCAACACTACGAAAAATTATCATGAAGTTTGTCGAGCGTGGTTGGTCATACCGAAGGATAGCACAACATTTAAATTGTTCAAAAACTATGGTATGCAATGCAGTGCAACATTTCAAGCGCTATAACACAGCTTTAAATGTGTCCAGAACAAAAAGATCGAGAAAAACGACTCCGCAAGAAGATAGAATGATAACCAGGTTAGCTAAGAAAGATCCGTTTCTAGGCTCTATTTTAATTAAACACGAAGTGTTTGGGGCAAACGAAAGAGCCGGTGTATCTGCGAGGACCGTTCGACGACGTTTGGTAGAAGCAGGGTTGTTCGGAAGAGTGGCTCGCAAAGTACCGTTGTTGAAGAAAGAACATAGAAATGCTCGTTTGGCATTTGCACGTAAATATGGACATTGGACCTACGCCCAATGGCAACATGTACTTTTCTCTGACGAGACCAAGGTTAATTTGATTTCTTCAGATGGAAGGCAATATGTACGGCGTCCTGTAAAAGCGGAAATGAATCCAAGATTCACAAAAAAACAGGTGAAACATGGCGGTGGAAACATTAAAATATGGGGTTCATTTTCTGGACGTGGAGTGGGACCTGTGAGGAAAGTTCAGGGTAACTTAGACCAACATCAATACAAGGCAATATTGGAAGAAACTATGCTTCCCTATGCTGAGGAGCATCTCCCTATTATATGGACGTTTCAGCAGGATAACGACCCGAAACATACCGCCCATTCAGTCAAGTCGTTTCTTACCAGTCAGTTTGTATCGGTGCTAGATTGGCCAGCAAATAGCCCGGACCTCAACCCAATTGAGCACCTTTGGCACGAAATCAAGAAAAAAGTTGCCACTTATCGTAATACAAATTTGGATGAACTTCATGAAGCTTTTTGTGAGGCATGGGCAAACATTCCTGTCGAAACATGTCAGAAACTGATAATGTCTATGCCACATCGGTGTCAAGCGGTAATTACTAACAAAGGTTTTGCTACTGGGTACTGATTTTACACGTAATAAAATGGAGCTGTTAAAGATATTATAACACTGAAGATTATAAGTTTTGTGTAACTGTATTTTTCATTATAGTTTACTGTCCTTAATTAAATGTCCACTACAGAATTGTACCTTAATATTTAATACATGTTTAATCTTTGATATTAAATACTTTTTCTATTTATTAAATCTTTTATTTACAGCCATTTATAGCATAATAATCGGATCACATTATGCAAATAATAGGTGCTGAGAAATCAATAGGGTTTTATATTTAAATGTACATAACCGGTTATAGCCCTTCACTATCTTAAATGTCCCTAATTAGTTGACCACGACTGTATATTAGGTAAATTAATTTATTTTACTAGGCTTCGTGAAACCTTCGAGGGCTTTTTTTATTGCTTTTATTTATTTATTGCTACGATGGATGGACAAGCTGTACGGTCCACCTGGTGCTAAGTGGTCACCGGAGCCCATAGACAACAACAACGTAAATGCCACCACCCAACTTGAGAAATGAATTCTAAGTCTCGGTTTTACAGCATAACGACTACCTCACTAAACCGAAACTCATTACTGTTTCACGGCAGAAATAAGTAGCGTTGTGGTACCTACCCGTGCGGACAAACAAGATGTCCTACCATCAGTGATTACTAAAATTATAATTTTGCGGGTTTGATTTTTATCACACGATGTTATTGCTTCACCGTGGAAGTCAAACAGCGTCAAGAGCAGTACTTCGTAGAATCTACCACCGGATCGGAAACGTGATCCACTGAGAAGATCTGGCGAGAAACTCAGTGGGCTGTGTCTGTGGGTTAACTTACTCGTCGAGCCCTTCGTCGCAAGCGACGGGTTCGGCGAGAACGATAACCGGAGCTCGGGGTACCTAAAAGCACCGTTAGTGGATCGGGAGGATACGAAATGACGTGTTTTAGGCGACTCGACTCTTTACCATTTGGTCTGCAGGCTTTATCGAAGTGGTGCATTGATGCCGACTGTAGATACTTACTGATGGACTCTAGGTCCAGGTCGTCGTGCAGGTCGATGTTCCTGATGAACCACGGGGCTCCGACGGCTATCCTGCAAAAATAGGTTTAAATTTTGTACTGGTGGTAGGACCTGTTGTGAGTCCGCGCGGGTAGGAAGCACCATCCTGCCTAATTCTGCCGTGAAGCAGTAATGCGTTTCGGTTTGAAGGGTGGGGTAGCCGTTGTAACTATACTGAGATCATAGAACTTATATCTCAAGGTGGGTGGCGCATTTACCTTGTAGATGTCTATGGGCTCAAATAACCACTTAACACCACGTGGGCTGTGAGCTCGTCCATCCATCAAAGCAAGAAAAAAATAGTTTGGAGGGGTTTCAAGTTAGTGCGGGCCGCGTGAGCGAACACTACACTTGCATAGGTCATGACGGGGCGTATGCAAGTTTTGTAGAGTGTCACCTTATTTCTAAGAGACAATTTATTTACTTCGCATGCAAATCATCGGATAGAGGCGTCCTAGTATGAAGGCGGCACGGTCGCGTACCGTCTTTAAAAGAGGGCGGAATGTCATCCCTATGTCGAGGATGACGCCAAGTATTTGACCTTCGGGGCCCACGGTATTGGTTGGTCGTACATGATGATGGGGCGAATGGCGGAGGTGTTAACGCGCCTAGTCTGGAGTGGGATGCTCGAAGTGGTTGAATTTCAGAAAACACGTCAACAGTATATAAAACACATGCATATTTCATTTAATAATAATAATAATAATAATAAGCCTTTTATTTCCCATCACCTAAATATTACATGTAAATATTCTCAACCATATATAACTCCCACATTCAGATCCAATTACATTGCCGTTCAATTTTCCTCGACAGGAACCCCTATTTGGGTATAGGCCTCCTCCAGCTTAATCCAATTTTCTCTGTTCCGAGCCTGCCTCATCCACTCCTTCCCAGCGGTGACTATGATATCATCACTCCATCGTTTCATAGGTCGTCCTTTCCTTCTTTTCCCATTAGGCCCTTTCCATTTTGTCACTTCAATTGTCCATCGTTTGTCACTGTAGCGTGCTACGTGGCCAGCCCATCGCCACTTTAATCTTTTACTGAAGTTTAGGACATCAATTAATTTTGTCTTTTTTCGTATAAATTCACTTCTTACTTTATCTTTTATTTTTATTTTTAGAATGCTTCTTTCCATAGCTTTCTGGCAATTAACCATTTTTGTTTTTATGGTGGTGTTGAAAGTCCACGATTGGCAACCATATGTGAGAGTTGGTAAGATGCATGTATCCATAACTGTTTTCTTCAGGTGGAGTGGATAGTCTCCTTTCATTATCTCTTTGAGTGACCAATATTTTTTCCAACTCATATTTATTCTACGTTGTACCTCTTCTTCTTCGCTTCTGTCTTCAAATGATATTTCTTTTCCTAGATATATGTATTTGTTTACGAATTCTAATGTTTTTCCTTCAAGTTTTATTGGATGTTTGACGCTGTTTGTCATTACTTTTGTTTTGTCTTTATTCATTAATAGGCCTACTCTTTTACTTTGTACATTTAGTTGGTTTATCATTTTTTCTAGTTTTCTACTGTTATCAGCTAAGAGGACTATATCATCTGCAAATCTGAGGTGACTCAAGTATTGGTTACATATTTTAAGGCCTTCGTTTTTCCATTTCAGCTCCTCAAAAATGTTATGCAGCACTGCTATAAAGATCTTCGGGGAAAGTGGGTCTCCTTGTCTCACTCCTCTTAGAATAGGTATTTCAGGTCCTCGGTTCTCTAGTTTCACACAACTGGTGCTCTTGTCGTAAATGTTCTTCAAGACATTTTTGTACTTGTCGTGGACCTGACATTTGTCCAGTGCCTCCCAGATGGCGTCATGTGAGATCGTATCAAATGCCTTAGCGTAATCGATAAAACCTATATATATTGGTCTGTTGAACTCCTTGTACTTTTCTATTATTTGCTCCATTACATGAATATGGTCTAATGTTGAAAAACCTGACCGGAACCCCGCTTGTTCTTTTGGTTGTAGGTTTTCAATTTTGCTACTGATTCTGCTTAATAGTATAGAGGTAAAAAGTTTATATATGCTCTGGAGAAGGCTAATTGGTCGGTAGTTGCCTATATCTCGAGGGTCACCTTTTTTATATATCAAAATGATATCTGCTTTCTTCCACTGTTCTGGTATTAATCCCGTGCTTAGAATTTTGGTAAACAAGCATGAAAGTGAACGCGCTAGTAAAGTAGTCCCAAATATTAAAGCTTCATTGGATATACCGTCTGGCCCTGGGCTTTTTTCTGACTTTAATTTTTTAATATGCTTTATTACTTCCTTCGTGTTGATCTCTACAGGCTCGTCTTTTACGTCTTTACACTCTATGAAATGTTTACTTTTACTTATACTAGTTTTATACTTGCTATTATATAGCGCTTTGTAGAACTCTGTAGCACTATCTATAATATCTTTTCTAGTGTTAGGTCTTGTACTTCTCGACTTTAAATTTTGTATCCAACTTTTGTGAGTATTTAATTGTCTATATGCTCTTTTTGTGCTCCTGTACTGTTTTATGTTTGTTTCTATTATCTGTTTTCTGTAGTTTGCATAGTCTTGTTTAACGGCTTTATTAGTTTTTTTGAATAGCATACTTAGCTCTGCCTTCATTTCCGAAGTTTTTTGTTTTATTTTCAATAGTGTCGAGCGTCTGGTCATTAGTTTTATTGTTGATTGTGTAAGAATTTTGTTTGAATTACTTTGTTCCTCTTTGTGTTCGTTTGTTGATATGCTTTTTTTAATGACGTGTTCTATTTTGTTGTATAGGGTCTGGACATCGTCGTCTTCAAAAGGTTCAAGTTCTTTTATGTTGTTTTCTAAATTTCTAGTGTACATCATTATTTCTTTTTCAGTTTTGAATATATTTGGGGATGATTTGAACGATATCCTACATTTTTTAGTATTTTGTAAAGAATAAGTTGCTCTAACCAGTCTGTGATCGGAACTATACCCTAAGCCGTGCAGTACTTCTATTTTCCTTATACTTTTGGGCTGGTTTGATAGGATATAGTCTAATTCATTCTTTACTTTTCCATTTGGTGATTTCCAAGTCCATTTTCGATTTTGTCTCATTTTAAAATACGTATTCATAATCGACAGTTTGTGTTCGAAGGCAAATTCTATGAGCTTTTCACCTCTTTCGTTTCTTTTTCCATAACCAAATTTACCTAGAATCTTATCTTCTTTTGTTTTAGCTATCCCTACTTTGGCATTGAAGTCTCCCATTAACAGTACATCTCCGCTAGTCTGCGCTTGCGCTTCTTGCAGTGATTCGTAAAATTTTTCCATTTCTTCTTTAGAAGCCTTTTCAGTTGGTGCATACACTTGAATTATTGATATTATCTTTTTGTTGAACTCAAGTTGAAGTATTGCAACTCTTTCAGATAAGCCTGAGAAGCTTAATATATTGTTTTTGTATTCTTTTTTTATCAAAAGTCCTACTCCATGCAGGCCAGGTGTTTCTCCTTTGAAGCAGAATATAAAGTCTTGATGCTCTTCGATGCCACTGCCCATTCGTCTAACTTCAGCTAAGCCTAATATATCAATTTTTATTTTTTCTAGTGAGTATACTAGTTCTATATATCTTGTTGTGGATGCTAACGATCTTACGTTAAATGTTCCAATTTGTAGTGATTTTTGAGGTAGTGTTTTGTTTACTGGAGGGTTATGGTCATTTTCCCCCACGGGGACCAGCCGGCTTGGGGGAGTGTTTTTCTTGGTTGTTTTTTGCAGGTTTGTATTAAAATGATTGTTATTATTCCGGTTTCGAGTGTACGGTGATTGCTATACATTTGTTTTCTCTCTTAATGAGTTTGATTTTACGCGTGCCATGTATTCGTACGCATTAGTTGTGTTTACTTTTTTCGGAGCTACGTACAATTCATTTTCTTTTTGTGGTGTGCTGATATTGGGCGGAGAAGGTGGGTCTCTTTTCCTTTTTTCTCGATTAGCATCCGTTTGGCTCTTGATTACTAGTTTATCTAATTTTAAGTATGCTATGTTACCCTTCCTTCGTTCCTCTTCAAGTTTTGGTTGTAATGTTTTGCGTGCTTCTAATATTTCTTTAGTATAATCTTCCTTCACATAAATACCCTGTGGTAGTTTATGTTTCGATCTCATTATTTCCATTTTTCTCCAGTACGATACAAGGGATATTGAAATAGGTCGAAGCGTATTTTTTATCTTTCCAATTCTATAGGTATTCATAATTTCGTGCTCTTGTATGTTTAATCCAAGATGACAATTAAGTTTTTCAGATATGTATTTTACCAAACTTAACTCTTCTTGTTTGTCTTCCTTTATTCCAAAGAGTAGTATGTTAGTTTTCTTTTTAGCCATTTCCAGACCTTTAATTTTCTCCTTAAGTTCTTTGACTGAATTTTTAAGTTGTTTGTTTTCGTCATCTATCTTTTTAAATCGCTCATTAATTTGTTGCACAACATTTTTGGTTACAGCTTCTGTTATAGTGATAGTCTGCTGTTTCATTTGCTCTTGAATTTTTTCTAATAATTTTTGCATTTGATTATCCATTTTTCAGTGAAAATTTTTATTTAACGTTTTTAGTAAATAGTTCATTTAGATAAATGTAAATATTTTACTACCAAGTAAATGTGAGGAAAGCCGTGTATCAAAGATAGTACAATAAATATATTGATTTTTTAATTTTGCGATGTTTAGATAATTTAAATTTTATTTATAAACATATTAAAAAATTCACTTCTACCTTCGGAGTCAGGATGGCCGAGCGGTCTAAGGCGCTGCGTTCAGGTCGCAGTGCACTTCTGTGGGCGTGGGTTCGAATCCCACTTCTGACAGTTTTTTTCTTGTTTTTATTTTGCAAACGTCAATAAAATGGCAGTGACACAGATGAAAAATATCAAGTTAAGAAATCAATTTCTATTTAATTTTAGAATTTTGAATTATTTTACTATAAAAATGGAAATTAAAATGCTGCTTTTTTGTTTTTACCGAGTAACCTTTTGAAATTACATAATATAACAAAAAGTACAGTTAGAAGTTTATTGTTTAAGAAAAAACATCCCATAAAACTGTTTAGAAACCCGAAAATTTTGGGTAGGACCTTCTTTATAATGGTATATACCAAAGTTTCACCTTTGTCATTTTTATTCAAGTGCAAAAACTATTACGTTAGATCTAGTCGTAACTACCTATCCTATCTTTAACTCTTCTTAAATGTGATCCTTTGTATTCTATTCAATAATAAGAGGAAAATATTTTGAAAATTAAACTTAGGTACAATGCTTACCAACATAAAAACTTAAACCTAAGTTCGAAAACATATGCCTAACCAACTAACATTATTTTATTGCGTAACGTAAAAAGGAAATGTAGAAGAAATAAATAAAAACGATTTCATACTATTTCTAATCTATTCATAAGTAACGAGATCGTTTTATGATCCTTATTAATACAAAAAGCTTTCGTAACCTATAAAGTTTCTGATAACACTCCAATCAAACAAAACAACTGACCATTGTTACAATCCAATATCAGAGTACCAAACGTAACCACTAAAGTAATTACAGTTTTTGATACTGCCTTCTTACTGAGGTTCAAGGCGCTTGTCTTGTCACGCCGTAAAGCACTTTGATTCCCTTCTACTGATAAGTATAATCCCGGGCAGATTTTAAATAAACGCGCCGAATTACTTCTCTACTTCCGTCTAACGCGAGCGTCAAAAAACGGTTTTTCCTGGCTGAGCCCGTGCTCGCCCACTTGTCCTAGTGAAACTTTAAAGGCCTCCCATCCGGCCACCGGTAATCATTCGCTTCCAAGCAAAACGGTTTTCTATAGAAGTGCTTGTCGGGTATTTTCGGCCCCATGTACAATGGTACTATAGAATAGCAATAATAAACGCAGCCACAGCAGTCAATTAGGTATGAGATAATTTGGAGGATAAGTTCCGGCGCGCATAGGAATAAATTCGGACTATTTCGGACCGTCGCGTCGTAATTATTAAGTGTTAAATAAATGTGTAATATATATTATGTCAATGTAAATAATTTTATTTACATTGACATAATAATGTGTAAACTGTAATATCTTTAAAATAGTAATCTGAAACTTTTTGGCGGGAATGCGAGGAGTGAAATTGTGTGATTTATTTTATTTTGTCTATTTAGTGTTTCTTCAGGTTTAAATGTGTAATAACGGTGGTTTATTAACTGTTTAATATTTGTGAAAGTGCACAAATGCGGGAAAATGAAATAAAGCTGCTGGATGGACGTAACTTCTCGGGATCCTCCAAAAAGTCCACTGAAAAATGTCAGTAAATGACCACCATTTTACTGAGATTATATTTTATCCCATATCATCTCATTACTTTTAATTTCATCCCAGTTGATTAATGTCTCAAATTAATAATCTTCATTACATTTCATTTATCTCCATATTATCATTTTTCATAAAAATATGAATATAAATTAAAATAAGACATGACTTAAAGGTCTTAGTTACCAGGTCATAAAATCCCTTAAAAAAATTAGTAATCTACGGCCGGCAACTTGATAAGAATGATAAGACTCGGCAGTGATAATAATAACCTATAATTATTATCAAAAAAAACAAAAGTTTTTGTATATTTCTATGAATTATACTATTTTCGTTTAAATTACAATGACTATCATCAAAGTTATTGATGAAGAAGAAATCATCAGAAAACTATCGACATACATTCAAAAGATTTCAAACGACGCGATCTTGAATAGAAATAAATTCGTAGTTGGACTTTCTGGTACGTATGTACTTACTGATTATTTGTTTGTTAAAAACGTTAAAAACAAAAACAATAATTCAATTGTACAGTACAATATGTTTTAGAACTTTAGAACTGTACAAGAACTTTTAAATCTATTGGAAGTCTCTTTTACAACATAAAAAAATAACTATATGTAAATAATAAATAAGACGAAAAGACAAAGGATAACACGTCTATTTTTAAAAATTTCAATCGTTCCAATATAATCGCATTTATTTGCCTAATTAACTTTTTTTTTAATTCAGGCGGCTCTGTCGTCAAATATTTATGTGAAGGCTTACCACAAGTTGAAACGGACTGGTCTAAATGGACTCTAGCCTTCTGTGATGAAAGAGTAGTACCTGAAGACAGCAGCGATTCTACATTCGGAATATACAAGAAAGATTTAATCCCTAAGACTGAATTAAAGGAGAGCCAGTTTATAACAATCAAACAAGGAGCTACAGGTTGATATAATTTCAAGTTCTTCGTAGCAGAGTCGAATCTTTAAATCGCAGAGTGCAGGCAGTTACGAAATAATATGCTAAAACACTTATAAAATAGAATTAGTTATGTAGATGTTTTATTGAAATCACAGCTTTGTTATTTTATTTTTACTTCACGAACCGACAGACACTTTTTCACTTTTTTTAAGACACTTATTGTCACTGCTGTCTATGTATATGTTTTCCTCTTTTTGATAAGGAGTTTCTATATCTATCAACTCCAATATAGGTAACATTGTGATTTAAATAAATTTTTTTTATATGATTCACTTCTACTTTGAAATAATCACATTACTTAGTAAAATTATACAAAGCTTTATTAATTGAATTCCTTTAACAAATAAAAAATCCTTGCAGCTCAAGAAACAGCAAAGGATTACATTGAAAAGTTAAGAAAAGTCTTTGGTGGAGATGATTTCAAATTTGACTTGCTACTACTTGGTATGGGGCCAGATGGACACACATGTTCCCTGTTCCCAGGTCACAAATTGCTTGAAGAAACAGAAGATAAGGTAGCGGCTATAACAGATTCCCCAAAACCTCCACCGGAGAGAATCACATTAACTTATCCAGTTATAAATGGAGCAAGGAATTGTATTTTTGCTATTTCTGGGGCAGGGAAGTCAGAAATGGCTAAAGTGAGTAGTTTTTAAAACTTTCATGAATTTCTTAAAGCGTCTACTACTGGTAGGACCTCTTATGAGTCCGCATAGGTAGGTAACACCACCCTGTCTATTTCTGCTGTGAAGCAGTAATGCGCTTCGGTTTGAAGGGTGGGGCCGNTTATAAATGGAGCAAGGAATTGTATTTTTGCTATTTCTGGGGCAGGGAAGTCAGAAATGGCTAAAGTGAGTAGTTTTTAAAACTTTCATGAATTTCTTAAAGCGTCTACTACTGGTAGGACCTCTTATGAGTCCGCATAGGTAGGTAACACCACCCTGTCTATTTCTGCTGTGAAGCAGTAATGCGCTTCGGTTTGAAGGGTGGGGCCGTTATGACTACTTGAGACCTTAGAACGTATATCTCAAGGTGGGTGACGCATTTACATTGTAGATGTCTATAGGCTCCAGTAACCGCTTAACACCAGGCTGGCTGTGAGCTCGTCCACCGTTCTAAGCAATAAAAAAAAGTCCATAAGCAGATAAGCTATTGATGTACTTTCGTAGCTCGCACAATCATTTGCACGGTCTGCCATAATTTTACTTAGCATTTAAAAAAATCAAAACTAAGATTTTTGAATAACTTTTAATTATTACAGCGTATTCTAAAAGACAAAGAAGATTTACCAGCTGGTCGAGTGAAGCCGACAGACGGCTCTTTATATTGGATCCTGGACGAAGAAGCAGCTGTACATTTGTAAAATATGACTAGGTGATGACTGCAAGGAACAAACTTGTGCTATTCTGTTGGTATCACATCATGTAAAAACAGGGCAGATCATGCAAATTCATTTAAAAAAATCAACTTCTTAAGGCTTTAAATATTATCTGGAAAAAAAACACAAGAAAAATAATCATTATTTCAGTTGCTGTAATATCCGATGATGAACACATCCTATCAGGTGGGCGCACAGGGTGTGTTATTATGCCAGTCTGTCTACAAAGTTAACAAAAACGAATACGAGATTGTAGTCATAAACATGGCTGGTCTCATAACAAAATCACACAGGATAGTCTTGGATACTTTTTTGTCCTAAAAACTGCTTTAGAAAATAAATGAAAAAATATAAAAATAATGATATGATATTGTGCAGCTTTTTGTCAATGTTGTGTATTGATCAGTTCATTTAAATAAGGTAGGTTCAAACATCACCTACATTTCAAAAATAAATATACAACAACAAAATGTATTTAGGATAAAGGGAATATGTATAAATATATTTATATTAATGGTGCTTTTTACATGTTGCTATGATGTCATATTAAATTATGTGTCGGTCAAGTGCCTTGTTATCTGATGACCTTAAGAACTGAACTGAACTGTGAAATATATCTTTTTGGTAAAAACAATTTTGAATTAATATAGAATATTAATTTTATAAAAATAATTATGTATTTACATGAATATGTATATTGCATTTATAGTGTTACCTAATAAAATATTATACAGGAGTTCAATAAATTACAATTCTTTTAGTTAGCGTAAAATGCAATCTTATTCTTGGCACAAGACTAAGTAATGTTAAAAAATTATAGTTAAAAGTTTGGCAATGTTTGCGGTTAAGGTAAAAAGTATACAGTTACTCTACTGAGAGATGAAAGTCGTATAAAATAAGTGAATGGGTCTGATTCATATTGAAGTTTGATTTTCACTTTTCAAAATTTAAGAAATAAATATAATCGTAGATTTAGTTTAGGCTTTGTTTACTTTTGAATGAATAATTATTAAAATTCAGTTTTGTATTTCCTTTTGATATATCAGTGTGCTTGGTGAGAGTTATTTAACGTTCTCGATAGCGTAAAAGTTAATTCAAATTTGTATGCGGTTGGAACGTTCGCCGCTAGGAGCGCTGTTCCAACTGCAAACCGCCACCCGCGGTACGACAATAACCGCAAGTAACATCGCGGGACTCAGCTAGTTTATATATGTATAAAAAAGAAACAAACAAATTTATTTTCTCAATATGTGTATTTCTCACAGCTTCGTACGCTGGCGAGATCATCCATTCACATAAAAAAAGGACCTCGACTAATATTATCGACCTAACATTCATTTTTATTTATTTCCGTAATTTTAATAATATTACAAGTTCGTCAACTAAATACATTACGGGACGGCTTAGTGCACATGGCGCACCGCCGCACTTACAAATACATATTTATAAAAGATATTACATACGAAACTACGGTTAATTTAGCTAACCCTACAGTTATCAGAACTTGAGAATGCAGCATCGGAGACGAGGGTACAAAAAAAAAACAAATAAATCATAATAATTACACAAAGCTTATCATTAAGTTTGAGATGATTTTATAACACGCTCCGACGCTTTGTAGACTATAAATTTTATTTTAAAACAAAAAAATTATGTACGATTCAATATTTTACATTATCGATTTCGAAAAAAAAAAGAATAGTGCACAAGGAATGTTACGAAACGTCATTACAAGGAAACAGCTCTTCTTTGAATACACTATAACGGCTTAGGTACTACTACATACGAGCATTATTTTAGTATTGTAACATCGAAAGACACCTACGCATAGACAATAATTTGACAGATTTTTTTTACCACAGACCACATTTCATTTGCATATTTTAAAATGAAAAAGTCATTTACGAAAGTTACCTAAAAGACAGGGGCCACCTTTTTAATGGCCATGTGTTTAAGAATAAAATACAACATTCAAAAATACACTGTATCGAAGCGGATCTTAATTATTATTTCTACTAAGCATTTTTCAAACTCATGGCAATTGAAATTCAACTTTTTCAGGCAACCTTTACATTCGAAAACTGATACCAATCCAGATTTTAATAGATCATTGTCCGTAGAAATTTAAACACAAATGTTTTCATTTCTTTACTTTCAAAACAATCTGGTTTTCTTTGTCAGTAATGTTCAAATTATAGCACAACCATTTTACTCTTCGAATCAATCTAAATCTTTGATACATCGACAGTAATTATTTGATATTAATTATAGATTGTTACTGTCATTGTTTTATCACTCACAAAATTTCAAATGTACCATTATTTATAACCAATGCACATAAATGATTTATTTTTCCCACTTTTATACATTCGCTGTTACGAATATCTTATTTTATTTTTTATATTGCATTTTTAATAGCATGTATTGCATGTTAATTTACGGTACTTTACTTTTTTTTTATTGCCCTTGTAGGCAGACGAGCATACGGCCCACTTGATGGTTAGCGGTTACCGTCGCCCATAGACTTCAGCAATGCCAGGGGCAGAGCCAAGCCGCTGCCTACCGCTAATATTAACGCAATAAATGAGAAAGGGACATGACACTATTAAAACCGTGGTCTTATTCATATCGTTCAGCTACCGAATCAACTTAGAGCATAATGTTATTGTGCGTGTATAAATGTCTACATTTCATTCGTAAAAATAAAATACCCACAACAAATAAAAAAAAAACTGGTAATATTTGTTCGACGAAATGCGACATTAAGTGTGGTTTATTCAGAAATCGCGTCATTATAATATCAAAACAAAACTTCGCTATCGAGGAATTACAAAAAAATGCTTTAAAAAATATTCAACAATGCTTTTGTTGTGTAATTTACATTTCAGTGACTCAATTAATTCTATAGAATATCGCGTATTGTGACTATTTTGTACATACTTATTAGACGAAAATACTTTTTACATACAATGCATAGTTACGGTGTGAATTAAGAAAAAGAAAACCGCATAGGCAATTCCATTTTACCAAACAATCATCGCAGTGACGTAAGCTAATACTGACAGCTGTCAAGTGACGACAAAAAGTTCGTACGAACGTCATATCTGCGAATGTAAATAGGATAATTGTTTTTTTTTTTTTTTTGAAGGTATCGTCAAAGGTATACGGCTCGACATTTCCACGATTCGGTCCCGCGTTCATTCCATTCACTTTCCAGAATAGTCTAAATGAACTATATAAACGCGAGGCTCCCTCGTGTATGCGACACGCGAAAATCGATGTTATCGGCTGACAATACTGTAACAGTTCCACGTCGTCCGAAGGGGGGCGACATTTCCGAGTTGTTTGATGTAACATTCCTTGTTCGGTTGGTGTTCAGCGAGACAACGCCAGCAGTAGCAATTGAAGCTTCAATTTGTCTGTTAGGGACGCTCCGTTATCTATGTACATGCGTCTCGCTACTGACGAACTCCGTGTCTGTGGGAAAAAGTTTATTGAATTATTACTGATAATTGACCTGATGAAATTATCTGATTAAAATCTATTAAGATATTAAAATAAATATCTGTATCTAATATAAGAAATGTATCTTAATACATATATACATTTGTTTAATATGAAACGGGCCATTATTTATTTGGAATAGAGAGAGAGTGTTAGTGAACCCAATGATAAAAACCGGAAGCGAATTTTAGATTTCATTAGCCGAAGAATGTCATATGAACTAAGTGTGTATATCTTCAATTGAACTACCAGACTATTAAGCTCTTGTAATTCTCTCAGTTAAGTCAAATCAATGGATTGCAATTAAAGTACAAAATATTTTGATGTTAACTTTTTCGTTTTATTGCTTAGTTGGGTGGACGAGCTCACAGCCCAGTGGTGTTAAGTGGTTAAGTGGTGTTAAGTGGTTACTGGAGCCCATACACATCTACAGCGTAAATGCGCCAACCACCTTGAGATATAAGTTCTAAGGTCTCAAGTATAGTTACGACTGCCCCACTCTTCAAACCGAAACGCCTATTCGTGCGGACTCACAAGATGTCCTACCATCAGTAAATTATATTAATATTACTATGATGATACTATTTAATTAATTGATGATTGATAATTTGATTAATTGATGTTGTATATGTGGTCATCGAAGCCCATGGACATCAGACCGTGAATGACGGCACACTCCTTGAGACACAAAATCAAAGTCTAATTTATATTGTATAGCAAGCAGCTTTCCAACTATTAAAATACGTTCTCACCGGGACTTCTTCATAACAGAAACATGCAGATTCATCACTAGATGTTCTTTAATAAGGACCTATATTCATAGAATCAACTGAAACATATCGACGCTTGAAAGGCAAACGTGACTAAGCGACAATGCGTGAACTTTACAGTAGACTAATTTAAACTTGAAATACCTGAAAAAAATTATTCTATTTTAACGAATCTAGCTGTAGGATTAAAATGATTTTAATAGACCTAGAAATATATGTTTTTTGCGCATCGAATATGGTTTTTTTTTTATGATTGGAAGATTACTGGTGGCCCGGAGGCCTTTCCAGTTTCACCAGGACAGGTGGGCGAGCAAAGGCTCAGCCAGGTCGAATATGGTTATTGCCTATCATTTATGTACAAATCAGTTATTGTCGCTTAGTCACGTTTGCCTTTCAAGCGTCGATATAGTTTGAGCTTTTCCTCCAATCTTTTAATTTTTTTTATTATTGCTTAGATTGCTTAGATGCAATCGGATCACGTTCCACGACCCACGGATTAGACAAGCATTAGAACATCCAACGCGTACCTGTAGCAGCTAGTTGGGCGCCCAGTACGACTGTGAGTAGTTCGGCTTGCTGGCGGCGGGTTTGCTTGACGATGAGCGAGCCCCCCCCGAACCACTCTCCTGTGCAAACGTTAATACCGTATTAGATTTATTATTGTTGTTTACATTAAAACAAATATTTTCACTTTTAAACGTCACATGTTGTAATTATTTATGAGACAAATATCATACAGGGAATCATTTGGGCTGTCAACGACTGACAAACCGTACAAGATGATTAGTATGTTACAGCATATATATTTTACTGAGCTGTGTAATTATGAAAAATAATATTCCGGAAAAATTAATTTACTTTTTCAACTCTTTAATATCTTTGTTGGGATCAGTCGTTACCATATGCGGCGGGATCGCCAGCACTATTATTATATATTAACGGGGGCGTAAATCCATTAAAATGTTCACAATAAAATAAGAAATATAAATGTGACTTTTGAAAGTGATATCAGTAATTCAACGCTACCCACAAGCTTTTTCTTGTTAGAATAGAAAGCCTTTTATATTCGTAAATTGAAAGTTAAGCAATTATTTGTTTACTTCAAAACTTGACAGGTAAGCGCCTACGCATTTCAATGATTCAGATTTAAAATAAATATTAAAGTTCCAAGGATTTCACTTCAATACTCAGTGTGTTAAAAAAGAAGTTTGTAATCAACATGGATAACAATATTTTTAACGTCTAAAAAAAATTCTTATACAATTGCTTATAAAAGTTTCAAAGCGAATTGGGGAGGCGTCATTTTCATAATCACTTACAAGTTATATTATTAAGAGGTTGGCAGAATGAGCCAACCTGATTTAACTCATTATTTACTCTTATTCTTGAACTTATATTGATTTCTAATAAAATTTTAAAATGTATACATATATGAATTATTTACCCTTCCCATTCATTAGTTCTAATTATAGATAATTCAATTCATTTACAAAATTTTGACGTTCAAGAAAATTCATCCTATACCAAACAACTGACAATCTAGTGTTTAATATATACAGACAGACCTTACTGTAGTAGAACTATTGAAATTAATAGTATTGCCAGTCTAACGCGACGAATAGTACTAAAGCTATTTGTAGTCACTTGACAAATATTGGTAAGCACTGATAACAACAGTTTTAATTATTGTTCATTCCGGAAAAAAATAAAAAGCATCACAAATCAGATAACTCCCTCAGAAAAACCCGAGTGATTTATGACTTGAATGTCTGGTAGCCACAGATATTTACTAGCACTTAGATGCTACTTTTACGTTCCAATTAATTTCGAGGACATACTTATTTCAGAGATGTGTATTTGAAAGATATCGAAAGTCATCAACAGAAGTACAGGTTAATTTTTTGTCTTGGTAAAATTTAAGTTTTTTTATTCGGCAACACAAAACATGAAAATTCACCACAGCCGCTCTACTGTGATGTCTGCAGACAGCATTACTCCCAATTTAAAGCTCGACATCAGAACGCTTATTTTAGCTTTTAAGCTTAATTTAGCCACTCTATCTAACAACACCATAAATTGATAACTGACACTGTATCAAACTAAGCTTACGTGGTTTGATTTTAATCGAATTTGTTAAGTATTCAATCAGAAAATATCTTTTTAACAAGAGTCACATTTCTTCTCATAGTTAGTGTGGTCAGGAATTGTAAAAAATTAGATGAGATAATTGTTATCACACAACCAGCAGAAAGTACCTAAATAAGTTTAAAGACATTTCAATACAGAGTCTAAAAATTAAACTTAATCTTGTGTAGGCTTTTCAAACAAGACACATTTGTTTGGAGTTGATACAGTGAAAGTTATCAATAACAAATATGTAGACAGAGAGATATATAATGACATATATATATATAAGACATGCATACGAAAGGCGGGTAAATGTAATGTGTTTATTATATATTTATTGAAAGCGTTGTTACACATAATATATGAGAGGCGTGTATATAATATATGGCTATATAATGTGCGTTATAAAAAACACAATGTTACTAGATGGAATGGTATTCTGATATTCGGTTAGTCAGGTTCGGACTAGTCATATTTTCAAAATACAAAACTTAATTTCCTATCTAATCAGTCCTCTTAACGATTACGAGGGCTCTAGGGATGGGACCGTTAGTCCTTGGCAATGCATCAGTAAAAAACAATTAACTATAATATTCTTTTTTGACAAATCTTTATAAAATAGGGAAAAGAGATAAACCAAATCAAGCTTTTCATTTTCAATTCATGGAAATTCTAAGCAAAAATTATATCGTCAATCAACGAATTCATTGCTTTTTCAAAGGTGGTTTTATTAATAGATTTCAAAAAAGGAGGAGGTTCTCAATTCGACTGCATTTTTTTTTTACTTTCGTAATTAAGAACTCTTTTTTTTTCCATACCGTTCCATTTAATAAACGTGTTTCATGGAACATAAACATATATTCTATATTTATAGAACTTACCCGCCTATTATGATTATTGTTCACCCGAACATCCATCTACAAACGAAAGCAGACTATGTAATATATAAAGTATATAAACGAAAACACACACACTCTCATTTTGTAATTCCATGCAGACTGCGGGGGAGTTGACGTGTGAATTTTATTGAAAAAAAAATATATATATCGAAAAAAAAAACCACCCATATTTAGTCACTTATCTGACTTGCCTTACTGTATTCGATTATACAGGGTGTATTTAAGTAAATTAAAGCCATTTTGAATTCCTGATTGAGAAAGAAGCAACGTGATGAATATTGTTGTACCGTCAGCGTCAGGAACACGACTGATGGGGGACCTACCTCGAAGGCGAAGACAGGGCACAACATACGTTATAGAAATATTATATAAAAAATCGAGATATTTCCTTTTTCTTTGTACAAAGCTGACCCGAGATATCGACCGCCGTGATTGTTAATAATTTTCTTGGGGGCGACAAAACCGTCTTCGATGATTGATAAGAAAAAAAATCGCTACTATTATCAACTTTCAAATATTTATTCAACGTCACCATTTATATATACACATATACACATAAATAAATAATTATAAATATAAATTATACATAAATTAAATATTTGAGTAGGTATTTAAACGTGACTTTGAGAGAATAAGAAACATTCCATCGGTTTTATGTGTGAACAAAACCCAGTCCGATCCAAAAAAGACACCATAACTTTAAAATTAAATATAAAATTTTTTTGCTAACTCTACCCACATTAACAGTGAAAATGTCGAGATCAATGACCAGGCCGCGGCGGTGGCTTTGACGAGTTACTTGGAACTAAAATAGACCCATATACCGTCTTCTCGCATTAAAACTGTATAATCTCAAAATTTACTAATTTTACAGGAGAGTTTTAAAGGTTTAACATGTGATATTTTTAATATTAATCATCTTTGTAACATTTTTTTTATTTTTTTTTCCAGATACATTATCTGTCTTTTAAAGTAAGATAAAATTATGTATTAACTTTGTTAGTAGTAAACAAAATATAGGTAAACTAAAAAAAAAAAAAAAAAAACTAAAAGTAAACTACGCTCTTTTGACGGTGTTTATGAGAAAAATACTGGTGATGATACCAAATGATTCCGAATATTAACTCAATTTCGAATATTTTTGGAAATTGTACACTTTTAATGCCAAAAAACTATATGTATTTTAAGTTCCAACCAATGCGATACCAGAGATACCGCTGAGATACCTTTTTCATCGTAATTAGATTAATAGTGAACCTTGAACACCTTTCGTGCTGTTGATATTGAATCGGACTGGGTTTTATTTTGATTCGAGACGATTAGGTTGTCGTGTGTGATCGTTACGGGGTCCGGCATCGAGTCACATGTGCGTGTTGTCGTGTGGTGCGGTCCGCGGGCGCGTGCGTGGCGGTACCTGGTGGTGGTGGTGGTGGTGGTGCGGCGGCGCGGGGATGTACAGGTGCGAGGCGCCGAAGGGCGGCGGGGTGCCGCTCTGGAACGTCGCCTTGTCGTAACTCTGCGAAGGGTTATTCATAATTTCAATATTATAAAGCAAAATCTCATACATAAATACTGTCACAAATAGGAATCAAACCACTGTGTTTATCATCAAGTTTTAACATTAACTGGACTAGTCGTCTTTTCATTTTGAGATATGAGACCAAATTAAAAATGTAAAATGTATTTCAAGTTTATTAACATTATTTACTAGACCATATTAGACCTTAAAACTACGAGTTTAAAGGCTATTTTTAGAAATTGCATGTGATGAAGGAAAAGTACAAGTAAAAAAGTTTGTTGCCGGTTTCCTCAAAATTAACAAATTGTATCATACCCCCTTCATCCACTCATGTCTTCATTTATACACTCGCTTACGTTAAACATGAAGTTTGTATTATTTTGTTAGTAAGAGAGGCGCGTCGGTGTACTCACGTTAACCTTGTTGAGCGTGACGTGCGTCTTGGCGTACATTGCGGCGCCCAGGTCGGCGGCGGCGCCCGCNGTTTGTTGCCGGTTTCCTCAAAATTAACAAATTGTATCATACCCCCTTCATCCACTCATGTCTTCATTTATACACTCGCTTACGTTAAACATGAAGTTTGTATTATTTTGTTAGTAAGAGAGGCGCGTCGGTGTACTCACGTTAACCTTGTTGAGCGTGACGTGCGTCTTGGCGTACATTGCGGCGCCCAGGTCGGCGGCGGCGCCCGCCGTCTTGCCGGCCGCGCCAGTGTACTGCGCGCCTGCGAAACACATCTATACATAAAACAAAATGGTTAAGGCGCTTGGGGCGCTCTCACCTCGGCGCGACTCTCGCAGATTAATTAACACTTTTTTTTATTCCTACCTATGCTAATGGCCTTGAGAGGCTATATCAGCTTCGCCTTAACTAGTAGGTGAGCTCACGGAGCTCAAACCTGACGACGTTGCTAGCACTGCCCCTAGCAAGAGCCGTGCTTCGCAGCATCTACCACCGGATCGGAAACGCGACCCACTGAGAAGATCCGGCGAGAAACTCAGTGGGCTGTGTCTGTGGGTTAATTCGCTCGTCGAGCCCTTCGTCGCAAGCGACGGTTTCGACGGGGACGGTGACCGGAAATTAACACGATTCCCCCGTCCAATACTGTTAGTATACATAAATTCATTGTATATCTAACTAACTCAACTGTTCTATTAACTATATATATATCTATTAATTCTCCTGGATTTCAAAAAACGTTTACTTCAATAATAAGAAAACATAGTAAAACGAATTTTAAGGGCCTTGTACTGAATAATTACTGTCACTTTGGAACCGAACATCAAAATTCTTTTGGATGACAATTTCTTTTCTTCTATCAAAAGTTTTTGATGAATATTCACGTATCTTATTATGATCTCTACTACTAGTACCAAATCCGGGCACACCCACGCTGCCTACTTCTGCCGCAAAGCAGGTCCGCGTTCCGGTTCGAAATGTGGGGCAACCGTTATACAACTGAGACTTCTACCTACCGTCTCAACGATCCGATATGAAAAAAAAGTGAAAAATCATTCAGATTTTGTTAAGCTCTTAAATTCTAAAGCGCATTAGTGGTCGCGGCGCGATAACTACTCACCGTCGGGTGGCCCGTGGCCTTGTCTTCCTTTGTTAGCTAGTGGAAATAAAAACTATTAACCCTTTGACTGTTACGCAGGTCACCGGTGCCCTACGCGGCGCACTGAAGCGATTATGTCCATTTCAAATCAAATCAAATCAAAATTTTTTTATCAATACATAGTATAAAACAAAGTCGCTTTCTCTGTCCCTATATCCCTATGTATGCTTAAATCTTTAAAACTACGCAACGGATTTTGATGCGGTTTTTTTTAAGAGTGATTGAAGAGGAAGGTTTATATTATTATGTATAATAACATCCATTAAATAGTGGAGATATCAATAATAAATTACAGTTTCCGAAGCGAAGCGAGGGCGGGTCGCTAATTCAACTTAAGAAAGTACATACTTGTTGAACGTCAAAAAGAACTACCGCCATTTCATAAAAACTAGCCTCCGTCCTGAGAAGAACTGGTAACAAACTCAGCGGGCATGTCTTTTTTTTTTAAATATTAGATTATTTAAATATGGATTTTTACAAGATGTATTATATATAACGTAACAATTCTGTTACTAAAGCGCTTGGATTACCTAACTTTGCCTTCTTTTAGTTACTAATGTATGTTTTAGTCTTTTAGGTCTCTTAGAGATAGATACATTCTCGGTATCTTCTGATTCGTCTTTCCAAGTCTACACTAGACATTCCGCTTAGTAACAGAAATCGACATAATTACTTCAGTGCCTCGCGTAGGGCACCGGTGACCTAAATTACAGTCAAAAGGGTTAAAGCGTATTGCAAAACTAAACAGAACGTGCTGATACGAATATACTTCTTAATTATACATTTGCTTAATAAACAGTCAGACGTTCGAAATTATAATAAAACATTAAATAGTATATTAGGTAATGTACTGTTCATATGACAAAGTAATCAGTAATCTATAATGATTTTTGCCATTTTATTTTCATTCAAACTATATCTTATACCTTTAAACGAGCAATTCTTGTATATTCATAATAATATATATATAAACTAAATCTCGGAAACGGCTCCAACGATTTTCATAAAATTTAGTATACAGGGGATTTCGGGGGCGATAAATCGATCTAGCTACGATTTATTTTCAGAAAATGTTGTTTTATTCGTGTTTTCAATAATATAATCAACTTTATGACTCTTCTCGACATCTATTGGCGAATAATAATACTATTTTTACTGCTTTAAAGACACAACAAGATGGCGTTATAAAAAAAAAAAGAAGCCATCATCTAGTTTAACTGACGCGTAATGTAACTCCAATGAATGGCAGCAACGGGACGTTGACCCCGCGCTACCGTTGATTGGAAATATTAACTTAATATACATTTTATTTTTATTCAGACTATATTTAACGGCCGTCTGGTGTAGTGGTAAGTGACATGGTCACTACACAAGGGGGTCGCGGGTTCGAATCCCGCTAAGGGAAGATATTTGTATGATAAATATAAATGTCTTTTCCAGGGTTATGGATGTATATTAAATATATTATTATGTATATTGTGTATAATAAAAATCTTACATTTATATCCGTTATCTGGTACCTGTAACACAAGTTCTTTACGAACTTATCACGGGACCAGTTAACGTGGCGTGATTGTTAGTATATATTTATTTATTTATATATTTATTTATTTGACTGACGCGCAATGTAAAGCGAATGAATGGCAGCAACGGGGCGTTGACCTCGTACTACCGTTGATTGGAAATATTAACTTAATATACATTTTATTGTTATTCAGACTACATATATTTGACTGACGCGCAATGTAGAGCGAATGGATGGTAGCGACGGGCCGTTGACCTCGCGCGTCCGTTTCGTTAATTGGAAACGTTAACTTAATATACATTATTTAACAGACCGTTATGACTGTACTACGGTACTCGAATCATTGTACCATGTTTCACTTGCGGACTAAATAATAATAATGAATGGAATATTTTAAATGTATTCAACTGCTAATTATTTTTAATAAGTTTCAATGATACTATGTACACATATGGACTTGTTGTTCTGACTGAAATATAATAAATCATTCAATCACTCATTCAATACTGACTAGGAAACAGAACGTTATTGTTAGTGTGGCAAGGGCTATAGTTGCGTGTCTCACCGGGCTTGTAGTTGTCCTGCGCGTCGTAGGCGGGCTGCTGCTGCTGCGCGTAGGAGCCGACCTTGCCGCCGCCGCCCACCGCCGAGCCGCCGCCGTACTGCGGACCACACGCACTCTATACACACACGCCTCTTATGACGGCCCGAGGTTTTTAGCGGAAACTCGAGGAGTCAAGTTTGTTTTATTTTGTGCCTACAGCACGTCAGTATTGTCTGTATTATAATAATAATTATATAACAAAAAAGGAGGTATCCACAGAACACTATCACTTGTTTAATTAACAATACTCGCTCACCATATTTGGACGGCTAGATAAACATAACCATATACAGCACAATTTTGTCTATTTAGTGTTCCTTAAGATTTAAATGTCTAATAACGGTGGTTTATTAACTGTTTAGTATCTGTGAAAGTGCACAAATGTGGGAAAATGAAACAAAGCGTTCAGCGAAACGTAACTTCTCGGGATCCTTCAAAAAGTCCACTGAAAAAGTCTCAGAAAATCACCACCATTTTACTAAGATTATCTTTAATCCCATATAATCACATTTTATTTCGTTTTCATTTCATTTCATGTCATTTTTCATATAAAAAAGTTTTCATTAAAATTAAAATAACACTTGACCTAAAGGTCTTGGTTACCAGGTCATAACTTTAAAAAAAAAAGACTGTCTGGGCTCATGTTTACCCTAAAACTTGCACATTATACCGAGATGGACAATCTTGTTTTATTGTTGACTTGCTGAAGCAGCACTTTGTTGCTTGTTTGTGAAACTGTCTCAACTTGAAAAGATTTCTTCGTGTATTTTGTCAACGTTCACACATCACACATGAATTGAACTTTAGTGGTTACAACAAAGACAAAGCAGTGCCAATCTGTGACTCAAATTCTGTTTCCTATTATTGTTATATACCAGGCCTACGGACAACGGGCCCCGAAGGTAGGCAGTCACCTTCAGATATAAGGTTGAAGTTTCAATTATAAAATTTAAATCAATCTGTCCCACAACAGCAAGACAAGGCTTTATTTATTGACACGGTTTTATTGTCAATTTAAATGCTTTGTGTCATCACAACAAAGCACATTTATATTTGCAACTTCTAAGCTCAGCATTGGGTACATCTATATTAATATACTAGCGACCCGCCCTCGCTTCGCTTCGGAAACATTAAAACACACATGAAACAAAAAAAAAAAAATTAAAAAAAATGAAAAAAAGTAGCCTATGTTCATCAGGGACAATGTCGGCTTCTAATGGAAAAAGAATTTTTCAAATCGGTCCAGTAGTTTCGGAGCCTATTCGAAACAAACAAACAAACAAATCTTTCCTCTTTATAATATTAGTATAGACAAATCTACAGTGGTTTTTACGGATGTTTCGTTATAACTACTGAACCATACTTCCGATTGACTTGAAACTTGGTATCCATGTAGAAAATATGTAAATATTTATGAGTTTTGGACTCCCTACACCAGTTGCGGGGGCGTTAATAATGAGAATCTTTGTTGGGGTGAGAAATAATTATGTTAATTTTAAATGCCCGGACAGGTACATCTAGTCACTCATTAAAAGCTGCAGATATCTCACCGTGGGATACACTCCGTATTGGTATGTGGTGGGAGGCGGTTGGTACGCGAAGTACGCGTATCCCGGAGGTAGAGCGGCTGCCGGGACCTGGAACAAAATTTACTGTTATAGAGAAATCTACATATGAGTCGACTATTATCAAAGCCGGCAATGTGACTTTTGGACAATTATTGGTAAATCAGAAAAACGAATTATTGACTTTGTATTCCATTGGCAGTCACAAAACTCTTCTGAACGACATCTTAGATAAAAAACAGGTTAAGTATTAACCTTTATTTAATGCAGGTTTTGAACCGTATACTTTAAAGAAGACGATTATATTCAAATCAATCTGTATTGACATATCAATAACATTTTTTTGTCCAAATGCACAGATTGCCACCTTTGATAATAGACGACTCATATATATAAATAAAATTAGAGTGTCTGTTTGTAATATTGAAATAACCGCTTTTTAGTTTTTTTTTATTGCTTAGATGGGTGGACGAGCTCACAGCTCACCTGATGTTAAGTGATTACTGGAGCCCATGGACATCTACAACGTAAATGCGCCACCCACCTTGAGATATAAGTTCTAAGATCTCAGTATAATTACAATATTACACGATATTATCTATGGCAACATTATAATTTGACAGGAGCAATTTGTAATGAGGGCTTGCGTACCTGCTGCGGGGAGGCAGCGTCGGTCCGCCCGAACCTGTCGCCCGCGCTGAGACCGAAGGCGCCGTCCCGGGCTCCGTAGCCCACCTCGTAGTAGCCGCCCTGGGATAACAACACAACGTTACGTCACTCGTGTTTAGCTGCTTCAATGGAATCAGGTTTATAGCACGCGAGCGCACATCCGACAAGGCATCTCATACGAATATCACAAAGGGTTCAGTTTTATAGTGGTAAATTGTTTCGCGTGGAAGGTTGCTCATGCGATGGATCAACCACGTCAAGTCGGCTGCAGTTGGTGGTGGTTGGTGGTGGTTGGTGGCATAACATCTACCCACAGCAATGATACTGAATAATGACTTCGACCGCTCTGACAACAGTGATACGACAAAGAAGGTTACAATATACTAGCGGCCCGCTCCGGCTCCGCTCGGATCTTTAACAAAAATTTCAACGATATTTGACGTTGTTTTATTTATTTTTTAAATAAAAGAACATTTATTGCGGCATAATTATAATAGTTAGACATATGCTGTCGTGACACTTTTTGTAAATAATAATGTGTTCTACAAAGTCGCAGTACATTATTTTATTTTATCATCAATAGTTTTCGCAGGGCACGCGATGTAAAGAGTATTTTAGGTAATTTTTTACAACTTGGGTTACATTATTGGAGTTTTAGTAAGGATCCCTAAGTTTTTCAAAAAAGATGTAGCTTCCAAACTGTTAAAGATTTTTTCAAATCGGTTCAGTAATGTCGGAGCCTATTCAATACAAACAAATCTTTCCTCTTTATAATATTAGTATAGATAAAGCAATTCGTTGTCATCGCAATATCGGCGTCTAACTCATCAGCTAGCACCTGCGATGCTCAGTGAACAAATAGTATTACCATATGGTGCGGATGCGTGGACCTCATGAGCTGGTCGTCGTACGCGGCGTAGGGGGTAGTGGTGGCCCCGCTGTACAACGCTCCTCCTGCGTACGCGCCCCCCACTCCTGCCGCGGCTCCTACTGCGGAAGTAAACAAAAATACACATTAAAATTTATAAATCATTCAGCAGCAAGACTACGAGACTATTCGGTTGAACGCTGACGGAAGACTGATGAACTTTCCACATCATTTCTACTGACAAGTCTCTACTGCCAGGGCCCAACATCAGTCCCCGGAACACACTGTTACGACATGTTCGTCTTCAAATGTTGGAATTCCTTGTCGGTTCGCAAACTTATCTTCAGTTATTTTGAACTGACGGTAGGACGTCTTGTGAGTCGGCACGGGTAGTTACCACTATCCAACCTTTTCGGCCGTGAAGCAGTAATGCGTTTACGTTCGGGTGGGGCAGCCGCTTTGTTTTGTATCGTCGTGGCCTAAAGGATTAGACGTCCGGTGCATTCGTGTTGAGCGATGCACCGGTGTTCGAATCCCAGGCGGGTACCAATTTTTCTAATGTAATACGTACTCAACTAATGTTCACGATTGGCTTCCACGATGAAGGAATAACATCGTGTAATAAAAATCAAACCCGCAAAATTCTCTCTCCTTGACCTCTTGTAAATCCGCACGGGTAGGTACCACCACTCTGCCTATTTCTGCCGTGAAGCTGTAAGGCGTTTCGGTTTAAAAGATGGAGCAGTCATTTTTAAAATTGAAACCTTAGAACTCATATCTCAAGGTATCTCAAGACGGTATTTACGTTGTAGATGTCCGGTAACCACTTAACATTGGACAGGTCGTGAGTTCATCCACCTCGCTAATAAACACTCTAACAACAGTGGCTTGTACCTGTAGTCGTCGTAATCTTGGCTGTCGACGTCTGCGTGGTGGACGTACTCGTCAAACTGTTGCTCGACGCTACTGAGTTGTCATACTGAAAATTAACAAATTATGATTAGTTTTATATGAAACTAGCGACTCGCTGTCGCTTCGCTTCGGAAACATTAAATTTTATTATTGATAGCAGAGTCCCGCGATGTTATCCCGCGGTACGACAATAACCTCGGGTGACGCCGCGGGGTGAAGCTAGTCTAAAAAAAGTAGCCTAAGTTACTCATATCATCAGCTACCTATCAGTGGAAGTCTCGTCAAAATCGGTCCAGCCGTTCCAGAGATTACCCGGAACAAACAGACAGACAGACAGACAAAAATTGTAAAAAATGTTATTTTGTTGTATGTACCGTATATATATTCATATTATGCATGTAGTAAAAAGCGGTTATTTCAATATTACAAACAGACACTCTAATTTTATTTATATGTATAGATGTGCTTTCGTTTTTTTTTGCTACAAAGAATTCCACTAAGCTCCTGCGTTCTGAATGTTGCTCGGGGATTGGGAGTGTATTTAGTATTGACGTTCAGTGTTGGTAAATTTTCATCTGCCGATATGTCGACTTGTTCGTTACCGTCTGAAGGACGGGATAAACCTGTACATCATTTTGTTTCGAAGACACTCGCAAACTTGTGAACTCCTGGACTCCAGTAACCACTATAGAAGCAATCATCGGCCGATGCGACTATTTTAGAATTCCCCGGACAGGTCTAAATTTTTGTAATGAAATATATGTTTGACAAATGCTCTCGAACTACGGCTCACAGTGAAGAAATAATATCGTGTAATAAAAACAAACACGAAAAGCTAAAAAGTGAAACAGCACTACTGCTTCGGTTTGAAGGATGAGACAACCATTATGCTCTCAAACTGAGACTTAGAACTCATTTCAAAGTGGGTGTCGGCATTTACGTTGTCAATGTCTATGGGCTCCAGTAACCACTTGACTCCAGGTGGATTGGGAGCTAGTTCACCCATCCAAACAATAAAAAACTCAACACTGGGTGGGCTATGATTTCATTACCATCTAAATAATAAAAACCCTTCCCTTTTTAATCGGCACGCACTACCATCACACCGGTACAAGCTCGGCCGAGCATTCACCAGAGGTATTGCTACTTAGCAATGTACCTCTTGAGTTTTTATTTATTTTTTTATTGCTTAGATGGATGGACGAGCTCACAGCGTGGGCTGTGAGCTGGTGTTATGTGGTTACTGGAGCCCATAATCATCTACAATGTAAACGCGCTACCCGCTTTGAGATATAAGTTCTATGATCTCAGTACAGTTACAACAGCTGCCCTACCCCTCAGACCGAAACGCATTACTGGTTCACAGCAGAAATAGGCAGGGTGGTGGTACCTACCCGTGTGGACTCACAAGAGGGTCTACCACCAGTAATTACGAAAATTATAATTTTTGCGGGTTTAATTTTTATTACACAATGTTATTCATTCACCGTGAAAGTCAATCGTGAACATTTGTTGAGTATAATATATTTGATTAGAAAAATTGGTACCCGCCTGGGATTCGAACACTGGTGCATCGCTCAACACGAATGCACCGGACGTCTTATCTCTTAGGCCACGACGACTTTTGATACAAGTAATATAAAGTGGTACGGACCTGATGCTCTTTGGGTTGGATCTTAGGTTGTGCCGGTGGCTGGTAGGCGGTGTACGGAGCCGCAGTGTACAGCGCGCTGCCGCCGTACACCGCGCCCGACGACGATGTCTGAAACGTTTTGTATGAACATTTGTAATTGACACATATTCAACTATTCAAATTACTAGTGGTCGCCCGGTAGTCGAAATTCGACTATAATTTATTGAAATTAAAAGTTTGTACACTATTATGATTCTATTTTCAAACACTATTATACTTCTATAATCACAAATTTCGCCAAGACTACACTATAAAAAAAAAATTAATAAAGACACATTCTCAATTTGACTACAGACATCAAGAATAAAAGTTTGACAATAAATAAATAGTATTTTTTTTATTGCCCTTGTAGGCAGACTAGCATACGGCCCACCTGATGGTGAGTGGTTGCCGTCGCCCATGGACTTCAGCAATGCATGCGTGTGTGCGTCAAATACATGGTAGTGTGTGTAATGTTTTTTATTATTAATTTAATGTATTTTATAGGCATAATTTAAAAAAATATTAACATTCTGCACTCCTAGTCTATATGCTCTATAAGTTCCGTCCGCACAATTTTCGTAAAAAGGGATACAAGTTTTTCCTTCACGTATTAATAAATAAATACTTTTTTTGTATGATGTACTTTTTTTATTGCTTAGTGAAAGAGCTCACAGGCTTGTGTCAGTCTCCTGACCTAATACTGAACGTTAAATTATTGATTTGTTTCGACTTAAATGAAAAACGAATAATCAAACAATCAAATTTACAATTTTGCATAATTATTAATGCTTAATATTGAACACCCAAACAGACAACAATCTACTTCATCACACTGATGTTTGTCCGATGTGGGAATCAAATCCACGAACCTTGGATCAGCAGACAGAGATATTAATTACTGCACTACTGACTTATTGGTCAGCGGACAACAGCTTTTAATATAAATAAAAATTCATTATAATGAGCAATTATAAATTAAGAAATATATATTTTTTATGAAGGAAAGGTACTGGTGACCTGAAGGTCCTTCCAGTTTCTCCAGGACAGTTGGACGAGCACGGGCTCAGCCTGGAGGGGTGGGTTTTAGTAACAGCTGCCCAAGCTCCTCCAAAGGAGACCAAATAGCTAAAGAGCAGCTGCTTCGCGAATGAATCTGGTACTGGATCGGAATCGTGACCCTCTGAGAAGATCTATCCAATCATAGGTTGCACTCTTTGCAGAGTTCGACGAGTACGATTACCGGGGTCCCTAAGCCTACCCCTTAGTGTTAGAGCTGAATCTGATGGATCCCTAAAAACGTGATGAAAATGAAATACTAAACTGTTGTACCTGGTATGAGTTCATGATGGGCTGAAATTGAGTCAGCGTTACACTTGAGGGGTAGGCCGTGGCGGCCATTGCTGAGGCGCCAGTTAGCGACGCGTTCGTTGAGTTCACCTTTACAAATAAATAAATAAACGTTAGTAATATATTTATAAAGTTAATTTGTAAGCAATTTCTCTTTGAGGTGTCGTGTATCATCTGTGGTACATGCTTTGCAATATAATGATGGCCCTCTCTTTTTTCTGGAAGGACGGATTATTGGTCTATAGACTTCTTCTCTAGTTTCACCGGGACAGGGGGCGGGATTAAAACTAACATCTGCTCGAGCATCTTCGGAGAAGGTCTATGAGCTGAAGTGCAGTGTTATCATGAATCTACTACTTGAACGAAATCGCGACCTGCTTCGAGGATCTGGCGAGTAACTGAATGGGCTGATGTTATAGGTTAGGTTGCACGTCGAACACTGATTAGTTAGACGAGCTGTACGTGACTATTAAGGATGCTGGTGGATCAGGGGGATTCCGTAATGAGCACCCCAGCTCACGGCCCACCTGGTGTTAAGTGGTTACCGAAGCCCATAGACATCTACAGCGTAAATGAAGGCACCCACCTTGAGACATGAGGTCTAAGGTCTCAGTATAGTTACAACAACTTCACAGCAGAAACAGGCAGGGAGCTGGTACCTACACGTGCGGACTTACAAAACTTTCTACCAGCAGTTCAATATAATCTGGGGATAAGTTTGCAAACCGACCATCATCATTATCATCGTCATCATTCTTTCCTATTATCCTCTGCTGGGGTGTAGTCAGGGTGTGTCAAATCAGCTCAAATACCGAGCAGGTAGTAACAGTGTGTTCCGGGGACAGACGTTGGACCCTTGCAGTAGAGACTTCCCGGTAGAATGGAAGTCTCACGGCAGAGACAGGCAGGGCGGTGGTACCTGGTCGCGTGTACAAAGTCAAAGGCTAGTGTGGGTTACCGGCGGCGCGTAGACGCTGGCGCCGTACACGGGCGGGTGGTGCGACACGGCGTGGTGCGCGTACACGTTCTGCGCGCCCGCCGCCGACGCCGCCTGCTGTAACAGACACGCTCACTATCAATTACACTTTATCAATATCATGATAATCAGTTGCTTTTTTTATTTTTATTGCTTAAATGGGTGGACGAACTCACAGCCCACCTCTGTGCTTAGTGCGAGTTTTTTAACGTTCTCGATAGCGTAAAAGTTAGCTCAATATTTGTATGGAATGGGATCCAACTGCATACAAAATAGGGTTAACTTTTAAGCTATCGAGAACGTTAAGAAACTCGCACTAAGCACACTGATGTTAAGTGGTTACTGGAGCCCATAGACATCTACAACTTAAATGCGCCACCCACCTGGAGATATAAGTTCTAAGGTCTATAGTTACAACGGCTACCCCACCTTTCGAACCGAAACGCATTGCTGCTTCACGGCAGATACGGCAAATAGGCAGGGCGGTGGTACCTACCCGTGCGGACTCACAAGAGGTCCTACCACCAGTGACAAATCGATATCATTACTTGGGTACTCTGCGTAGGGTACCGGTGACTTACATGGCAGTCAACATGTTAATACTACAACATAGTCTACTCTTAAAAACACAATGGTTTTGAAACTGCATGGCAAACCTCAAAAACTGGGCCGTTTGAAACATGGGCAGTTTTCATTTTTGATTCAACTCAAAGCATACTTCATCTACGTATCATTAGGAATGACTCTATCACACTTACCGTGACCGTGGTCGTGTGAGGGGTTTGTTCCCCGGCCTTCGTAAGCTTAAGGACAAATTGTAAATGTGGGTATTAATTAGGGGTGTGCGTATATCGTTCGAAATTCGAATCGAACCGAATAATTCGTAAAAATTTCGAATAGTCCGAAAGTTTTCGAATAATTCGCGAATTAATGAAATATCTCTAGATTTTCAATTGTTTCCATTTAAATTCCTTCAAATCGTGTGTCAAAGTATTCTACTTACGAATAATATACTTTTCGTTTAAAAATCAATTACCCAGAGAAAACAGTTGCTCATTTTCAATATATTATGTTCATCTCTGTCGATAACACACAAAATGTAGATGGTAATATTGGCAAGAGATATATTTTCTATTTGTTGTGGTCTTATTAATGATTAAATTTTCTTTGAAAAAATCTGTACTAAGGTTACTCATGTAATGTTTTAATATTTTATCAAAGTTTTTAATATATATCCTCATTTTTTTTATTCATAAAAAATATATTCACTTAGTCATTTTCTTTTACTATATTTCTACAATTTGCAATTTATTATGCAACAAAGCAGTCGAAAGAACGACAGATAACACGAACCCGCATTTGAACTTATTTGAATTGAACCTATCATTAGTACTTAGGGGTGTGCTAATAATTCGATTCGAATTTCGAATCGAATAATAACATTCAAAACGCATTACTGCTTCACGGCAGAAATAGGCGGGGTGGTGGTACCTTCCCGTGCGGACTCACAAGAGGTCCTACCAGCAGTAGTTAAAGCGTTGTTAGCATGTAAACAAGAGCGCCTGTGTGGCGGCGCACCTTGGGCGGGCGGTGGTGCGCGTAGTGCTGCGGGGCGGGCGCGGCGGGCAGCGGCTCGCTCCCCGACACGCTCAGCTGCTTCATCGACGCGCTCAACTGCTTCTCCAACGACGCTGTAATTATATTAAACGTTATACATGTCAGCTCGACTTTTTTTTTGTTTTGTAGACAGACAGACGAGCATACGGCTCACCTGATGGCAAGTGGTCACCGTCGCTCATGGACGTCAACAATGCCAAGGGCAGAGCCAAGCCGCTGCCTACCATTAAATTTGTCACTCTTGTATCACTCTTGTTAGAGCCGTCGTGATCGTCATCCAGCAGCATTGCTGTGGGCAGATGTTATGCGCCCCACGAGCAATCGCCACTCCTCCCGGTTTGTGGTGAGCCTGGTACACAAACAGCCGCCAATTGCTGCCTTGATTAGGTCGGTCCATCGCATGGGCTTCCCACGCGGTCTGGTGCCTTCTACTTTGCCCTGAACGACAAGGCGCTCGCTCTATTGAGTCATTTCAAAAGTCTAAAACTGAGGCCTTCGATTGATTGATAGGACCATTCTAAATCTAAGATAAATAACTTGGGACAAATCTGACACGGTCATTTGAAAACTAGGATTTTCTGTACTTTGGGAATCAGAGATTAATAAATATACTTCTTATGTATGACATATATTTGTATGTATAAAATATATTTTATAACTTAAAATGCGAAACTAGTTTCTTTTATTTTGTTACATTTTTACTGTATAAAGTTATTTAAAGTATTGGTCATTGTTACGTATGACATTAAGTTAAAGTTGGCTCAATTTGAAGCCAAGAACTAATTAATTTCGGCTACGTTGTTCTGAAGTGAAGCATTTTTTTTTATTGCTTAGATATGGGGACGAGCTCACAGCCCACCTGGTGTTAAGTGGTTACTGGAACCCATAGACATTTACAATATAAATGCGCCACACATCTTGAGATATAAGTTCTAAGGTCTCAGTATAGTTACAACGGCTGCCCCACCCTTCAAACCGAAACGCTTTACTGCTTCACGGCAGAAATAGGCGGGGTGGTGGTACCTACCCGTGCGGACTCACAAGAGATCCTACCACCAGTAAAAGTTTTAGCAAACTCTCAGATTGAGCAAGCTCACCAAACTGTTCATGTGTAGCTTTAGGCTACCGGTGAATAGGTAGGAGAATAAAATTGAAACAAATAAAGTCAGCCGGGACAAGTTCTACTAGAGCAAGAGCCCGCGACAGCCAGACCTTCGTTATTTTATAAAAGCTGAAAGTTTCTCTGTGTATGTCTCCAACACAGGTAAGAACGACCCGCGATTATAGAGTTTCGATTGTGGTTACTTGGGCAGGTAACAGGCAGTAAAGGTATATAAAATAGTACCTTAAATTCGTTAAAGTATAACGCTTCGATCCGCGCCTACGATAGGTATCCTACAGTGGAAAATCGTACTCGAATGCGTGCCCTACAACGCGACGTAAAGTCTCGCATCGCCGAAGTCCGAGATGCCAGATGGTCTGATTTCTTAGAAGGACTCGCGCCCTCTCAAAGGTCTTACTACCGCTTAGCTCGTACTCTCAAATCGGATACGGTAGTAGCTATGCCCCCCCTCGTAGGCCCCTCAGGCCGACTCGATAGTTCAATATCGACGACAATGAGGAAAATTATAAGAACGATTAAATATTTTTCTTTGACATGTAATATTTTGTTTGTACTTTATAATATTAAAATAACATTTTTTATTTTCTATAATATTGCTATGAACGTAATAAAATAATTTTTTTATTGGATATCTTAAAAGATCACAATAGACTAAGCACTCTATCTCGCTCACACCCGCTTGAACAGTTGCTACCTCGCGCTCGCACCTACAGCGGGCTCTCAATGTGTCTGGCAAGATGTAAGAACCATTAAAACTGTCCGGCTCTTGGGGTAACATATTTTTATAAGTCCCTAAGTAACATATATAAAATTTAGCTTTTATAGTATAACGAAAGTATAATTAAAATTTATTAAAGTTTAGGGGTGTCTGGCAGGGGGTAACAACTGGAAAAAGTGTCCGGCAACGGATATCATGATTTCTAAAGATATTCTGGAGTAAATATTTAAAAAAAAACCTTTATACTTTAACGAATTTAAGGTACTATTTTATATACCTTTACTGCCTGTTACCTGCCCAAGTAACCACAATCGAAACTCTATAATCGCGGGTCGTTCTTACCTGTGCTGGAGACATACACAGAGAAACTTTCAGCTTTTATAAAATAACGAAGGTCTGGCTGTCGCGGGCTCTTGGGCTATACGCATGGGTGAAACTTCCCACCCACTACATCCTAAATGGTTTGCCCAAGTATTGCAATGCGTGGTCAAGCGTTGTCATGATGTATCCATATCTGACTCCATCTTCTGGACGCTTTTCAACCAATAGTTGCTTCAAATGAATCAGTTGCGTTCAGTACCATATCATTTTCAGTACCAGATCTATTTTAGTCCCACCAGACACAGAGCATCAGAGCGCCATGGATATTTTAAACTTTAGTGTCGATTCGGTTGGTTGTTTGGGTTTCACATATGATATTTTACGCTTCTCCTACAAGGGTCATTGCAATGGATTAATTGTTTATCTCTACTAAAAACTCAGTGCAAAAACGTTTTTTTTTTTTGTAGAGTTCACCATAGGACCTCAACATGCAAAATTGTCTTTCAATGTCTCTCGGCTTTGATCTGTCTGGTCCCAATTACCATGCCTTGAGGAGTCCTGCTGCAATTACAATCGTTTTGTTATTGCTGCTAGCTCCCAATGATGTTGCAGGCTCTTGTTGAGTTTGACAGCAATCTGCATAGAGCGATGGGACCCAATTCTTCTGGTTGAATTTTTTTTGGTGGCTTTTGCGATCTTAGTCTTCCGTGTCAAAATTGTCACTTCTGAGCCGCACCAAATTATTTATCTTTTGATGAAACAGATGGAATACACTTACCATAAGTTTCGGTGGGCAATGAGTGTGTTTCAGTGGCAATTTCTTTCAGATTTAAGAAGTCGAGCATATCTTCCCGATATGACACTTTGTTGGCACAAAATTTGATATTTTTTGAAGTATAAAGGACTTTGTTGTTTGCACTGCTTATATACTATTACTAGCTTTACCCGTCCGCTTCGTTGGGCATTTAAAATTGACATTATTATTTCTCACCCCCACAAATATTCTCATCATTAACGCCCCCGCAACTGGTGTAGGGAGTCCAACGCTCATATAAATATGAGCCTATCCATTAAGTACATGTATTTTCTATATGGATACCAAGTTTCAAGTCCGTGAAAACCACTGTAGATTTATATATTAGTTTTAGATGATACACAAATAGCTTTCTCGTGAATTTCGCATTTTTAAGTTATACTCCCAATACGGGGACACTCACAGGCGGCAGCGGCAGCGGCGGCGGCGGCGGGTTCTGCGGGCGCCGCGACCGGCGTCTCCACTGTCGGGATTGTTTCAGTCAACTACAAATTTAAAAAAAATTATTATTAACGTTGCGAATTAATAAACTTTTAAATTTTGTGATGGCGTTTGTTCGCATGTGCCCGTCATGTGTGCGACTATTTTATTTAATTGCGTATATTTTAAAAGGATTACTAAAATTTAATTTTAGCTAGTATTTTTACACCAAAGGTAGGGAATCATATTGTTTTCTTTTCACTTATTACTGTTATATCGTCCTCAATTTTATAAATAACAACTAAAAATGTTTACTCGTTATAATTTCCTTCATGGAATTTATTTATTGTATACTCTAAATTGTAACATTTTATTGGCGGCAACTGTACTGATGTGTTCAAAACGAAGTCTGCCACGTGGACACTAGACTGAGACACAGTAGGAGTGGGAGGTACTCACTAGTTGCGCGGGGGGCGCGGCGGGCGGGTCGGCGGGCTCGGGCGCGGGGGGCGCGGGGGCGGGCTGCTCGGGCGTCGCGTTCAGCTGGGCACACACACACACACGGGCTCGTTAGTTCGTGGCTTAGTATGAGAGATGGCGCTTGATTTATTTCAACAAACTGGTAAATGTTAGTGTGGAAGTGGTGGTGGTGGCCTGGGCGTGCGGGCTCACAACACGTCCCACCACCGGTCTACTTAAAGTCCTATGCATCTACTTTATGTTACACTAACAACTTCATGGTAGCTATGCTATGTTAGCATTGTAGGAATAATTAGTTTCTTCATTTAATACTATGATGACTTTAAAAAAACTTATTCTCAAGGTGGGTGGCGCATTTACGTAGTAAATGTCTATGGGCTCCAGTAACCACTTAACACCAGGTGGGCTGTGAGCTCGTCCATCCATCTAAGCCAGTGATTATCAAACTTATTTCTTTTACCGCCCCCTTTGAAAATCAATTATTTTTCAGCGCCCCCCATTTTTTATACCCCCTAAAACTTTAAAATCACAATTTCATTAATTTAATTAAAAAATGTTGTATTAATTTTAGTAAATGTAGTACCACGTAGTACATATGTATTTGTAGATGCTATTATTGTTTCTTCATATTATTATATGTTCGTACATTGCTACAGAGCGTGTATTTACAAATTTGCAAAGTAAAAATGAATTCATCTCATCAATATGTTTGTTTAAATTCAGAATTACCAAAATAAATTGCTAGTTCACTGTACTATTACTATGCTAATTTATTAGAACGAAACTATTTTTGTTGAATACCTTTCTCATAAATATAAGATTTTCATCATAAGATAATTAAAAATTTATATTTCGACTAGTAAATAATACTACTAACAATAATAACTTATTAAACTACGAATAAGCTAAACCTGGAAGTCGTAGAGGATTTCATTTATCTGGGCTCCGTCATAGCTAGTAATGGATCCTCCGAAAAGGACCTCAGAAGGCGAATCAGTATGGCAAAGAGAACTATGTCCCAAATGGACCGTGTTTGGGTGGCATTTCTCTACGGCGCAGAGACTTGGACCCTCAAGAAAGCCGACCACCAACGCATCGACGCGTTTGAGATGTGGTGCTGGAGGAAAATGCTCGGGATTCGTTGGACAGAACACAGAACCAACGAATCCATTCTTACCGAGCTCAAGATTCCAATGCACCTCCGCACTACATGCGCCCGGAGGAGTTTCGAGATCTTTGGACATATCGCCAGAAAGAGAGGTATGCGGGAGAAGGCACAGAGGCAGAAATCCAATGCGCTGGTCGGACCAAATACGCTCCACTCTCAATACCTCAGTCCACGTTGCTATTCCACGGGCCGCGGAGAGTGCCACCTGTCGATGCCCATATCGTGGTTGGAGGCGTCCGTATCGGGTTGGGGTGCAGTTGAAGTACCTCGGCCTCATTCTGGACAGTCGTTGGACCTTCCGTGTTCACTTTCAGAACCTGGTCCCTCGTTTGTTGGGGGTGGCCGGCGTGTTAAGCCGGCTTCTTCCCAACATCGGGGGGCCTGACCAGGTGACGCGCCTTATACGAGGCGCCCGCGTGGGGCCAGTCACTGGCCGTGGGGGTAGCGAAGTTGCTGCAACGGCCGCAACGCACAATCGCGGTCAGGATCATCCATGGTTATCGCACCATCTCTTTCGAGGCGGCGTGTGTACTGGCTGGGACGCCGCCTTGGGTCCTGGAGGCGGAGGCGCCCGCCGCTGACTATCAGTGGCGGGCTAACCTTCGTGCCCGAGGCGTGGCGCGTCCCAGCCCCGGTGTGGTCAGAGCGCGGAGGGCCCAATCTCGGCGGTCCGTGCTGGAGTCATGGTCCAGGCGGCTGGTCGATCCTTCGGCTGGTCGTAGGACGTGACAGAGTAAATCGGTAAATCGTGACAGAGGACGCCTCACTTTCCGGCTCACGCAGGTACTCACTGGGCATGGTTGCTTCGGTGAGTTCCTGCACCGGATCGGAGCCGAGCCGACGGCAGAGTGCCACCATTGTGGTTGCGACTTGGACACGGCAGAGCATACGCTCGTCGCCTGCCCCGCATGGGAGGGGCGGTGGCGTGTTCTCGTCGCAAAAATAGGAAACGGCTTGTCGTTGCCGAGTGTTCTGGCATCGACGCTCGGTGACGACGAGTCGTGAAAGGCGATGCTCGACTTCTGCGAGTGCACCATCTCGCTAAAGGAGGCGGCGGGGCGCGTGAGAGATGCACAGGCCCGCCGCCATCGAGCGGGGTCCAGGGAGGCGAATCTCGCCCAAGCCCTGGCCCTCTAAGTGTTTCGGATCTCCCTCACATGTCGGCCTGGGGACCGACGAAGGGGGCCTAAGAAGACGACGTGCAAGCTGCTCTGCACACGTTTTACGCATGAGCATCCGGGTGATGGAAGGCCGGCTATCCTCAACCCACGCTGGTTCTGACCCAGCGGGGTATTCCGTAGGATAGACCATTCTAACCGGCGCCATCTAGGTGGGCTTCGGACAGCCTGCCGACCGAGAGGGCTGGTGGTCGTGGCGCTGACGACCACCAGTCCGGCGTCCCGAGGGGGAGGGTGATGGGAGAGATGTACTCCGCACTAAACGCTTCACTTTCCCTCCTTTGCCTTTTCATGAGCTCTGTCATGCGAGGTTTGGATGCTGGTTGTTGAGCGACAAAAGGTTTTAGTCGGTTCGACTCCGACATGCCCCGCCCTCCATCCTCAGTGAAGGGCGGAAGTCCGGCGATTTTCTCTCGAAAAAAAAAAAAACGTGTGGCACTCGGGAACTGCGGCGGTATAGCTATTGCATAGCATTTTTCATCAACTTATGACATTATAATTAGACAATGATAATTTAATATTAAAACAATAATAAAACAAGACCACGCTATATTAAACCTTAATAAAGGCAAAACCTTAACTGTCCCCTTCATACTCATAAGCTAAACCGCGCGAGAGAGAGATGGGCAGACTTTTCATGATGCGCATGCAGTGTGACGTCACGCCACGCGCTTATTCACAAACACTACACAAGCGCAACGTGTGAATGTGTTGAACGCGAGCTACATGGTAGGCGGAGTGAGGGATGTTAGGTTTTTTTCGTTACGGAATTTCATGATTCGGTCGCCGCGCTCAAGGCCCGCGATAAAAGCTATGCAATAGCTTAAAAATGTATGAACTTGTAATAAAATCTCCTTGGCTATACTATTTGTATCTGGCTGGTTTTGGTATCATTAAAAGTTTAAGTTCGAAAGAAGATAATTCCAAATTAAAATTAGGAAGATGTGTGATTTTATTTATTTTTCGTACTGTCAAGATGAGTGAATCTAATGAAGATATTCGATACATTTTAAAATTTTACTACAAAAAAGGTAAAAAAGCAACGCCAGCCGTGAAAAAATATTGCGATGTTTATGGACCTAGTGCAGTGTCTGTGAGAGTAGCACAAATTTGGTTTAAGCGTTTTCAATCCGAAAATTTTGTTGTCAAAAATGCACGTCGCTCTGGTCGCCCTATTACGGATAAAATCGATGCCATTTTTGAAAAAGTGGGGCAAGATCGGCATATCAGTAGTTACGACGTAACTGAAGAACTGGGAATTGACCACAAAATAGTTATGGCGCATTTGAAAAAAACTGGGTACACAAAAAAGCTCACTGAAAGAAACCTAATGAACCGTGTACTCATTTGTGATTCTTTATTACGACGTAATGAAACCGAACCATTTTTGAAGAAGCTGATAACTAGTGATGAAAAGTGGATCACGTACGACAAGAACGTACGAGAAAGGTTGTGGTCAAAGGCCGGTTAGGCTTCACAGACTCTGGCAAAACCCGGGTTAACTCGCAACAAGGTGATGCTGTGTGTGGTGGGATTGGAAGGGCATTATACATTATGAGCTGTTACCATCAGGCAGGACCATCGATTCTGAACTCTACTGCGAACCACTGATGAGATTAAAGCAAGAAGTTGAGAGAACGCGGCCGGAATTAATCAACAGAAGGGGTGTGGTTTTTCATCACGATAACGCTAGACCTCACACATCTTTAGCCACTCAGCAAAAATTAAGAGAGCTTGGCTGGGAGGTGTTACCTTGCACCTTCAGATTTGTACCTGTTTCGGTCTCTTCAGAATTCTTTAGGCAGTGTCAGCTTAACATCACGAGAGGACTGCCAAAACCAATTGTCGCGGTATTTTGATCAGAAGCCCCAAATTTTTTATAGCAATGGGATCATGTCCCTACCTACAAGATGGCAAAAAGTTATCGAACAAAATGGTACCGACATACTTTACTTAAATGCGAAGAAACTATATAAAAAAATGTTGTGAATGTTCTTAAAAAATGCGAAGAAGCTTTTTCCCCAACCTATTATTATATAGAAATAAAATAGTAAACAATGTTTACAATAAGTGAGCTGTTTAGGCTTACTATACTATTTGACATTGGACGGTAATGGGTAAATTAAGTAAATGAAATTAAAAATTTTACAGCGCCCCCCTAATCCACATCAACGCCCCCCATTTTTTCCTGGGCCCCTTAACGCCCCCCTCTAGGTTTCAAACGCCCCCCAGGGGGCGTTATCGCCCACTTTGAGAAAGACTGATCTAAGCAATAAATAAAAAAAATATGTAATGAAGACATGTCTATTGATTTTCTCTGGCTTCTTCTCGGTCGTAACTTTCATGTGACCCGTGCTTATGAGAATATGAAGGAAGCCTTATAAGATAGGGATGGAGGTAAAGAGGACTTTTTGGCGGGAACCCGAGGAGTGAAGATGTGTGATTTGTTTTATTTTGTCTATTTAGTGTTTCTTCAGGTTTAAATGTGTGATAATGGTGGTTTATTAACTGTTTAATATCTGTGAAAGTGCACAAATGTGGGAAAGTGAAACAAGTAGCTGGACGTAACTTCTCGGGATTCTCCAAAAAGTCCACTGATAAAATCTCAGTAAATGACCACCATTTTACTGAGATTATATTTCATTCCAGATCATCTCATCTCATTTCATTTCATTTAATTTCATCTTAGTTGATTAATATCTCAAATTAATCATCTTCATTTCATTTCACTCCATAATATCATTTTTCATAAAAATAAATATAAATTAAAACAAAGCATGACTTAAAGGTCATAGTTACCAGGTCAAAAAACGCCTAAAAAAAACTTCATCGTAAAGAGAAATTGGCTTCTTCATTTAATACTGAGATGACTTTAAAAAAAAAAAAGTATGTAATGAACATATTATATCCATTGATTTTTTCTGGCTGCTTCTTCTCGGTCATGTGACCAAGTGTGACCGGTGACCCTTTGCCTATGAGAATGTGTGTGGAGCCTTATAGGATAGGGATGGAGGTTAGGGCCTACCGGTTTGCTGGTGGGCGTGGTGTCGTGTAGCGTGTCAGGTTCTAGAGCACCGAACTGCACGTCTAGGAACATTCCGGGGCTCTCCCCTCCCGGCATCTCGACGGCTGATGACGGTATCTGCAATATGTTACGCCGTTACTGTCACAGCTACAATCAAATCAAAATAACTTTTTTTTTTTTCTACCTTAGCTTATTGCCTTGAGAGGCTATATCAGCGTCGCCTTAACTAGTAGGTGAGCTCACGGGGCTCAAACCTGACGACGTTGCTAACACGAACCCTAGCAAGAGCCGTGCTTCGCAGAATCTACCACCGGATCGGAAACGCGACCCACTGAGAAGATCCGGCGAGAAACTCAGTGGGCTGTGTCTGTGGGTTAATTTACTCGTCGAGCCTTTCGTCGCAAGCGACGGGTTCGACGAGAACCATGACTGGAACGTTTGTCTGTGACATGTTGAAGTATGCTTAAATTAATATATTTATTTTCCATCCTTATATTTATTTCGCTTCACAAAATTGATATGATTTCTATGAAATATGTAACTTTACTTTTTTTTTATTGTCCTTGTAGGCAGACGAGCACACGACCCATCTGATGGTGAGTGGTTACCGTCGCCCATGGACTTCAGCATTGCCAGAGGTAGAGCCAAGCCACTGCCTACTGCAGAAGCATGAAGCATAATTACGAAAAAGCGTATAAAAGAAATCATTGGGTACTAACCTTAGAAGGTGGCGGGACTCGCGCCCTCTGCGGTTTCCTTTGAGCACTGATGTCCGTGGACCCGTAAACACCATAATTTGAAGTGTATACACCTGAAAATATCATTGAATGAATTGAATGAAATTATAATTTGTATGATTGAACATGAATTTATTGATGTATTGCGTGAGCTCGTTCCACATGCTGTTAGTGTGCAAGGGGTTACGGGAGCCCATAGACATCTACAACGTAAATACCGCCACCTCCCTTGAAATAATAGTTATAAGTTCTCAGTTTTTACAGTACAATGGAAGGGTGGGCTTCAAACCGAAACGTATTACTGTTTCACGGCAGAAGTAGGCAGGGCGGCGGTACCTACCCGCGCGGACTCACAAGATGTTCTACCACTATTGAACGTACTATTGTCATGTCTCTGCGACTGCTGGGTGAGCTGCGTGAGGTACTGCGTCTGCGCGGCTGACAGGCTCCCCGACATGCCCATCGGCTGGAAACAATAACCGCAATGATTAATGCTAATGTGGATATAACAACAGTAGGCAGCGGCTTGGCCCTGCTCCTGGCATTGCTGAAGTCCATGGGCGACGGTGATCACTTACCATCAGGTGGGCTGCAGGTTGGTCCGCCTACAAGGGCAATAAAAAAAACGTCATTAGGAGAATATGTTTTACTAAGACAGCAATTAAACATTTCTATTTCAAAGACAGAAAAGAAGTATGTTCTCTGAGGAAAATTGATTTTGATCACAAATCCCAGGTGTACATGGCCATTTATATATAATTCAGTTATTGAGCATGAAATTTCAAACAACAGCTTCCCATATGAAGATACATTTGCTCTATGAACTGTTCTGTTTTGACTCTTTATTTTATTGAGTATTGTTTTTATGATTTTTTTATTGCTTAGATGGTTGGACGAGCTCACAGCCTGGTGTTAAGTGGTTACTGGAACCCATAGACATTTACAATGCAAATGCGCCACCCACCCCACCTTGAGATATAAGTTCTAAGGTCTCAGTATAGTTACAACGGCTTCTCCACTCTTCAAACCGAAACGCATTATGCTTCACGGTAGAATTAGGCAGAGTGGTGGTAGCTACCCGCGCGGAGTCACAAGAGGTCCTAGCACCAGTAATGTATCCAGTATGGAATAAGAAGTACCTGGTGCGTATGCTGATGTATGTAGGGCTCCGGGGGCTCCGCTACCGGGGACTGCCGACTGCCCGCGTTCACCGTCGCTTGCTACAACAAATCAGATGAGGTTATAGCCACTCACACATTGTAGCATTGTAACGTGGCAAATCTATCTTATGTCTACAGTAGCCAGTTCAAATTAGCTTAGTAGAGTAAATAAAACATCTATCAGCCTGCAAACACAATTTGAATTTTTAATATTAATATATCAAATATTGGTGCTGAGAAATATGAACATCACTTTTATAAACATCTTATATAACAACTATCTAACAACTTATATAAACATCATTTTATGTCAAGTAAATCTTTAGCGACGTTCATGACTGGAGTTTTCGACAGAATGTAAGTAGCAAAGTTGTGTGAATTATTTTATTTTAACTATTTAGTGTTTCTTCAGTTTTAAATATGTAATATCTGTGAAAGTGCAAAAATGTGGGGAAAATGAAACAAAGCTGCTGGACGTAGCTTTTCAGGCTCCTCCAAAAAGTCCACTGAAAAAGTCTCAGTAAATGACCACCATTTTACTGAGATTATATTTCATCCCGTATCATCTTATCTCATTTCATTTCATGCCTATTGATTATTGTTCCAAATTAATCTACTTTATTTCATTTCACTTGTTTCCTTCGTTTTTTATTATTCATAAACTTTAAATATTATTTAACGGCAAATTATAAAAATCTTATTACTTGACACTGTGTGACACTTTGTATCGTCATGGCCTAACGGATAAGACGTCCGGTGCATTCGTGTTGAGCGACACACCGGTGTTCGAATCCCGCAGGCGGGTACCAATTTTTCTAATGAAATACGTACTCAACAAATGTTCACGATTGATTTCCACGATGAAGGAATAACATCGTGTAATAAAAATGAAACCCGCAAAATTATAATTTGCGTAATTACTGGTGGTAGGACCTCTTGTGAGTCCGCACGGGTAGGTACCACCGCCCTGCCTATTTCTGCCGTGAAGCAGTAATGCGTTTCGGTTTGAAGGGTGGGGCAGCCGTTGTAACTATAATTGAGACCTTACAACTTATATCTCAAGGTGGGTGGCGCATTTACGTTGTAGATGTCTATGGGCCCCAGTAACCACTTAACACCAGGTGGGCTGTGAGCTCGTCCACTCATCTAAGCANGAATCGAAATCTATATTTCGATATCAGCCGATACACGATATTGCTCGATGTGATGCGCATCGGCATATCGTACCGATTCGTTAATATCAGCAATATTCGTTTGGTTCGTATCGAATCGGCCAGAGTGAGTGAGCGCACGATAGGGATATCATGTGATGAATGAAACAGAAACAGGCATTATCCATACAATTGTAAACCTTATCTTTAAGTCCATATGTCTGTAGATTATTCTTAGCGTATCAGCAGGATACAATTAAGGAAAGAAGTTTCGACTTTCGACCCTAACTTGAATGCAGTATAGCCTATTTGCATTGTTGAATTTAATTTCACGCGCTTTGACCTTGAACTAGAATTTTTGGACAAGTGTTTATAAATACTTAAAAGTTTTTTGTGTTTGATTTTTAAAGTACACTTTTTTCTATTTTTAGTTGAATCCAAATAATTGAGTTTATTCCTTGTGTTTGTATTAAACTTTTGAAATCTACACTCTTTTGGTATATTTTGTAATTTTAAATTAAGACACAAAATACTAAAAACTGAAAATAATGTAGCCAGTCCTAAGCCTGGTAAAAGCATGAAGGAAAGTTTTTTTGAAATTTTTATTTTCATGTTCTTTTTATTACTTTAAGATCATATTATAAATTGATATCAGAAAACCAACCGTATACCGTTGACTTAAATCTATATCTACTACGATATTATATCAGCGTATCGTTTCAAATCTCAAATATCATGAATCGAGAAAATCTACTAGCATCCATCAATATATAGATTCAGAAAATATATAGATTCAATATCCGATATTGATCCTCGATATATAGATACGATTCGATACGCGGCAAAACCGATATTACCCACTCCTATTCTAGGGATAAATAAAACACTTACCTCGATAATGTTGTGGTGATGTGGATTGTGGTATGTGTAAGTGGGAATGTGGCCTTCGGTTGGGCCATTAGGCGTTTCCGGGGTGTCCCAGTCTTCCTGTAAAAAGCACTAAATTATTATTAAGGATAATTATTTTAACGTTCTTAGAAATCAATAACCCTGATAATATGATGATTATTGTAGAATAATAAATGTATTAAGGGGCAGAACATCCCTTATTGCAACACAATCGAGACCCCAGGTTACCGTGTAGGCTGTCAAGGAGCAGCCTAATGTAGACATCCCATCAGTACCGTAAAATGGGGGGAATCAGGACACTTTTAAAATTTGACATTGATTTTTATAGTTAATTTTTTTTTGTCGTTGTTGTAATAAAACGGATATTATAAAGTTTCCGGAGGCTTACATTTTTATATAAGATGGGTTGTTATAGTATATAGTTCATTACAAAATATACACAAAAACTGAAGAAACTAGCTTGACCCGATGGCTTTGTGGTGAATCTGGTTACGTATGGGGACAATAGAGTTTTTCGATAGGGCTGGCACTATTTAATTGTTAGGCAGCTACCTAACTTTAGGCAATTAACTTTTTATTATCTCTAATGAGTTACAATACTTTGATGACTAAATTTAAACCATTTAATATTCTTAAACACTAATAAATTCATTTTCAGTTAAACAAAGTTAAATCTAACAATTCAACAAAAGTATTGTGACATATCAGATTTGTCCCTATTCTACCTCTTTACCCCCCCCCCCCCAATCTACTGTACTTATAAAACCGATAAATGAAGTACACTATATTTTTATTTATCTACTCAATATAAGGGTGAGCGATCTCCCAGCCCACCCCATCGCCGACCCCGAGACACGAGATCCAAGTTAAATCACACAAGAAGAAAGAATGGGTGTATCACGACGTTCTACCACCAGTACAAAAATTATATTCCCATAAGCATTGGTTGCAAACGTCATGATTACGGTCTTCTTAATTACTTTGACAGGAATTTCATAGAACAATAACAAATAAGTATCAGTGAAAGTATTTGACTATTTTTAAATCACATAAAATTTGACTAATTATTCGTTATGTTCTATTTATTCACAAAAAGTGGTAAGTGATTGCGGCCGCGACGCGTCTTGTCCGACGCGTCGGATCGGACGCGCGTCGCACAAGGCGCGTGGCGGCGGACGCGGCGCGGGCGACTCACGCTGCGGGCGGCGGGCGCGGCGTCGGACGCGGCTAGCTGCGCGCTGGAGCTCGCGATGAACACCTGCACACCGCAACACTGGGTGTTACAACAAACGCAACTTCTATACGATAGTGATTGTCTTTCTTTAAGCATACATACGTGAATTTCCATGATGTTTTATTATGTCCATACGATGGAAGGGTCAATATGGAAGCTCATCTATCTTACATTCAAAAGAATTTTAATTTAAATATTTTTTTATTTTTTTATTGCTTAGATGGATGGACGAGCTCACAGCCCACCCGGTGTTAAGTGGTTACTGGAGCCCATGGACATCTACAATGTAAATGCGCCACCCACCTTGAGATATAAGTTCTAAGATCTCAGTATAGTAGTTACAACGGCTGCCCCATCCTTCAAACCGAAACGCATTACTGCTTCACGGCAGAAATAGGCCGGGCGGTGGTACCTACCCGCGCGGACTCACAAGAGGTCCTAACACCAGTACAAGCATTTATGCGTAATTTAATTAAAATTGTCTGCCATCTGAGTAAAGGGTGTAAGTGAACGGTTCCCAAAGCCGAAACGGTAAGAACTGATCAACATAAAATTAAAACAATCCTTAATATTTGTTAAGCCGGATATAATTAAGTGAGCCCGCAATCTAAAGCAAAGCTGACGGACGCATACCGAGTTACAAGAGACGACGAGGTCATTGACCTCGCACGTTCGCTTTAAAATGTGTTACATTGCGTGCAAGTATAAGCATTAGTAATATTTAATTGACACAAGCACTTCGTTTCTCTGCGTTCGAGAACATTTCCCTTGCACCCCCGATCACCTTTAATATTGCATTTATTTGGGGGAGTAAAACCTTAGTTTAATTCGAAAGCCACAAACATCATTAATGAGTTCTAAAAAACAAAACCAAATTAGTGACCCATTACATTAAGCAATCATAAATTAATGTCACGCATTCAATTAAAATGGTTTAATCACCTTGGTATCGGACAGAGATCCTGACCACTCCTCGTTGTCCCAGTCTTCCGTTGCAGGGAACGAATCTCCTGCATTTGGATCTGCACAAAAATGTACAATTTTTGAAATATAATTTAAAAGATTTGAAGTTGAATATGTTGAAAATTTCATATGATCTGACCATCTTGTAGATCCATTAGTTACTGCACTGATTACGAAACCACATAGCCTTTTTCAAATACAAGCAGGTCATGATTACGTCAAAGTTTGAAATTCTAATACTCATTATTTTCTGAAAGGCTTTAGTACTATGGTACTGTGTTATGACACACCAGAAGATCTCACAAGGGATATTAAATGTCAAATATTTATTTCCTACTAAAATGAGTATATACCTAAGCCTTTTTGGATTGAAAAAATACTCAGGTGTCTAGAGTGTTCACCTTGTGGAGAGGATCCGCTGTCGAGGGGCGTGTAGTCGTGCTCTCTTGCCCCCCGAGGTCTGCCCCTGCCGCCCCGCGCGCCCCCCCGCGCTCCCCGGGCGGCTCCCCTCCCCCGCCCCCCGCCGCGTCCCCGCCACGAGCCCTCGCCGCGCTCCGGACGCTCCGTGTCCCCGCGACCTGCCGACACAATTCGTTTCAAACTTGCACCATTCCCCTCGCACTGTAGCATGGCGAAGCTACTACTTGACACGGCTACAATATCACCAACCGTATTGTCAAAAAACATTAAGCTAATTCTACAAATCTACAACATCCATTTACAATGAACTGATTCCCCCGTACAGAGCTCGAAGATCAGTTTCGAGTCACCGAACCTCACGCGGCAGCTGACGGAAGAGGCTGCGCCTTTAATATTTCTGTTAATGACCCTATATTCATTGCAAAACGATAATTGAAATTTCCATAAAACTGACTAAGACATGTTTTTCTATAATAAACTGATTATGTGACCTGTATTACCTAGTGTTCAGTTTGTATGTTACGGTATCGACTCACATTTCGTTCAATCTATATTCGTAAAGTTTTGTAAGCTTGTGGACTAGCGGTGGGACGTGTTGCGAGTTCCAGGCCCAGTTTCAAGGGTGGGGCAATACACCGAGACCATTCTCGTGGACTCATGTTGTGATGTTGTTAGGGACTTTTTTTTTATTGCCCTTGTAGGCAGACGAGCATACGGCCCACCTGATGGTGAATGGTTACCGTCGCCCATGGACTTCAGCAACACCAGGGGCAGAGCCAAGCTGCTGCCTACCGTTGAGTACTCTCCACAAGCCTCGTTTGAAGAAGGACAAGTCATAGCGCTCGGGAAACACCGTGGAGGGGAGCTCATGACTCACTGAAGACAACGGTCAATACATACGTGATCTCGGTCCGGAGCGGCTCCGCGGGTCGCGCGGCTCGACCTCGCCGTTGCCGGCGGGGGCGGGAGGTTTCTTCTTTTTCTTCTCTCTGGTTTGCCATTCGCCCTGGAACAAGTATTAAATTAATTAATTTACCCGTTATTTTACCGTGTTGGACCGATCGATGACTTGCGGCGATATGCTAGGAAAGATTGGATGCGGAAGGCGGAGGATCGTTCATTGTGGCGGACTATGGGAGAAGCCTACATCCAGCAGTAGCGAGTTACATGCTGATGATATATGATACAAATAATTTACAACAATTTCAAACGAATCCTTTTTTTTATAAACCATTGAAATTGGAACGCCAGTGTAATTAGCAGCAGAAACATGGTGGTTGATGCATGGAATGTTTCTATCTTACATAGATAGAAACATTCCAACACATATTTGCAGATAAATTTTAATAATAATGCACAAATGAAGCATACATTTTGGGAAAGTGATCCTCGTATACCAGATGAGATTCCACAACTAATATAATAATGCCAATTACTATGAACGCACCTGGGGATAAATTTACAATACTGTTAAAGATTGAATTTTATATCTCAAGGCAGGTGCCTGGATTGTGACTATTGGCTGTTTAAACCACTTAACATTAGGTGAGCTTATACATTCAGGCAATAACAATGCATTTCATACAATTATATATATTTGTTTACCTGTATCCGTTGACTTTCTTCAAGTAGCAGGTTGCAGGCGGCGTCGAGGTCGTTGTCTGTGTCATGTAGGGCGGAGCAAACCTCATCTTCAGTCCTACAGGTCATCTCCATTAACTCCAGGACCTAGAGAAACGAGAAATCACATTCCTTTTAACTTTCTGTATACAGCTTCTCTGTATGGTTCGGTTTCGCATCAGACTGTACTGGTTGCCAATACGGGAGCAACTAATCGCTGCTTCTATATTGCTTAATTCATCTCAAGATACAGCAAACTATTTGTTTTATAAAATCATTGATTATTGAAGTATGTGTTGAGTTTGTAGTCTGACGGTGTGAACTTGTATACCTATATTTTTTTCATTTATTCCATGGATGGGTGGACGAGCTCAGAACCCACCTGGTGTTACCAGAGCCCATAGACATCTACAAAGTAAATGTCGCCACCCACCTTGAGATATGAGCTCTAGGGTCTCAGTATACTTACAACGACTACCCCACCCTTCAAACCGAAACACATTACTGCTTCACAGCAGAAATAGGCAGGGTGATGGTACCTACCCGTGCGGACTCACAAGAGGTCCTACCAGCAGTGAATTTGCAGTTAGCGCCATTTAGGTAGTTGTCAAACAGCCTTTATTCTGTAAATAGCTTCTACTACAAGGGTCAGTCACCGGACGAGTATCTAATACTTGTTGCTAATAGGATACTGTGGACTCCACTGACTAATCCACCTCAGAAGTCACGATCAGAACCTCAAAAGTACTCAGGACATGCCGTCCTAAGATGCTGACCGATCCAAACTGATGTGATAATTCATGAAAATATTCCATTCCAACTCACCATTCGTCGAACCTCGGACGAGTCGTCGCTTTTACGGTCGATCATATGTGCCATTCGGAGTTGTTCTGTAGTCGCCTGCAATCAAAAAGGATACCTCAAAAGTAATGTCTCAAATGTAATTATGTATATTATAGTAGCTAACCCGGCAGACTTCGTAGTGCCTCAATCGCCAAATAAAAGACCTAAACTTTATTTAATTCCAATTTTCATATAGTATCTACCTTTTAGACCTTCTGTGGACTTCGACAAATAATTCAAGACCAAAATTAGCCAAATCGGTCCAGCCGTTCTCGAGTTTTAGTGAGACTAACGAACAGCAATTCGTTTATATATATATATATAGATTACACGAGGTTATGGCTTCGTAGTTATTAATTGTAATCAAAAAAATCATGTACCATTTTAGGATTGATTACATATAACACACCTGGAGTTTTATAGTTTAAACCACACGTAAGTAGAGTATGATAGCGTTCAGTTCGGTAATACGACCCTTACTATTTCCCTTTAATAGGCATCCCTTACTTCTCTGTCACACGTAGGCCCTAACTTCGATTTCATTTTAGGTAGGAAAGAGATGAATATATATCTAAGATGTTTTATTAAAACGCAATGTCAGCTGTGATTGTGTTGACCTATATTTGCGTCTATTGAATACTGATTGTTGAGTTTATCATAAATAAGAACTCATCGGTTTCACCTGAATATTTCTATCGCGAAACTGCAATTTCAAAGATGGGAATTGTCTTAGAGCGGGCGACGAAACGGCGTTTGGCGTCAACCACTTAACATCAGGTGAACCGTGACTAAGAGAGTAAAAATTACACAGTTTAACTACATCATGATAGAAGAAAGAAATACTTAACAAACTCGAGTACTCTCTTACCATTAAAAGTAATCAGTGATTCAATTCAATCAAGTAATGAAATTGTAACTATACTGAGACCTTAGAACTCACATCTCAAGGTGAGTGGCGGCATTTAACGTTGTAGATGTCTATGGGCTCCAGTAACCACTTAACACCAGGTGGGCCGTGAGCTCGCCAATACATCTAAGCAATGAAAAAAAAATATATATTCACTACTACACACAATACGTACTAAATCGATACTGAGAGCTTGTTCAAAGTTCGAAGTTTACTTATTCAAAGAGACTATAATAGACTTATCAAAATATATATGTATACAAAGAGCACATTAAGAACAAACTCAAATCTACAGTAAATAAATCCATTCAAATACCTAGTTATATCAAATTAAATAAAACCGTGTGCATAATGCGAGTTTTTTAACGTTCTCGATAGCGTAAAAGTTAACTCATATTTGTATGGAATGAGTAACGTGACCATACATCCCGATTTTGGCGGGATAGTCCCGCTTTCGGGCATTCTGTCCCGTTGTCCCCAGTGAGGCCGACATAGTTCCGCTTTTGGAAACAGACCAAACGATAAATTTATTTGTCAATTCAACATAGAGCTAGAAGTGTTTAAATCGGCTAATTTAACAAAAAAAAAAAAGAGGTACGGACTATCACAGAGTACTAACTATTTTTTGTTTAGTGCTTTGATTCTTTTGTGTTATTCTATCTTCTGTAAGAAAATACTTGTAAAGCACTAAATACTTTTTTTATTATATTATATTTTCGCAGATGTCCCGCTTTGACAATAAAAAATTATGGTCACGTTAGGAATGTGATCGTTTGAACGTTTGCCGCTAGGGGCGCTGTTCCGATTACATACAAAATTGGCTCAACTTTTACGCTATCGAGACCGTTAAGGAACTCGCACTAAGCACACCGAACCATAGTTCAAAGTTCGAAGTTTACTTATTCAAGGAGACTAGACTTATCAAAATATATACGGATACAAAGAGTACATTAAAAACAATTTTTTTATTTTTTATTGCTTAGATGAGTGGACGAGCTCACAGCCCACCTGGGGTTAAGTGGTTACTGGAGCCCATAGACATCTACAACGTAAATGCGCCACCCACCTTGAGATATAAGTTCTAAGGTCTCAATTATAGTTACAACGGCTGCCCCACCCTTCAAACCGAAACGCATTACTGCTTCACGGCAGAAATAGGCAGGGTGGTGGTACCTACCCGTGCGGACTCACAAGAGGTCCTACCACCAGTAATTACGCAAATTATAATTTTTATTATATAATTCAATTCGATAGTAAATAAATCCATTCAAATATGTACATAGTTATATCTAAATTAAATAAAATCGAACCGTAACGTTCGAGTTCACTGACCTGCGGTTTGGCCTTCTCCTTGGGCTGTGGTCTATCTGCGCCCTTGCCCTTGTCGGCGGCGTGTTTGCCCTCCTTGCCTTTCGCACCACACTTGGTGGCGCGCGCTCCCAAACTCATTGTTAACTAAATTTATTTTTATATTTACAGCCTCTATTTACAAGCAGCTGTGGACAAAATGAGCTTTTGTTAATTTGTTTTCGATAAGAGTTTTAATCTAGATTAGAGATTCGTTTTCGCTTGTTTTGGTACAATGATGTTTAAATATTATGGAAGCAAAAAACTAAAATAAAGATGGCGCTCCATGATATTTTGACACTTGAAAAATTGTCCTTAAAACTACGAGTATTATATAACAGCAACAACGAAGTTTATCTCCAATGTGGAATGTGGTCGGTACGAGCTTGTCCATATTTTTAGCCGACTTCAAAAAAGGAGGTGGTTCTCAATTCGACTGCATGTATTTTTATTATTTTTGTTACCTCCTAACTTTTGACTGGGTGAATCGATTTTGATGATTCTTTTTTTATTAGAAAGCTGACGCTTCCCGTGTGGTCCCATTTCAATTTAGTCTAGTTCTGATAAAGGTATCCATGAGAAAACCATGTAAGTCTTAAATTTGCATTAAGTACGTGCGCGACAAATAGATGAATAAACTCTATAAATTAATATCACGCCACCGATTTCGATGATTAATGTTTTTAGTTAATTTGTTTTGGAACATCTTTTCTTTTTCTATTTGAAGTCGGATTTTGTTAAAGCATGTCTATTTACAATCATTTTTGTAATTACAAACAACCAATTTTTTTTTTCTAACGATATCTCAATTGGGCCATTGAAAATCGCACTTAACAGTAAAACGAATGAATAAGAAACTCAAAATTACGGCGAACGATGTTCTGTTACAAATTAAACCTTTTTTCAGCTCACATGGCCACCCTGCTTGGCTAGGTGGAACATCCCTTCGTAAAATTAAGGGTGCGACCGCGGGCACGTATTCATATTGTGGCGTCTATGATTTTGGATACCCATATCAAATCAAACAGTTGGGCCTCATGTGCCAAAATAAAATAATACAGACTATTACATCAAGATGAGAATTCGACAGAAGGATTTTTGATTTTACACTGTCAATATTCTCAATAATAAATCTACATTTCAATAGTGTTTGATACAATTGGCAAGGAATCAAACATTGCTCTCACATCCACCGCCTTGCACACAATATCATTGTGTGACATTAAGAAGGGTTGTATAGAATTCGAAAAACGGATACATCACTTCACGGCAATTGGTTAATAATACATATGCAATCGCAAGATACATCGTTCGATAAGGGTCAGCGTGCTTCTGTTGTAAAATCTGCACAAGGCCAATCGGACGGTCGTAAACTTATCGACTGGACTGGTGTAACAAATGGACCGTTTGCATACAAAGTATTATAGATTAAGATTGTATCTTTGTCTGCTAGTTTGTTCGTGTTATATGCGTTCTGTAAAACCGGATGGATTATTTTTTAACAGGCTTTTATTAGCTCGGCCAATGTTCCAACCATGTTTCTATGCATCTATGTAACGGAATCCTTGGGCGTGATTTACAACCCCTTCAAAATGTCGGATTTATTTGAAACTGGTCACACTCATCAAGGACCGATGACAATACAATAATTTAATACAGTTGTTCGATTATCCTGTTCAGCATTTTTAGGTTTAAAACTGAAAATACGGTACGAAATAATAATCTGTTTTTTCCAAGTGATGCACTAAAAAGCCAATTCTTCCTTACTATGAAATTATAATCGTTAGAGATCAAGTTTAAAAAAAAAAAGCTTTTTAACGTTTCTTAGCGTGTTAAATAAGCGTGTACAGCCCATTACATAATCATTAAATATTATTCAGTACAATAAAAAAAAAACATGTGCCGGTGCCTACGAGTATTTCTTTTAAAATTTCTTTTTGCAATCATTAATTATATAACAAAAACAATGTGCGAAGTAATTGAGAATCTTGAACGAAGCGATTTGAAAGAAACAGTTAAGGGACAGCTTCCATAGCGTCAGACCATTAAGAGCAAGTGGTTGTGCATCTCTGTTGCTTCCCTATCTAATGGGTTTAGGAAATCTTTTTTTGTTATACGATTTATGTCTACCACTCCCACGTACTTACATCTATTGGTATTTTTATTAAAATAAGTTTAATAAGGAGGAACCTCACCTAAAATTATGGTAATTGCCTTTTTTACATTATTCAGGTATTCAACATACGCATGAGTAAAACATGAGAAAACCTAAACGTTGAGACGCAGCTGGTATTTTTGTATTTGATCTCATCTCAGTGGCGAAAACAGGAAAACACTTTTAGTAGAAAACACAGAAATTTTCTAAACTAGAATGAATTTAATTTAAAAAAATCTTCGTCACGTCTCAAAGTCTGGAATTTAAAAGCTTTTATCACTAGTATCAGTTACATAAGATCGACGGTTAGACTTGGACCTCGTCAGCAGATTTGCTTACTAAAAAATGTGAGCAAGCAAATTTGATCCCTATTCAATGACGAATATCTTCGTCAAGTCAACCGTCCACGTTTTTGATTTAACCAGTCACGACATTCTAGAATTCTCTAGAATACAATATACCTTCTAGTATAATGACGACCTACTGGCGTTTTGGCGATTTTTTTGACATATTAGCATTAGTCACTGATTGCATATTAATTTTGTTGTTTTTTATTTGTTACTAGCTGACCTGGCAGACTTCGTAGTGCCTCAATCGATAAATAAAAGACCCTAAACTTTTGTATAAAATAAACTTTAAAACAAACAAAAGGAATCCGTCCGACGGGACGCATGAAAGGAAAAACAAAATCGTTATTTTTATTTAATTCAGAGTATTTTCATGTTTATTTACCTTTTAAACCTTCTCTGGACTTGCACAAATAATTTAAGAACAAAATTAGCCAAATTCGGTTCAGCCATTCTCGAGTTTTAGCGAGACTAATGAACAGCAATTCATTTTTATGTTTATTATTCTGTTTGATTTTTAATATGTAAGAACGATTATTAAAGTCCACAAAAAAAGTGATTGCTTTAAAATGTCCGTGTTGAATTAACACAGAGGGTGCAGTTTTTGTTATACGATTTTAATTAAAGTTAGCGATTTGCTCAACTTAAATACCTGTGACTTTTCAATGAAAGTACATTATAATAGTTGTATTTGTATTATTCAGAATATTTATTCTTAGGCAATACACAAGAAGCTTTGGTATTGAATTTCAAGCTTTTAGTTTCAAAAGTGAGGGAGCATCGCCTATTAAATTTCAACCTTGGGGGTTTAAATTTTCACCCTACTAAGGGGAACATTTTCAAAACGTCGATATATATATATATACACGTATTTATTTCTACCCACATGTCGATCTTCTTAATTTAATAATGATGAACTTCGTTAATGAAAACGTTCACCCGTTATTATTATTTTTATTACATACTACAGGTGAACAAACTTACTGTCCACATGCAGCTAAATAGTTATCAGAGCTCATAGACATCATGATATGAAGCCTCAGCTTCAAGTGGCTGTTCCAAATTTCTGAAGCGCATTTTTTGTAACCTATGCTGATAGCCTTGAGAACCTATTTCGGTGTTGCCTTAGCGTGTAGGTGATCTCTGGGGGCTCAAACCGGAGGTGTTGCTAACACTGGCCCTAGCAAGAGCAGTGCTTCACAGAATCTACCACCGGATCGGAAACGTGACCCACTGAGAAGATCCGCTGAGACACTCAGTGGACTAAAGCGCATTAATGCTTCATGTAAATTGGCAGGGTAGCGGTACTCGACCGGGTATCCGTAAATGGATTCCCCAGCGTTAAAAAAGGGTAGCGGTACAAACCCGTGGGGGCTGATTAGACACCCTACCTGACAATAATTACGCAAATTGTAATTATAGCTGGTTCGTTTTCTATTACATGATGTTACATTTACATCATTTACATCGGGGAGAAAATGATGTACACCGATTCCTACCCTCCATAAAAAAACATTAAAACTTAATTAACTCATTTTCAGGTCACACATCAGATATAAACAATTCAATTTTACATAAGAAAAAATACGTTAAAAAAACAATAGTGCTGTTACTAAACTTTAAGACCTCGACAGTTTTCTGGCCTTATGACTCAAGCGTTTGCCCCCAAAAGCTGATGTCTAGATCTTAATACAACGAACTCATACACTACTGCGTTAAGCATTAAGCATACTGAACGTAAATCTTTAATATGAAGTTGATTTAATAGAACAAACTGTAAGGAGAGTGAGTACATACTGCATGACTGATTTTGGTATATTTTAGTTACATACTTGCAGTTATCGATGACAATTATTATTATTCCGAAATGTGCAGGCATATTTTTCTTTATTTCGTTTCCCTACCTATTCGCTGGTATCCTAAGAGGCTATTCCAGCCTCGCGCGGACGGGTCGAGTCATTTTTTTTTTATATTTGATTTGAATGTTTCCCATAACTGAAACTTTCATCTACAATAAAATTTTCAATTTCAGAGCAAAAAAAAAAAGATCTAATTGTTACTTTTAATCCCTTTCTTTTGATTAATAATATTTAGTGATTATATTTCTGTTTAAAAGACAAAAAAACCTGATTATATTAGAAATACGAATACAATTTAAAATGTTGAAATCACGAATACCCGATCCAGTCTCTGAGCTAGTGAATTGACTTAGCTTCGCAAAAGTAAAACACGCTACACGTAACAAGAGATTCGTAAGACGATACGTTTCTTATCATCAGTGAGAAAATATTTAACCCAAGGCGTTTTTGTTCGTGCGCTTTCTCAAAATCATGACCAATCACTTCATAAACTCATGTACAGGATAATATTACTAATTAAATATGATCTGCCTTTGAAATTCGATTTGTTTTTTAATCATACAATATTAAAATTCAACTTTTCTTGTTTTATTGACAATTTTCCCTTGATTCATGAGGAGTCTTGATGCATTTAAATTCGTATTCGATTAACCTAACTTAGTTACTAAGCAGCTAACCTAACATTACGAATTCGTATTCGAATTCGTAATGTTAGGTTAGCTGCTTTAACCATTTCTATTGAATATTACACAGTAAGCCTTTTCTACTACTGAACGAGAAAAATATTTATATAGACAGTGAATGAAAGATTACCAATAACAAAGAATTTGAAATCAACAAATCCTGAGCTGTTTTTCTTGATATCATGATATCCCAAGTATTATTAAGAAAATTTGCTAACAATGGGATAAAGTTCGAATTTTCCAGTAAAATAACGACTACTTTGTTACAAAAATAAGCAATGTTTATATTAAAATGTTTTGTATATAGATTTTTTATTCATACAGTTTTGACTTATGCCACATTCAGATATATTGATTGTACTATTGTTCAAATTGAAACAAAACAATTTTCTGTACAAGCCTTTTAAATATAAGATCCTTGATTTGATTGTATGACTTCTATAAACAAGAAATATTTAAGGAATTTGAGGGAAAAAAATAGAAACAGATAATTTGTGCAATGGATGATGAAAGAAGTCATCAAATTAGATACAACCTTCAAAAATGAAGATACAGACTCAGAAGAAAAAGAAAAATGAACTTAATTTCAATTATCATAAGACTTAAGATTGTTGAGCGAGTAAGAATGGAAACATTTTAAGCCTATTAATATTTTATATGGATTTCAATGATGGTCTTGATGAAAAATGAATAATTCAATAGGTTCCAAAATTGCAATGTTTCATGGGCAATCAGGAAATTTTATTTTGATTTTTATGTTTATTTAGTTTAGTTTTTTAAATTTTTATTTAGCGTTTACTGTACTTTATTTAATAGAAAAGTATATTACCAACTTTATGAACTAACAATAAAAATATTATTATGAATAAATTCATAGTACTAAATTATAATAATATATGATTAAGATAATCCTAAAGTTCAACAAACTTTATCAGTTCATATACATTGTCTAAGTTTGTAAACAAATGCAAGTCCCCTGTCACTACTATTAATTATGAATACAAAATCCAATATATCAATCACCTCAATGTTCTTATGATTACTAACATTCTATTATTGTGCCACAGATGCAGATTTTATTCTTTGGTAACAATAATATGTTTAAGACATTCTTTCCAGCAAATGAAAGAATATTTTCGATTGGAACTGTTGTATTGAAGATGGATTTTATATGTTTAAAATAAAGTGGATTTTTTATTTGTACCAAGCCTTTAAAATCCTTTTTCAGCACGGCAACAACATTCTACATAACGTAAAACCTAGTTTGTTAGCACAAAGTGATATTTTGTGTGGAATTATTATACCAGGTTTATTGAATAAGATAATTATTATAATTAAATTGAAAACAAAGAATATTTAGAAATTACGGTGTTATGGTCAATTATATATATATTCATTAGTTAAGCTGTATATTTGTTTAACAAATGATCGTGAGATATATTTCTGTAATCACAAATGTAATCACTTACTTTCAGTTTGCTCATTTTCACAGAAAATTATTAATACTAAGAAGAAAATGGTTTTTTTCATACTTCATAGTTTTATGACAATGAAATTTTTGAGGTCGCACTCAAAATTTAATTACATATTGAATCCTACCGCTAAACTAAAAATTAGCCTACTTGTATAATTTTTACTGTAAAAACTATCTAATCGTTAATATATAAGAACCATAAATACCATAAAAACAATTTTAATTCCATTCCCGCCATTATTAGTTAATGATTAATTATTTTTATTATAACTTTAGTATTTTATGAATTTTGACAATTTCTTATTGGACTCTTATAACAAATGTACCTACCTAATAAATTATATTTCGGTACAGGATTTGGCTTGTATTATGTAATTACATTCTGGAACAACAGGAAATCCGAAATTTCCGATTATATTCAGTAGGTACCTACTAAAATGCGAATCATAAGAAGTCTGAGAAGATTGTAAGTCTTATTGGTGTAATAAACACATAAATACGTCATATGAATGTAAAATAAAATAAAATATTTAAATCGCTTGTACGAAATAAATGCATACACAGCGGTAAAATTGTAAACAAAACAATTGGGAGTATCTTCGGAAAAATGACTATTTCCCGCAATAAAGCTTACGTAACATCAAAATAAACATTCTTTACGAGTTATTTACCGCCTAAAATATTTACCGGTGGTGTTATTTCGGCGTTATCCGCAAAATTACGAACAATGAATCAGTGGTCAAGTTTTTGAGACAGCGCAAGGATTTAAAGGTTTTACAGTAAACTCTACCGATCAACAGACACATGAATTATTGCACGCCATATCAACATTTCACGTCATCAAATTTTAACACCGCCAAGGCGAAACTCAATAGGGCATCGGCACATGTGGGGGACGCCATTCTTGAAGCACCATTCTTGGTATCAAAATGACAGCCTTTGTCGCAAAAATAACCGTGCACAGCACAAATCAACATATCTTTCATATACACATCAACACAATATGCACAACTATTTAATATTCTTTACCTTAAATCTACGGTACAGTCCGAAATTTAACTGATTTTGTAATAAAATTGACCGATTTCCATACCTGTGAATGCGCTCAAACGCAAGCTGGTCACGTGACTCCATAGAGCTGTGACACTTAAATTTTTCGCAACAGTTACGGTTTTTATTTTTAATTTTAATCTGTGAGATTATTTTTATGAAAACTAATAATTGCTTTGGTGATAGTGCCATAACACACACATAGTGCCAGTACACATAACAGCCATTATTGATGTATTATTAACAGTCAGACTGCCTTCCAATATAAGTTAGTGTAGGAGCTAAAATTAACTAAAGCGAAGTGTGCGGAGTAGGCGGATGGAATAGATGGAAGCAAGGTATTAGTATGTCGATCAGCCGTTAATCATGCCTATTTTTGAAATTGGAGATGGAGGGTAAATTATAGTATTAGGCACTTAAACTTACAACAGATAATTGAATTTTTTACAACAAAACCTTTTGACCTTCAGCAATTGATTGACAACACCACAAAATAAACCTTAACTTTTGTAATCAAAATTTGACGACTATAATTGTATGTTGCTTTTAGCCCACAGGTAACCTATTTACTTATTAACCTACCTTATTAATTTTACATTTAGAAGAAGTAGATCATCCAGTTTTTCTGCTGTGGTAGTTAGGAACGAAGTCAGGTAGGCAGTGCAGGTAGGAACGAAGTTCCTTCGGCTAATGTAGACTCGAAAAAATTTTCAAAAAAAAAAAGTGCTCAATTTTATGTAGGATTTCTTAATTTTTTTCTTAAATTTTGTTGATTACTTTTTATTTAAGTACAGGAAAGTATTTAGGAAATTCAGTATTTTAGGAAATAATAAATTACGTAAAATAAAAAAAATCGTAATTCAAATTATCAATTAAAATAACAAAATATGTCTCTTTATTTTTGTTTGACAACATAAAATTACATAGAAATAACTAGTTACAAAATAGAGAGAGAAGGGATGAGAGACCGAAAAGAAAGAAGGAGAAAGAGAAAGATATTATACACTACTCGCTTGTGTATACGAGTGTGCAGGTGCGACGTTCATTTAACGGTTTTATTCCACGGACTTTTTCTTACGGTTTTACTATCACATTTTTTTCAGTTCGGTCGCGCAGCAAAATCCCCATCTCCTCCAAGCCTACCGTAAGGAACTTCGTTCCAAAAAATAATTTTACAATTTCATTTGAAAATTAAATTTTGAAAAGAGGACCGATATTAAATTATCCCTAAAAAACGATTGAAATCGATTCTAAGACACAGGACGTTCGACAATCACTCTAAGTCATGGAAATAAAAAAGATATTCGTTCAAAAATTTGATATTTTTTCCACATTAATCAGATTTTATTTTTACTCAAGTCAATCCATGTTTTATAACGACTCGAAAAAAAATCAGATGCTTTGATTATGTCATGAATATATCTGATAAATATGCTTACTATTTTCACAATCATTCTTTTTTTATACCTAGTTTTCGAACACCGACATATAAACCGCCAAAACTTAATGATATATTTTGATATATTTTGTCAAACTTAAAAAAGTTCTAACCTCAACTTAAGTAGGTAGTGGTATCGTAGGTGTATTCATATTTATTTTGGTTCAGACAGAGTACAGTAATATAGATAGAACCAATATATCGTCAAAGTATAAGTTACAAAGAGCTATCGATATACAATTATACACTACGATCGTGAAACCCACAGACGTATACCCTGTTAGTAAACAAATAAAGCATATAACTGAATATTTAAATGTCTCTTTTGGAAGATGTGTTCCTTCAAGATGAAGCTAATGAGGCTCGGGAATTGGAGCGGGTGATCGACGGTGACGAGTTTGACGACGATCAACGGGCATCATCACCTGACAGTGATGATAATAGCGCTAAAGGAGACGAAGCCGGTGACTACTTTCATGTGTAGCTGGGTATTATTAACACAATTTTCTAGATCGATCCTCTAAGCGATAAGGCACGCCGATCGTACATACCATTTGGTATAATTTTTTTATTCGAATCGAAAAACATAATGTTTAGTGCAAACTAACACCCAAAAAGTATATCGTCGTTGTCAAACCAAAATCTGCTATGTGCACTTTTTGAGATTTTTACTTTTTGACCTTTTTCTATAGTTCACAGCCCTATCTACCGTACAAAAAAAAACTGTTATGTGTCTATAGCTTTAATATTTATCTATAGATTTCATTTGATAAAGTTCTTAAAAATTCACCTTCATATAAAATTTTGTACGAAAATGTTTTTACACGTTCATTCCAAATAGAGTTTTTGCACATAGCAGATTTTGGTTTGACAGTGACGATATCCTGATACAGATATATGGTTTATCTTCTTCTTGATAGTTTCACCCTTGACAGAGCGGTTGTCACGGTCATTTAATGTTGGAGAGGGCACGGTGTACCGCTGTCCCTCCTTGCTCGAGGTCTTCCTACTTCACTCATTCAGCGTACCTCCCACTGTAGCTTCTGCCTTAAACAGTCTTAATGAATAATGCACCTAATACTTAACATAGTGATTTCGGTGTCTCGTTCAATCCAGTTATTAATGCTTTTCAGAGGAAGATACTAGACGTGTAGATCCACAAGCCAAAACAAAACGTGTTGTAAGGAATCCAAGGTTCATACTGAACCCTGCTCGTCTGACTGGGCCAAGGGGTATACAAGTTATACCTGAGCATTTCAAAGATTTTAAATTTAGAGGTAATGTTTTATTCATAAAATTTTTTGCTATTAGTTTATTGTCTGTATTGACAGACTAATTCATACAGAAAACTTTATATTGTTGGTATATAAAAAAAAATTATAGTGAAATTAGTTCTGGTGGTGGTAGGACCTCTTGTGAGTCTGCACGGCTACGTACCACCACGCCGCCTATTTCTGCCGTGAAGCAGTATTGCGTTTCGGTTTGAAGGGTGGGGCAGCCGTTGTAACTATACTGAGACCTTAGAACTTATATCTCTAGGTGGGTGCCGCATTTACGTTGTAGTTGTCTATGGGCTCCAGTAACCATTTAACACCAGGTGGGCTGTGAGTTCATCCACCCATATAAGCAATAAAAAAAAATAAAAAAAATAGTTCAACTGATTGTGAAATGTCTTACTGAATTTAATAAAAGTCTTTATATTGATAATTCATTATAAAAATATAAACAAAGATACATTTTAAGGTTTATTTGAATTACAACATAATAATTTTGTATCCTGTTATAAATTACAGGTAAAGGTCACGAAAAAGAAGATTTAGATTTAATACTCAAAAAACTAGAGCATTGGGCATATAGGTTGTATCCTAAATTTGAATTTGAAGACTGTTTAAAGAAAATAGAATCACTCGGCAAAAAGAGACCTGTAATGGTAAGAAATCTATGTGCATAATTTGGCAATTTTTTACATTATATTCATCTTTGAATTCCTCTGCACTTTGATTCAATCACTGTTTATGCTAATTGTGTATTGTTGTTTCATCGGTTTGTAATTAAATGTGAAGAAAAGTACACTTTTATGTACACTGCATTTATTAAGGCTTAGGATAGAATGATGATTAAAAAACATTGCTATAGTCAAATACAAGCTGTAACATGCCCCAATATTGTATCCCCTCTTTGTGATATCCTTCCAAATGACATTCTCCGGTCTATTAATATTAATTGTTTATTATCTTTTAGTCTATTCTAAACATGTAAATATTCTGTGTAAATTTTTATCTGCTAATAATATTTATCTCTAAAGTAGTTAGCCTAACATAATATATTTGTTTGTGCTGCTCTTAAACCACAGATTCGCGTATGGAAAAACGGACCAAATTTATTTGTATTTAGATTCAGTAATTTTTAATCTCTAAGTACTGGTCATTTTTGTAAATACTTTGACATTGGCAAAATTAATGCCAAAGGCGTTAGCGACAAAATCTTTATAAAAAAAAAAAAAAATTAACATTGAGCCAATGCTTTTCAATATGGACTTAAAATTAAACAAATATCATTTCTCCTCTACAGGTACATCTATGCAAAATTCGTACAGATCAGATTACGTCAGAAGAAACAGTGGTACAGAGGGATTCCAGTGACGATGAGGCACCACCACAAGAAGAAGACGAATTTGACAAATTACTGCAAGAGCAAATTGCATTGGCCAGGTCCACGCCTGCTCCTGAATCTGTAAAAAAAGTTCGAGACAACCCAATGAACATGTAAGTATTATAGGAGTGGTAAATCTCAGACAACCTATTCAAAATTAACATATCGACACCATTTAATGATATTTAATTTTTAAAATCTTTTTTTTTTTTTTGTCTAACCAAACTGCCAGAAGTCTCAGGGAAATTCTAGCTGCACTGTGATTGGGTGACCAGCACGAGATCTTAGCAAGAGCGAGAGCATTGCTTTGCAGAAAATACGCAAATATCTACATATGTATTTAGTAATCCTGCAACTTTCCGAGAGGATACTTTTTTTTTTTCCTACCTAAGCTGGTAGCCTAGAGAGGCTATTCCAGCGTAACCGTAACTAGTAGGTGAGCTCACGGGGCTCAAACCTGACGACGTTGCTAACACGAACCCTAGCAAGAGCCGTGCTTCGCAGAATCTACCACCGGATCGGAAACGCGACCCACTGAGAAGATCCGGCGAGAAACTCAGTAGGGATACTTGGGGTCGACATTTCGAGCGATGTCCAGTTTCGGAGTCATTTGGAAGGCAAAGCCAGGTTGGCGTCCAAAATGCTGGGAGTCCTCAACAGAGCGAAGCGGTACTTCACGCCTGGACAGAGATTTTTGCTTTGTAAAGCACAAGTCTAGCCTCGCGTGAAGTACTGCTTCCATCTCTGGGCCGGGGCTCCCAAATACCAGCTTCTTCCATTTGACTCCATACAGAGGAGGGCCGTTCGGATTGTCGATAATCCCATTCTCAAGGATCGTTTGGAACCTCTGGGTCTGCAGAGGGACTTCGGTTCCCTCTGTATTTTGTACCGTATGCTCCATGGGGAGTGCTCTGAGGTATTGTTCGAGATGATACCGGCATCTCGCTTTTACCACCGCACCGCCCGCCACCGGAGTAGAGTTCATCCATACTACCTGGAACCACTGCGGTCATCCACAGTGCGTTTCCAAAGGGTTTTTTTTGCCACTTACCATCAGACTATGGAATGAGCGCCCCTCCACGGTGCTTCCCGAGCGCTATAACAAGTCGTTTTTCAAACGAGGCCTGTAGAGAGTATTAAGCGGTAGGCAAAGGCTTGGCTCTGCCCCTGGCATTGCTGAAGTCCATGGGCGACGGTAACCACTCACCATCAGGTGGGCTGTAAGCTCGTCTGCCTACAAGGGCAATAAAAATATATATATTGTTACCGAATCCAGGCAACCCCCGACCGAGAGCCAGCGCTAAAACTATAAAAACGATCCCTCGCTGCGCCTTTGCCTCTTTTTTGTGCGTGGCGTTCGCGTGTGCGGTTCTTGTTGAAACTTGTTTGGGACTTGTGTAATTTTAACAGTTTTCGTTAATAGTAAATTGAAACCATTTTGTTAGAAGTTTTGTTAATTCAGTGAAATATAATTAGGCCAGTTCTGTGTTATTTATTTCTTTTTGTTAACTACCTCACTTCTGGTCGATAATAATATATATATATGCGTAATACGCGAGAATAAACTCAGCTTTTTTTTTTATTGCTTAGATTGGTGGACGTGCTCACAGCCCAGCTGGTGTTAAGTGGTTATTGGAGCCCATAAACATCTACAACGTAAATGCGCCACCCACCTTGAGATATAAGTTCTAAGGTCTCAAGCATAGTTACAACAGCTGCCCCACCTTTAAAATTACTGCTTCACGACAAAAACAGGCAGAATGGTGGTACATACTTGTGCGGACTCACAAGGACCTCTTGTACTACCAGTAATTACGCAAATTATAATTTTGCGGGTTCGATTTTTTTACACGATATTGTTCCTTCACCGTGGAAGTCAATAGTGAACATTTGTTGAGTATGTATTCCATTAGAAAATATGTTAGTGTTATGAGTTTAAATTTTGAATTCTTCGGGTGTCGAACGCGAGTTCGACGAGTATGGTAAATAGTGGTCGAAATGCCTAAAAGCACCAATGCAATCCGAAAGAACGCATCTGAAGTCAACAACAATTCTAACATGGCAGCACCTATCTGTCACTTTGTCATGTCTATCTATCTATCTAATGTGTTGATAGTGGTATTAAGAATGTTAGTGAATAGGTATTCATTAAATCTTGGCTTGATATTGAATGCCCTGCATTGTGTATAAATGCAGGTGTCTATGGTTCGTTCTTCCCTTTCCTCTCGGTGCCGTTGCACGGTCTGCACGCTATACTTTAAGTTCCTAATTATAATATTTACTAGCTGACCCGGCAGACTTCGTAGTGCCTCAATCGATAAATGAGTCGTCTATTATCAAAGGTGGCAATCTGTACATTTGGACAAAAAATTTTTATTGATATGTCAATACAGATTTATTTGAATATAATCGTCTCCTTCAAAGAATACGGTTCAAAACCTGCATTAAATAAAGGTTAATAGTTAACCTGTTATTTATCTAAGATGTCGTTCCGAAGAGTTTTGTGACTGCCAATGGAATACAAAGTCAATAATTCGTTTTTCTGATTTACCAATCATTGTCCAAAAGTCAGATTGCCGCCTTTGATAATAGTCGACTCAAATAAAAGACCTAAACTTTTGTATAAAATAAACTTAAAACAAACAAAAGGAATCCGTCCGACGGGGCACACATCAAAGGAAAAACAAAATTGTTATTTTTATTTAATTCCGAGCCTTTTCACATTTTTTCACCTTTTAAACCTTCTCTGGACTTCCACGAATAATTCAAAATTAGCCAAATCGCTCCAGCCGTTCTCGAGTTTCAGCGAGACTAATGAACAGCAACTCATTTTTGTATATATAGATTGTACTGTCTGTCCGCTTGATTACCATCAATAAAATGCTGGATGTTTACTTGTTCTTGAACCCCACGCAAGTTCCACCTGCGCGACTAACACGAACCAAAGGCCCGCGTGTCATTGACCTGCTCTAATAAGTGGGACATGATATAATAATACTTTATTGTGAAAATGTTTGATTTCAGGTCTCAAATACTACCAAAAGCAACATCGTCTCCTTCTATAAACGAAGAACAACGAGAAAGGATGCTTAGAAATAGGCAATTGGCTGAAGAACGGCGTTTGGCTAAGCTCAAACAAAATGTCAATGTTGAACAAAAGCGAATTAATAATGATAATTTAGAAACAAACAAACAGATTGATGATATAAACAAAGTAAACAATGAAGAACAAACACTACAAAATGCGAAAACACGATATAGCGATGGAATTGAACACAATGGTGCAGTAGATAATTCATTACAAATAAATAAAAGTTTGATAGAAAATCAAACTGTCAATAATGATAATCATAATCTAAAAGAAGCTCTTAACATAACTAAAGTATTTGAGCTTCAAACTAAAAATAGCTCTCAGGAAAAACCTATGGAAATTCATAATACTGAAAAGGATACAACAGAAACAATTGAAAATATTGAATTATGTGTGCCAAATGATTTGATTGAAGCCAATATAAACCAACGAACCGAAAAAGTTACAACATCTATTAATGATAATACACAAATTGATGAAATAAATAATATGGATGAAGTTGACAAAGAAAATAATTTAGATATTTTAGGAGATGACTTGCATAATAATGAAAATAAAGTTAGTAAAATAATAGATCACAGTAAAGAGAAAGAGTTAATTAACCCCTTATTAATTAATGATTACGAAATGGACATTAATTTTAGTGATGAGGATTTCTAATGGTTAAATGAATAAAATAGAAATATTTTTATGGCAATATCTGCGTTTCTATTATTTAATACAGCAGTGACAATACAATTTTTTCCTACAGACACGGCTCACTGAGTTTCTCGCCGCATGTTCTAAGTGGGTCGCGATTCCGATGCGGTGGTAGATCCAGCGAAGAACGCCTCTTGCTAGGGCTAATGTTAGCAATGACGTCAGGTTTGGGCCCCGTGAGCTCACCTACTAGTTAAGGTTACGCTGAAATGGTCTCTCAAGACCATTAAAGACCTCGAGACGTTGTAGTGTGTAGAGCTCAATAACATTTTAATACCAAGCGGTAATAACTTGTCTATCAGTAAAAAAAAAGTGCGTGCGTACAAAGTACACATGTCAGAAGTGAAACTTTTTTGGCGAACTAATTTATAAGTCTTGCTTATATTTATACAAATCTAAAACTTTAGATTTCCGAGACTTAGAGGAAGGAAAAAAGGGAGATATGTTCCCGCCAAAAGTCTGTCAAATGTCAATCTCTAACCTCAGTGTTGACAGTCACATTAAGTTTAGATTTCTAAATTGTAAATGACTAATATTTTGCCAATTGAATTGACTAATTTAATTTCATGCTATTTGATTAATGTTCCAAATTCTTTTCATTTCATTTCATTTCAATTCCTATTAACATTTTTCACAAAAAAATTATAAAATACTGGACTGTATGGTATGATACATTTGCCTTTTCAGTTGGAAAAATACAACAACTACTACTATTGACATTTGACAAGTACTTAATTTCAATAGTAGTTTGATGTCACTTCCGTTGCATACCTGCGTGACGTTCTGTAAAAATTTTACCCTCATGCGTTATAGAAGTTTCACTTCAAAAATAAATATTAGGAGGAACGTTCGTAAAATAAAACAAACATTGAATTTTCATAATTTAATGATGGGTGCAAACTCAATAACATTTATCACAGCAAACAATCCATCTCCAAGATTTCCTTTTAAAACTACATTAACACAAACTTATGAAAAAAAAAAAGTAATGAAATGCATCTATCTTTGTATGAAAATATTAATAGCACTGAACGACAGCAGTTGTCATTTTAGCATGTAACGATCACACGCAAAGTAACAATGTTACGTGAAATATTTATTTTAAATATATTCTAAAATAATTATTGAATCATTTCTAATTTTTATTGCAAGTCTTCGAAATTTGTTGACAAATTTTTAGTGGTAACTTATTAAACTTAAGTAGCTTCAGTATTGAACAGTAGGTATATGGTTACCTATGATGGTTACATACGGATTTCAACACATTTGACATTCGTTGTCATTTTAACATCTGTCAAAAAATCATTCCGTATATCTGTGACCTTGCTCGTTCACGAAGCCCGCTATAGAAAGCAGAGTATTAAAATATACACTTGACATTGGCGAAATCTAAAAGGAAACGCCATAAACCTAAGAGATAGATAGATAATTGAATTGAAAAATTGATTGAACAATTAAACTTCGCTCTATACATTTTATTCATTGTTCTTTGAAAAATTCAACATTGTATTTCATTAGAAAACAAATTAATTTTCAAATATGGTTTTCAAGAACTTTTTTTTTTCTTTCGAAACACTTGCAACAAAAAACAACAATGAAATAAATAGCTTACAAACTACAAACAAAATTCAACTAACTATGCATCGCGTATTACACAAATAATATAATAGAAAAGCGATCACAAATTTAGCTTTTTACAAAATTATTTACAGGTATCGTCTTTCGGAAATTCATTACTGCGAATATGAAATATCCTGGAAAACCATTCTATATGTAATATTTTTGTCGAATCATCTGTTTAGTATGAAATTCCCAGGGAATATTTTATTTTCTTCCTACACATGTTAGTAACCTCGAGGGGTTATCCTAGCTTCGTCGGACGTGAGGGATAATCATTTAACTCCCTTGGATATTCAAAGAAATTTTGGTGAAATTACTATTGCTTATATGGTCTGATAATTTCAACCGTAAAAATAATAACAGAGTACATACACTGACAATATTAAAAACAAAAAAACAACTATTCAATTTTATTTGTGGCTTAATCTACAAAACTCAAGCATCCGGAAGCTACGTAAATACATTTTGGTGGGGCACTAAATAAGATGTTTTTATTAGACATGTAGTTTGTAAGAACGTTTTAAGTCTATTTATGTTAATAAACTGCAAAGATAGCTTCAAAAGGAAACCAACATATTACCTATTAACACAAAATGTATTTAATTAAATATCTATTCTATCTTAGATACTTCATAAAGAATTTACAAACCACACAGCATTAATTAGCTATAACTTAAAAGCTTTATTAAAATCTAAATACCTAATACCTTAATTATGTAAACATTATTTGGTTTTAATTCAGTTCAAATTTTTTATTTGTAATTTTATAAATTTTTCTTTCTCAAACTCTTTTCTGACGTTTGCACCTTTAGAATTATAGACACATTTCGAAATTTTTGAATATCGATTTTAATTTAAAAATGGACCTAGAGCATTTATTTTCAGAGACTCATATTAAATGACCAAAAGACCAGAAGTAGCTTAAAAAGGGACAAACTTATCCATCGGTCTCTTTCACTCCGTCCCCTTCCTCTACGTCTTTTCGATTTGAAAACTATACAACGTTTTTCAAAATACACATTTTTTTTATTGGGTCTCTATAATTCTTAAACGTGCTAGTTATTCGAACGCTTACGATTTCGGATAATTCACTGGTAATTAAACACTGCGGTGGAAATGCTATTTGATGACATTCCCTATACAAAAGTTAAAAATAGTACATTGTGCACCAAGGGAGAAAAGTTGGACATTTCCTCCCGCGTGTAAAATTGCCAAACACGCTGGAGGAAATGTTCAACTTTTCTCCCACGGTGCACATACTTTTTTTCTCCTACCAGGCCCAAAGTTCGTGGAGTACAGAGCCGGGGTGCAGGGGCGAAGACCCGGTGGGGTCTATGGGCGAAGCTCTGGCCGGGGTTAGGGGGGCGGAGCCCCCCCGTATTCATAAAAAAAACAATTTAACTGTTTTTTAATTTTTAAATAAACTACTACTAATTGAATAAGAACTGTCTGATGAACTCATCTTTGTTTAATACTTCACTATTAAATTTTATTGCCTTTTGTTTATTTCACTTTTACACTAAACACAATATTGCAAATTACCCAAGCACAACAATGGCAGAGAATATTAGGTGCGTGAGAGCAGACGTAAACTCTAACGCGCATGCGCACCTTGTGCCCAGGGAGAGAAAGTTACACTTTCTTCCCTGTATAGCGGGACGAAAACCGAACTTTCGGCGTAGATAGGAGAAAAAATCAATTGTATATAGAAAATAGACTTCCACTATTTTACAAGAAAAAGTTGTTGAACAACCGCCAATAACAATACAAATGACATTTTAAGTTTTCATAGTTGTGAACTAACTGTTTTAGACGTATGTTATGATTTTCCTTTGTATTACAAAATAGCGCTAAGAGTACAATAATATTCTAATAGGCGCATTTAATTCGATATTAAAAAATTCAAATCTCTTGTAAAAGTGTCGCATAAAAACGTGTTTCCCGCTTTGACATTTTTTTTTTAAATAAATATGTTGACAAAAGTATTTTTTTACAAGGTCAAGGGATTTCATTGCTAACAGCCTGTTCGGCTATGGTAACGTAGATTTTTATTTTTATAGAATCACGGCGATCCGCGCTTGTAACTCTAATAGACCTGTCACAACTTAAAAGTTTCCAATCGAATAGCAATTTCTAAAACCCATCCCTCGCTCCAATACAAAGTCAATGAAATTTTTTATACGTTTGGATTCTTACGTATAGATAGTCCTTAAGATTTATTTACAAAATACATCTTTACAATTTATTAACAGTGATTGAAAATTTGATGGTTACGTGGCGACGCTTGTTTTTGTTTTTTTTATTCCCCTTGTAAGCAGATGAGCATACGGCCCATCTGTTGGTGAGTGGTTACCGTCGCCCATGGACCTCAGCAATGCCAGAGGCAGAGCCAAGTCGCTGCCTACCGTTAAATCGTTGTTCGCTTAATACAAAATAATCAAATTCGAATGTAATTTTTCGGCGATCGGCTGTGTTTCGACACATGTGAACCAGTTCTATTCATTAACGCCGTCCCGACTGCCGATATCGGCGAATGTCAACTGATAATATCGAAACCATCAAAGCAGTTTATATCGATCTTAATTTAATGTAAATAAACAATCATTATTCTTGTAGTAAAATCTAACAATTTCAACAAATTTTTAACAAGTTTTACGTGAATCGAAACGCCAATCACAAAGCGTGACGTCATATGTGGCAAATAATTTTATCATCAGACTATCATTTACGGTTTTGTCTCCTACACCGGAATTTCGACGCGGCAATTTTTAAACTTACAGTTTCAACTGAAGGATTTTTCACGACATTCACATTCGCTGCAACGAGTATACCAGACGACAAAATTGTGAAAAAAATAAATATACAATTAAATTTATATTCACTAATAATTCACGTCCGGTATTAACGAAGCGAAGAACGACATCACGATGACGCGCGCGGCCGCCAGCAGCGACTGGTCGGCCCCCCGCGCCCGCCGGTCGTCGTCGGCCGAGCGCTCCTGTTGTCTGTTGTCGTCGGTCGTCGGCTCGTGTTGTCGGTTGTCGTCGGCCGTCGGCTCGCGTCGGTCCGCGTCGGCCGGCCGCGGGGGGCGGTCCGCTTCCTCCGGCCGGTCGTTGGCAGGTTGGTTGCCGCCAGGATTCAGTTGTAGTTCGCGGAAGAAGCCGATTTGGTGACTGTATTATTCATGAAATAAATTAATGTGATGTGTTTTTACTGGTGGTAGGCCCTCTTGTGAGTCCGCACGGGTAGGTACCACCGCCACGTCTATTTTCGCCGTGAAGCTGTAATGCGTTTCGGTTAGGGCGGAAGGGCGGGGCAGTCGTTCTAACTATACTTGAGACCTTAGAAATCATATCTCAAGGTGGGTCGACATTTACGTTATAGATGTCTATGGGTAGGTGGACTGTGAGCTCGTCCACCTATCTATGCAATAAATAAATAAATAAATAAATAAAAGTGTGACATCTGTTGATAGCAAACTAAATAGGAATAATAATTGTAAATCATCTAATATGGTATGAGGTAGCGCCCTCTGTGATTGATATTTTAACTTCACGTATAATGTGTGTTCTATCTCATTTTCGTTTCATTGAGTTTGAAATCACAACGATTCTTAAGAAGTTTCACTTCAATAACCAGAAGTTTCACGGAGTATACTCACAGATAGCCGGCGGTGACGAGCAGCGCAACCAGCAGCAGCCGCGCCGGGCTCCCGTACAGGTACACGAGCGAGAACAGTATCGCGAGCCGCGAGCCGGCGTACAGGTGGTCGAGCCAGTCGCGGCCCACGGCGCCCCCCTCCTCCTCCGCCGGGGGAGGCGCCTGCTCCGCCGGCCCGGGCGTCTCCGGAGCCGGGGCGTGGGGCTGGGTGTCGTTGTACGACTGTAGCCTGGACACGTGATATTACACCATAAGTATATTGACATACTCGGCTTCCACTTGATATTGGGGGGTTAAACGAATTGGTAGGCATGATCGAGACTTTTTGGTGGAAATGCGAAGAGTGAAGTTGCGTGATTTGTTTTGAAATGTGTATTAACTGTGAAAGTGCACAAATGTGGGAAAATAAAGCAAAGTCGATGATATGTAACTTCTCGGGATTCTCTAAAAAGTCCACTGAAAACATTATAGTAAATAATCACCATTTTACCTACTGAGATTCCATATAATCTCACCTCATTTCATGCCATGTTTCATATTAATTCAACTTCATTTCATTTCATAGTATGATTTTTCATATAAAAAAGTTTTCATTAAAATTAAAATAAGACTTGACCTAAAGGTGTTAGTTACCAGGTCATAAAATCCCTTCAAAAAAAAGTAGACATGATCTTTGATATTGGTGTCCGTCAGAAGTAACCCTTTAAAAACTTAAATTTGTGAATACCTTATTAATTTTAATATAAATAAAATTGTATTGTTAAAGCTTGTTTGAATTTATAAGTTTCGTTAGCATTATACGTAATTAGTGGATTCTACTTCATATAAACGTCACTGGAGCATTGTAAACAGTTTATGCAGAGCTGCCAGAAATGTAAATCGAAATATGTAAATAAATTTGAATATTTCGAATGATATGAAATTTTAAAAATATTTGAATAGCTTCGTTGTGTATTGGTTTGGTAAATATAATATAAAAACTCATTACACATAAAACTATTTAATGGTGATGATGCTTAGTGGTTCTTTTTCCCATGGTAGTGTTCCATTACTCTATTTGACAGACGAGAGGATAAACCCTTAACTAAATGAGATCAAACATTAAACCAGCAATGTAGAATGTTACGACTAAATCGAACGAAGGAATACGCAATCACTGATTATAATTATGATTAGCTTTTGCCCGCGACTTCGTCCGCGTGGAATCGTTACTTTGGCATAACGCTAAATTTTACTCGCGACTTCATTAGCTAGCTGCGAGCTATTTAAGATACCAAAATCACACTTTTTAACCGACTTCAAAAGAGGAGGCTATCAATTCGACCACCACTTTTTATCTATGTATGTTCACCCATTTGTCAAGAATGCTTGAACCTGATAATTCTCTTTTCTGTTTTTTGTTCGAAAGGGTAGACTTCCCGAATTTTCCTGTAATCATCAAGATCTGATGGTGGGATCCTAGAGAAATCCACAAAAACCTATAATTTTCAAAGCCTATCTTGAAGTGATTTGGGTGTTTCTTGTTGTTCTTATGTGCCGGCGCCTTGTACATCAATATTACGCGCTTGATCATTATTTTGCTGCGATGTTATTTTAAAACTGCGATATCTTCTCATACGACAACATGAAGGTAGCTGCTAATAATCAGTTCTATTGCAGACATGAAGCGAAATAAATTAATTGTTATATTGAAGGCTTCCTTAAGTGTCGTAAAAAATAAATTGAGTTTCATTTAGTATTACGGTGAAGAATTTTATTCATTCCTAGCCTTTAACAATATTACTGCACAACAAAATATAATTTACAAGAATTAAATTAGTTTTTTGAATTCCGTAATTAACGATTAAATCGGGCCGATCCATACATTTATCGATAGAGTGAATAGAGTTTTACTATGTTTATCTTCATACATTAAAAGCCATCAATGTACCTTATTAGGTCATATGTTTTTTTAAACTGTAGATCGACCGTGTTATCATTCACGGTCTGTTAACCCCATTTTATAGAATAGCGTCGTTGGAACATGATAAAAATTCAAGGACCCGATCGGATCAGCGCGGATCCGACATAACTTAGTGAAGATCTTTTTATTTTTTTATTGCTTTGATGGGTGGACGATCTCACAGCCCACCTGGTGTTAAGTGGTTACTGGAGCCCATAGACATCTACAACGTAAATGCGCCACCCACCCCGAGACAAGTTCTAAGCTCTCAAGTATGTTACAACGGCTGCCCCACCCTTCAAATCGAAACGCATTACTGCTTCACGGTAGAAATAGGCAGAGTGGTGGTACCTATCCGCGCGGACTCACAAGAGGTCCTACCACCAGTAAATATTCTTATACTGTCTCGCTGGACTACCACCAGATTTCCGGACAGTTCGAAGGGCTGAGTACAAGGCCGAGGATCGCTCACCCTACGAGATAAGATCGATACGAGAAAGGTTTTAGGTTTAACTCTTCTGAATTCTCATCAGCATTATTAAGCCCACAGTCGTCTACAGCTGGGCATAAGTCTCCCCAAGGTTCGCCTCAGTGACCGGTCTTCCGCAGCCCGCACTCCTTTAGATTCGCGCGACCTTTAGCTGGTCGTCAGTCCCCTCGTGAGAGCCCAACCCACGCCACGTTTTCCGGTGCGCGTTCGTCACTCGAGGACTTCTGAGTAACCTGCTCACCGCCACTTCAACGTCGCAATCTTCCAGGCTACGTCAGTTATCATAGCGCCATTATTATTTGACAGCCTGTCGATTCGTCATGCATGTTTGAACGTAAGTCCTCATCTTCCTCCTCTTTATCGCTCGCTCATTACTGAGGATCGTGACTCCGCTTCAGCTTGTCGACTGCCAGCCTCCATCGGATCCGGTCAGTTGCCTGGTGTAGTGCAGCGCTAAGTGGTCCTCATATATCAAGTATATATAAGTCCTCCATATAAGTCCTTCTTCTTCTTCTTCTTCTTCCAGTGCCTCTTCAATCCTGAAGGTTGGCCTTTAGCTTCCTGTATTCATTTCTGTCAGTACCCAGCCGGAACAGCAGTTCGACGGAGGCAAAACCGGTCCACTCCCGGATATTCCGGAGACATGACTTTTTTCTTCGCCCAGCACGTCTCTTTCCGTCCACTTTGCCCATCATTATCAGCTGCAGCAGCATGTATCAATCGTTCCTGAGCACGTGGCCGAGATATTCATCTTGCGCTTTTTGATAGAAGGCAACATTTTCCGGGACATATGAACGCGCTGAAGCACGGTTTCGTTCCTGACCCTCTGCGTCCAACTAATGCGTAACATGCGACGGTAGCACCACATCTCGAATGTCTGTAGGCGTCTTGTAGTGTCCTCTTTCATAAGTCAAATAACAAAATCCGTTACCAAATGATCAATCTCCTTTCGACCTTGCCGACGACGTAACAGCATCGCTGATTGTGTAAAACGTTCAGAGCAATAATTGTGTTTCAGTGAAATTCTACGATTCGCCTTTGAATCCCAAGGTTATAAACCAGCTGACACCACACAGCGAAACGGGACCAATTAAATCGTCAAACGAACAATGCGACATAAAGTGTGTGCTCTGTTTGCTTACGTCTTTAAACAAGGTGTTTAACCGTGAGCATCTATTAAACTCTTGTTTGTTGCAAATGGTAATAAATCGATACGAACTAGAATTCACAACATTTTACATAGAGTAAATTTCAATAAATAGTGCGTCATAATTCACATTGTAAAGGTTTTGCGCAAACAAAAAAATAATATCTATTGCATAGCTTTTATCGCGGGCCTTGAGCGCGGCGACCGAATCATGAAATTCCGTAACGAAAAAACCTAACACCCCTCACTCCGTCTACCATGTAGCTCGCGTTCAACACATTCACACGTTGCGCTTGTGTAGTGTTTGTGAATAAGCGCGCGGCGTGACGTCACACTTCATGTGCATCATGAAAAGTCTGCCCATCTCTCTCTCGCGCGGTCTAGCTTATGAGTATGAAGGGCACAGTTAATGTTTATAAATATAGCGTGGTCTTATTTTATTATTGTTTTAATATTAAATTATTATTTTCTAATTATAATTGCATAAGTTGATAAAAAATGCTATGCAATAGCTTTAGGTACCGCGGCAGTCCCTGAGTGCTACACGTGTTTTTTTAATGTATTTACGTCGCTTTATTGCTAATTGCAGTTTTTATTTGATTCGCGTAAATAGGCATACAGGTACACGCGTGAACGATTACTGGCAATATTTATTATACACAATAACCGTAAATGTACTCGCCGATCTTCAGACATATAAGCCTTCGTTGAATTGACATAATATCTACTACCTACTTAACCTATAACCTACGTACCGAACACCGAGTAACCTTCGAATTAAATAATTAAATAATTTCCTGATCACCGGTTACCGTACATAGATAGAAGAGTTCAAGGCCTACTGGCTACGCAGCGATATTTTTTATAACGAATTCACAAAAACGTCTTAGTTACGTGGAAAAATTTACACCCGTATCTAAAGCCCAGTCGAGACGAAGGATGTTACCGAAATTTAATTCATGACGTATTTGAATATTTTTCGAGTCTGCGAATGAGAATCGTGGATGGTCCAGACTTTGCTGCTTAGCTGGGATCAATGGGCGGATGATAAGAAAGCTCGCTAACAATTGTCTGATCGCCTCCTAAGGAGGCTAAACAGCTCAAGAGCAACAGCTACAGGGCTACCCTTCACTGAATTGTTCACAATCTGTTAAGAAGATCAGGTAAAGATCAATGGGCTGAGGCTATGAGCTAAGGTCGTAGTTCACGAGCATGGTGATCGGTGCCTTTGTTGCTGCTACCAATAGTTTCCAATAGCACTGATAACAGCAGGAGAAGGATCTATGAAATCATGAGCACTTAATATCACTGGGGCATGATCTCTTTATATTATAATATAACAGAAAACCTTGTAGTAATAAACTGGTACTCATGTGCCTAGACTCTAGAGTAATGGTCACTATCCTAGGATGAATCCTATGTACATGCATTTTTTATGCAAATACCAAAAGAAACCTTTATTGCACTAGATGAGTGAATATAAAATTAAGAATATGTATTATTAAATACTCACATGTTAGTGTACTGCCTTAGATACTCCAAATAAGCTTGTTGCATCATCATCATCTGATTAACTTGGGAAGTGACATCACCCGGAATCTGTCCATCTGCCATATTGTAATTCATGAAATTAGGCCGTCCATAATTATTTGTCAAAGAGGTCAGATAATTCTGCATTTCAACTGTGTGGTTTTGATCATTCTGCCTTGTTTCCGGTCTGGCTTCCACCGGTCTTGTTGGTTCTGGTACATTCCGGTGCCTGAGTCCTTCAGTTGGCTCCACTTCGACCTTGTCTTGGGGTAATGGGCTAGCCATTTTCCTGGTTGGTGTGCAAACTAGATGCATGGTATGAGCGATAGTGGTTTCATAAGTTCGGAGAACATCTTTCAGTATTGTGTTGTCGTCTAAAAGTTGACCAGAGTATATAATTTTTTGATCATCTGTTCTCTGTAACAAAACGATGAATTCGAATGAATTAAATTTTGTTGACTTGAATTGAGAAATATGTTAATTTCTTATGGTTTTAAAATAATAAAAAAAACAATTATTAATATGTTTTACTGTATACAATATGCCAGTATTTTTCCTTAAACTGATATTATTCATTATAGTGTAAAAGTTTAATGTAATTTTCATGTTTGGATTACCCCATTGGAATATTTGTGTTAAGAAAGTTTCACTTGACAGAGCATGCAAGATATATAATGCACTTGTTGTTATGAATTGTTTATATTTTGATTTATTTTTGTAGATACACATTTTTGATTAACATTTTTAAATTATCCGTACAAAGTGATGACAAATAAAAATTGTTTATTGCCATAAATTTTTAAATACTCAATAAATGTTTTTAAAAACTAAAAATAAATATTAAAGCTATTTTACTAACATATTGGACTGACTAAAAATTCCAATATTCTGGTGTGGTATTTTTATTGCCTTTTACAGCCTTATCAATGTGCACCAAATTGGTGTTATCAAAATTAATTGGTTTATTAACTGACTTTAAAAGATAGTTAGCCAGTTCTATGCAAAAGTGAGTTTAAAAGCAAATTGATTGTGTTTTGTGCTATTTAATTTTTTATTTATTATAGATACTTTTTAATGGCTCTATTCTTTATTGACATTACAGATTGCAGTATCACTGCTGATAAGAATTGGCTAGATAAACAGGGTGTGATGTTTACCAAATTGTATTTGCATAGCATAACAGAGAAGACTAATAAAGTATTTTAAATCAGTACACATTTTAAGGATGGCAATGTCACTTTATGAGATTACTACTTCTCTCAATACCTCATAGTTATGATTAGTTTGAGAGTTAATTGAACACTCAATAACTAAAGAACGATTTGGTCATGTAAATATTTTGTGACCTTTAAAATAATATCACTGAAGAGTACATATAACTTCATTAAAATAATCCAACAAAATATAATATAGATATATTTAAAAAAATATCTGAAATGGCGCAAAATCGAAAGAAGTTATTGAAAAATAATTATGATTTATTGTCATTTGTTTTGTATTTATTTTTTATTAACAAAAAGTCAAATCAAAATAATTTAACATAACTCAACCCACACAGTAGAACAGATCTTCCAACGCGCTTGAAGGAGGCACAGTCCCCAAGATACTGGCTACGTTGCCTCATTGGACAGCCAGACTCACTCTCTGTGCAAAGTACCAGCCAGCCTTAGCATCATGTGTAACCTCCTTCAAGCGTTTGGAGATTTCTGTAGATATATTTTATTTTTATATTTATTACTTTATTGTTATCTAATCATGTTACTGCGATTTCCAAATTAATGTACTATTGATAGCTTTCTGCACAGAATCTGTAAAGATTTGTGATTTAGATTAAGGATTATTATTACATCATTAATGTTCATTTTATAAATATTTTTTTTATTGCCTTTGTAGGCAGACGAGCATACGGCCCACCTGATGGTAAGAGGTCACCGTCGCTCATGGACGTCAGCAATGCCAGGGGCAGAGCCAAGCCGCTGCCTACCATAAATTTGCCTTTATTCATACATTTGCCTTTACCCACAGGCGTAAATAACAAAATATAAGTCACTAGGAAGACAACTAAAAATAAATGCAATAAAGCAATGAAATTACACTTGCTACACATATACAACTGTACATATCAATTTATTTATTATTTCTGTAGCAGAATGTGCTAGGAAATTTTTTGATTAGCTAGGTTGTATTAAAATTGCTTTAATTCAAATTATAATTCACTTTGAATAGCCTGGTTTCGTTTAATTTGGCCAAAGTTGTTTTTTTTTTGCACCGGCGTTAGCCCTAACAACGGATTACATAAACTTATTGCGCCTAATTAATGAAATTTACATTGAATAATTCGTTATTTACCGGTTTGCTTGGATACACTTCGGATAGATGTCCTTTTAGCTGTTTCACGGTCCACGACGATCTGCATTCTATGTTTTGATCCTCGACCTGCTGATTAGGTGCCTTTACAATCAAGGTAACGTTATCTGGTATCATTTTCCAACATCCAACAAAACGTAGTAAGATAAATTTGTGAAATACAAAACGCGTAATCGATTATACAAAATAATCACACTTTTTAATTTTACTTCAATAATTAGTTGACGTAATTACTGTCTTTTTTTTAAATTTATTTCCACAATCTTTGTGTAACACGTAATGTCTATCTTGAGTAGTTTTAAACTAAATGTAAATAAATACTGTGGTAATGAAGGAGTACTTGTCAATTTGGTCATAAAATTATCTGTCCACTCCCGATTGGTCCAACTTTATTAGTGACGTCATAAAAATTCTTGATTGAATCTTTGATATAATTAGGTGGTAGATATATTGTGTTATTGCAAAATTACTGAACGTAATTGGATAGTTGCTTAAGATTTAAATCCACTACCAATGATTAATTTAATAAATCTTGGTTGAAGTTCTTATTTTTTTTTATTGTTTTTTTAAGGGATTTTAGGACCTGGTAAGTAAGATCTTTAGGTCAAGTCTTATTTTAAATTTAATGATAACTTTTTTATATGAAAAATGATATTAAGAAGAAGTTGATTAATATGAAACATGGCATGAAATGAAATGAAAATGAAATGAGATGAGATGATATGGGATAAAATATAATCTCAGTAAAATGGTGGTCATTTACTGAAAAATTTTCAGTGGACTCTTTGGAGGATCCGGGAAGTTACGTCCAGTGCCTTGTTTTATTTTTCCAGATTTGTGCACTTTCATAGATATTAAGCAGTTAAAAAGCCACCGTTATGACACAACCTGAGGAAATACTAAATAGACAAAATAAAACAAATCACGCAACTTCCCGCCAAAAAGTCTAGCATAAGTGTAATCTATGCCTCATGTGAGGATGTCGAAATATCGACTTACCGGTACGTTAGGTTCGATTTGTTGCTATTTTTGTGGAATAGTTTTGGATGACCAGTAAATATTAAAAAAATTTAAAATAGATGATTTTTAAAAACCAATAAATTAATTTTTGTCGTACCTGCAATTTGATTAATAATTAAAAATACTATTTGTCATTTTTCTTGATATTAGAAACTATAATTTGATTGATTAAAAATTAAAGTTTTTTATCTAGCGAAGTGAAACTATTGACCAACAATAACCAAATATATTTTTGTTTGTTTTATAATTTATTCTCTTTGAATACATCGATTAATATACGGCAAATATTGCAACAGTTGAAAATTTATCGGATTTTGACATCTCTATCGCATAGACTATATAGACAAAATATGGAGAATACTTCCAAAAATAATTAAAGAAGAAATCACTTTGGTTGGTACCTACATGAAACTACTTTTTTTTTATGGCGTTATGTCCTGGTAACACACTGGAAATACCACATTTTACCATATTTTACATTAGCGTAAAATAAAAAAGGAACGGTCAATTAAAAAAACGAAATATAAATTCAGTTTACTATTAATTCGAATAAAATGCTATATTTTAACTTACATTAACATACTTATGTGTGTCTCAATAATTTATTTATTTATTTATATAAGGATTACCGACAGGGTTTACAGTAAGACATAAAATAACATTGACATGTATAGAGCAATTGATAACTGCAACTCTAATTAGAGGCAATCACAGCATGCATTACATTAATATATCAATAGAGATTTAACAATACTATTAATAATAATCATAAATTAAAAACAAAAGAAAGACAACAAGGACAGTAATAAATACTTAGATAATTATGTTTTACCTTGACTACTGTAAGCGTATTGATTTTGAAGTACAATAGTACAAAAGCTTAAATAAATGTACTGGTGCAAGAAATCCGACAGTTTTTTAGCTATGTAAGATAAGGACTCAGTCGATACTGTTAGTAGTTTCTCGGGTTCTTTTAAAATTATCTTTGAATTCTCACCAAATTCTAATTATTTTAACTAGAGATTCTTTTATTTCATCTCATCCAAAAACTATGGTGTTGTCTGTTATCATTAAATTTAATCTTGTAGGTATAAATTCTAATAGATAATGTAGATTTTCCCACCGTCTAGTATCCGAACTTCTTAAAAACAGTCTGTCAAGTGTATTGGGATCCAAGCGGTTCCGCTCATCACTTGCGTTATTGCAGGCAATTGAAGCGGTCTCACAAGGTAAAGATGATGCCTCAATACTCATATACATCATGGCTCTGTTAGCACATCCCACTTCTCCTGGATGAGCCTTTGCTCGCCCACATGTCCTAGTGAAACTGGAAAGGCCTCTGGCCCACCAGTGATCCCTCATTCATAAAAGAAAAACATGGCTATTGAGTGGACGTAGTGTTAGATGGTTTTTTTTCTTCTTTTCTTGCCAGTGAAGTATGTGGTCATACTTCAGGTACACAACTGCCTGCCAATAAATAGTGTTCAATTTCTTCGTTTAAGCCTTCATTTCTCAGTGCAATAAATGTAAAAAGTTGCTTTTTCATCAGCAATTTATGAAAATCCCAAATTACTTTTTCCGTATCAGTTCTATTCCGTTGACTTCTTCACTATTATTTTGTGGAAGTTGTTCTTGTGATTTACTATCTAAAATTGAAGTATTTATTCTATTTATTGCTTGATAACAGGCTAATTGTAAATAAATTACTGGTTTTTACCAAAACCGAAAAAATCAACATCGATATTCAAGGGTCAAATATCGATGCAGTGAATCGATTCAGATTCGATTAATCGATCTCAGATAGGCACCCCTGTCTATTACTAATATTAAATTGCAAGCCCTCTGCCCCACAGTTGCCAGATGGGGGGGATTCCCTGCAAATTCGGGGGGTTTTTCGACCTTGGGGGGGAAATTCGGGGGGAAAGATTCTTTGGGGGGACATTCGGGGGGAAAAAATTAGTTAGAAATTTCGGAGGTTTTTTAAGTACCAATAATTCATCCACAAACACAGTTCGCAATTACTGTTAGAATAATTATTATTATAGTCTACTATACTATTCACAAGTCAATATTATAAAGGACAAATTATGCAACCAAATGGCAATAGAAACTGCCGAAGCGGTTCTCAGGATTCGATTTTCACTGCCAAATAGAGTCATAAATTTTGTTCCCACATCGGACATGTTAAATATCTTTAACTTAGAAAACGTGTATGCTTTAAATAATAATAACGAAAGTGAATATGATTGTAATAATTGTATAGAGATGGTTGAAGTTATAGGGACAGCTTGATTAAAAAATAAAAGAATGCTTTTGGTTTTTTATTTCTTCTTTAAAATAAGTAAAGACTGTTTTGGGGGTTTTTTTCTTCAAAAAGCCTATTTTCGGGGGGTTTTCGAAAAAAGTTGGGGGGAAATTCACACGGTCATCTGGCAGCACTGCTCTGCCCACTGCCATAGCGACAACTAATTTAATAATCTGTGCTTTGTATACAAACAATCTATAATGGGGGTAACAGTGTAAGTGTGCAAATTTAATAAATAGAACGTTAATATTGTGTGGTATTCCTATAATTACATTCATAAAAATATACCGCGATGTATAATACTAATACTATTATGTTTTTGATACAACTATAAAATCTACCATAAAAAAATCGTGAATAGTGGATTAGATTTATTAAACTATTTCAATTATTAACTCGACAGCTTGCAGCAATATCCGGTGCCAGAGAACAAGACCGGCACATACGTAGTGGAGTTACTTACAAAGCGTATCTTAGCATTAGGGGCGACACAACAAGGACAGTTCCTGGTTGATTGCGAGAGTTATTTATCACATCCACTCATGGGTACGTGTTTACTGAATCCAAGCTAAAAGTAAAAAGAAAGACACATTCCACTAAGCGATTTATGGAGAAGTCACACGGCCGGTCGCCAATACATGGATATGACATATTTGAAAATATTTCAGACATTACAAAGGTGTCAGCTAGTTTATTGTACTTAAAGTCGTCGTGGCCTATAGGATAAGATGTCGAAAGCCGAAGGTGGGTAACAATTTTCTAATGAAATACGTACTTAACAAATGTTCACGATTGACTTCCACGGTGAAGGAATAACATCGTGTAATAAAAATCAAACCCTCAAAGTTATAATTTGCGTAATTGCTGGCGGTACGACGTCTTGTGAGTCCACACGGGTAGGTACCACCACCCCGCCAATTTCTGTCAAGCAGTAATGCTTTTCGATTTGAAGGGTGGGGCAGCCGTTGTAACTATACTGAGACCTTAGAACTTATATCTCAAGGTGGGTGGGGCATTAACATTGTAGATGTCTATGAGCTCCAGTAACCACTTAACACCTGGTGGACTGTGAGCTATCTAAGCAATAAAAAAAATTAAAATGGAAGGAATTTATAAAAACCAAAGCTAATCGTGTACTTGATAGTTGAATTGAAAAGTTGATGAGATGCTGATACCAATATTTATTTTCTTTTCGTCAAATTCAGTCAGACCACTTAATGGTTACCATCGCTTGTGGATATTAACAATGCCAGATGCCCTTAGCTAAAGTTTTGTCTAATGCTGCTTTTAAAATTTCTGACAGCAAAAACATAACTCAAATATTTCAGGTACAACAAAAACAGTACATATATTACACAACTCTGAGCAGCCTGCGTCTGTCTTCTCAATCCTTGAAAGTGGCACGAAAAATATTCACGTCATAGCTGACGGACTATTTGACTTGTTAATGATGAAGTTGTCTCAGCATTATACTTCTAAGAAACAAACCAAGATTGAGAGCAAAGGACCTAGGTTTGAGCTCGGAGATTTCTGTGTGAAGCTCGGATCAGTTACTATGAATCAGAATTTTAAAGGGATTTTGATTGAGGTGAGTGAATTGAATAATTAGTGAATAGCTATGTTAATATATGTGAACACTTGGAGGCATCCAGAACGTCCGTCACTATATCTATAATAGTACATAAAGATAGATGGAGAAATGCGTTCCTAAAAAGAATACTTCCGTAATATTATGTTAAAAAAATCTTTGTTTTTTATAGATTGCTGTTGTTGTCAAAGTTTTCAAAATTTGCTTAGTAAATATTAGGGACCATGAAAATTATATCATACTTGACATCGGCTACCTTAATACATGAGGTTGAATTGCCAATTATATTAGATAACTGTTACCTATTCTTTAAAGTGGAACACCTTGGTGGCGTGGTGGTGACTTGTGGCAGAAATATGCCCAAAGGTCATACCTAGTTTTGGGGAATGAATAGGCTTGATAATTATAACAATATGAAGCTATTTTTTTCTATGGAAATTTAATTGTCAGGCATACATTAAGCATCTTTTTTGAGTTTTCTTAGTACTAGATATTCGAGCTCACTGTCTATCTGGTGCTAATTAATACTCAAAACACATTTTTGGCCAAGGGGCAACGGCTGGACTTTCATATTGTTGCATAGACTAGACTGGATGTGTAGGAGTCAATCTATCAATCAATTCAATCTATCAATTCTCTTTTCCCTAACTCTCTGTCATTGCCTCAATATCTCAGACTGTATTGATATTATTCACAGTATCATTAGAATATGTTCTATAATTTCTAGGTAGAATACAGACCATGCGTAATGGCTAATGCGGTCTGGGGTCTGCTTCGAGAGTTCCTTCAAGGATTGTTAGGGCCAACTGTTCCGGTCCAACCTCCTCAGCATCTAATAAGCAGAATGAACGAAATATACACTCCAATAGACACAATATATCAGTATTTAGAACATTTCAGTGCTTACAGAAAGACTACAGGGATGAGAACGACATGAACTAAGTTGACTGTTTTGTGTTTTTTTATTAAATAAATATGTACATTTTACTCATTCGTTTTTAGTTGTTCTATGAGAAATGTCTGGTAGTTATGTTTTAAGTAGGGACATGACGCCGTGGACAGGGGAAAGTGGAAAAAGATCCTAAGATTGAAGCTCATGGGTGATGGTGGTCACGACCCTCAGACATGAGGAACACGACTCGAGGAGGAGGAGGAGGAGGGACATAGAGTCAAGAGATTTTTTTAGAAAGTTGTCTCTGGCAGGTAGATTGTTAATAATGTTAAACTTGAGAGGTTCAAACTTTAAATCTTTCTAATGACATTAATCAGACAAATATTGTTACTATTCTATGTAGTGATCTCGTGGGGTTATTCTAGATTCACCCAACTAGTAGGTGAGATCACGGGGCTCAAACCTGGCGTCGTTGTCAACATGAACCTTAGCAAGAGCCATGTTTCGCAGAATCTACCACCGGATCGGAAACGCGACCCACTGAGAAGATCTGGCGAGAAACTCAGTGGGCTGTGTCTGTGGGTTAATTTACTCGCCAAGCCCTTCGTTGCAAGCAACGAGAACGATGACCGGCGCTTGGGGTACCTAAAAGCACCGTTAGTGGATCGGGAGGATCCAAAATGACGTGTTTTGGGCGACGTCGACTGTTTATCATTCGGTCCGCAGGATCGGGAATGTAATTACCGGCGGCTACGATGAGAGGGTTCTCGTGTCGTGCTGCTTTCGCGAAATGGCGCACTGATGTCGACTGCATATACTTACTGATGGACTCTAGGTCCAGGTCGACGTGGAGGTCGATGTTTCTGATGTACCACGGGGCTCCGACGGCTATCCTGCAAAAACGGGATTGAATGATTTGAAGGGGTTTCAAGTTAGTGCAGGCCGCGTGAGCGAACACTGCACTTGCATAGGTCATGAAAGGGCGTATGCAAGTTTTGCAGAGTGTCACCTTATTTCTAAGGGACCATTTACTTCCCTTGCAAGTCATCGGATAGAATAGCTGAAGGACAGCTGCTCCCCGAATGCTTCTACTGAATCGGTATCGCGACCCGTTGAGAAGATCCGGCGAGAAACTTAGCGGTACTACCTAGCTATGGCTTAGGGGTATAATTGTACAGAGGTTATATCTCAATCGTATTTTAATGGCTGTTCTATTTTCTCGGAATCCACGTAAGATTATCGGTAGCGATATGTATTACGGTTATGTACCTACTCAGATACAGGAATAATAAAACAGCTCAGCACACAAATATTTAAATATTATATCACAATATGATGTTTACACAACAAGCTATCGCCTTACGAAATACGGCTTTTATTTTATATGAAAAGAATTCGGTAAACAAAATCATGTTTCATTGTGTATCATGAAAGGTTTTTAGGTTATTAGTCTTAAATCAATGTTGAAGTGAATGTGCGGTTTTTTAAAATGATTAAACCGTTGATAATTTTATTTTTGTTTGAGCGTAAGTCTTTTTTTTTCTTTTTTTGATATTGGCACAACTAAGAAATTATGATAGAATCTGTTGATTATGATAGAAACTCTAGCTGTTAGTTACATCAGCGCATACCGTCTCCAGGTTATAATATTTGTAATATTTTATTATGGTATAATCATAGTTTGGTATGTAATATGGTATTTGTGTTTATGGTAGGCAGAGACTTGGCTGTGCTCCTTGACGTCGATGAGCGACGGTAACCACTTACCACCAGGTGGGCCATATGCTCATCCGCCTACAAAGGCAATAAAAAAACAAAAAAATTAATTGTTGCTTAGGTAGTTGAATAGGCTCATGGGTCATCTAGCGTTAAATAGATACCGGAGCCCATAGTCATCATAGCATCATTTACCTTGTGATATGAGGATTCTCAATTCCATTGTGCATGTAACATCTGTCCAGTGTTCTTAGTGCGAGTTTTTTAACGTTCTCGATAGCGTAAAAGTTAACTCAAATTTGTAGTCAGTTGGAATAGCGCCCCTAGCGGCAAACGTAGGCAAACTTTCCCACTCCATACAAATTTGAGTTAGGTAACTTTTACGCTATCGAGAACGTTAAAAAACTCGCACTAAGCGAAAACGCCGAAATCGTGAATATGGAAAGGTGCGTTTACAAAATATATTCGGTTGGAAATGGGATATTGGAAATGGATACCTACTTAATGGAATCCTCTCTATCAATGTGTCTGTACCGAATAGATACGCGTTTTTTTTTTTTTTTCCTACCTATGCTGATAGCCTTTAGAGGCTATTTCAGCGTAACCGTGGCTAGTAGGTGAGCTCACGGGGCTCAAACCTGATGACGTTACGCGAATAAAGATACGCATTTTTTAAATCCACGAATAGTGAAAATGTTATTTGTTAGCTAAAATTAATCGAAATAAGTGCGAATTTCATTTTAAAAAAATACTTTTTTTTTCATTTTTTTTTATTGCCCTTGTAAGCAGACGAGCATACGGCCCACCGTGAGTGGTTACCGTCGCCCACGGACTTCAGCAATGCCAGGGGCAGAACCAAACCGCTGCCTACCGCTAATGACTTGTCTACGTTACATGTGTCGGATTCGAACACTGGCACCGTTGCATCGCTCGATACGAATGCACCGGGCGTCTTATCCTTTAGGCCACGACGAGTTCCACGGAATAGATAAATAAGGTTGGAATGGTAATGTAGGCGGGGCAAGCGTGCCACAGTTATGATAGAACAAACATAACTCGACCGATTCTTTCATTCACCGCGTTTAGTGCGCTTCGGACTACTTGGCGAACAGATCTCCGCTTTATAGTGCCGTGTTGTGCAATTATAACTTGTAAAACAAAAAATCAGACCTCAAGTATAGAGCGAGGAGGTATATCTTTCGATCGGTAAGTCGAAATTACCATTTAATTACAATATTATTTGTCTAAAACATAAAAATATACTGAGCATTATGAAATTCCAAACATTAACAATATTATTGCAGCAAGTTATAAATAGCATACATTGCGCGATGTGTACTCGCCCAATGAACGCAATGACCAAGTCAGCTTCCAATGTACTACATGCATTGCGTTCTCTACACTTCAATCTTTGAAATTTCGGCCTTTGCCCTGATTGGCCGTGCAGTTTGTCGATAGTGAGGTGACCATGTAGTAAAATCATCGACAGAATTCTCGACTATATTTACATTTGACATGGATAATTTTTGCATTATTTTATATTTAATTAATGATACCTAGTATATTCTTAGTGAGACGTATTTTGAGTAAAATAAATATGTATTATTATTATTGAATTATTATCATTGAATTAAAGTGAAGGTATAATATAAAGGGACATGTAGACCTCTAATTTACGGGTATTTACTATATTGTCTAAGACGTATTAAAATCTAAGTAAAATGCTATTTGACTTATGCAGTAAATTAAAAATTTTAGGTTTCCTAAAGAACCTAACGCCAGGGAACAATGGATTGACGTGACAGGTAGAGGAAACTGGAGACAAAGACGAGTACTATTTGCTCTAAACATTTTACTGAAAATGATTTTATCATAAAAAAAATCAGAATACACTTAGTTTTGAAAAATTCATTCGCAATTAATAGCAAGCGCCAACTGCTTAACAAATACGTTTTATTCCAGCGACAGTGACTATTTGTAATTAATAAAAGTAAAATAGTTTTTTTTTTCAATATTTATTTCATGTTTCATTTTCTCCATTCATTCATCAGATAATTTATCGATAAAGAATATCGATTTTATCAAGCACTAGCGTGTATGAACATTTTTATTGCCTTTTTGCGTGTGTGAGTGTGTATGCCTACGGGTGTTTTGTGCTAGTTTGCGAACGAATATCTGTCCTGAGATTTATGTGTGGGTGTTTTTGTTGTGTGCGAAATACTTGTAATCACAGTGTGTGTATGTGTAGAAATTAAAATAGTGGGAATGAAGCGGCGACACTGGTTCTAATACAAAATTAGAGCAAAGGCCTTTCCAACCTTATTTATCTATTCCGTGACGAGTTCAATGGTTCGTTACTACTATATTGGTTCGCGTTCTATTCTCGATCGTTTTTTTTTGCTTAGATGGGTGGACGAGCTCACAGCCCACCTGGTGTTAAGTGGTTATTGGAGCCCATAGACATGCGCCACCCACCTTGAGATATAAGTTCTAAGGTCTCAGTATAGTTACAACGGCTGCCCCACCCTTCAAACCAAAACGCATTGCTGCTTCACGACAGAAATAGGCAGGGTGGTGGTACCTACCCGTGCGGACTCACAAGAGGTCCTACCACCAGTAAAATTAATAATATAATCATTCGTGACAGTTTGGACGTCATTTATGTGCTTCGTTTACCACCGACCGTTAATTCAGTGCAGATCAATACTCGTCTATGGCTTTAGTAAGCCCAAGCCTGCTCCAATAAGAATCTAGCTTTTCGATGTTGCTTCCAGTGCCTCTATTAAACAGTGTGCAGTTAGATTTAATTAATTGCGGCGTGGACCACGATCTCGAAGTTTCTACGGGTAACATTGAACTACAAAAATATCCCTGGAGCGGTATTTTATATTACATTTACAGTGAGTATGTTTTTTTCAGTCTATTGTATTTAATTGGAGGGTCTGGTAGTAATTTAAAAAAAAAAAACGGTTGAGTCGTTCTCATATTTTAATTGTATAACTAAACCATCTTAAGACTTCCTCAAACAATTATCTTTCCGGTCGCTTACTGACACAGGTACGCAGAGAAAAATTCTACTTATATAACTAAGGATGTTAAGTAAAAGATCCCTTTGTCACAGCGATTTTACTTTTAATTGTTTCGCGGCAAATATAGACGGTACCGCCGTGGCAACTTGTACCGGGTTACCGGTTTACTCACAGCCTACCTCATCTTAAATGTCTTAGGCCTCCAGGGACCATTCCCAGGGGCCTTAGACATATTTTACGCTAGACCATGAATGTGTTAAGTCTTTATGCATTATAATTAAAACTCCGACATTAGCTCTCGGGTTAGGTAAAGCGAAATGTAGATTTTTAAAATTTTTAAATATGTTTTA